CCTTTTATAATAAATTTATAATATAATCTATCAAACTACTATGTTTACTTACTGATTAACTAACAATTGGCCTTAGAAAACGTTATATAATAGCAATACAAACAATCAAAATAAAGCAACAGTAAGCAAACAGTTTGATGGTATATTTTTTGTTGCTTTCTGAGTCTTCATAAAAGAGTTTGTGCTTCGGAAAGTAAAAATCAATGTATCGAACGTGTTGATTGAATTTATAATGAATTGAATTGAATTGAGTCGTTCGGCCTCGCCTCGCATTGCTGGCGGTATTAAATAAATTGGGCGCTTCACAAATCCCCATTTTTTGCATCTCTTATCCGCTATCTTTTCTCAACGTCTTCGTCAGGAGTCTCTTTCCATTGTCCATATATGTGCATTTCTCTGGCATAAAAATTCACCGGAAACTCAATGGAAAATCGAAGCGAAACAAATTCGCTTATCGTTTGATATATTCGAAAAGTTTTCTTCAAGTTGATACTTAAATTGAATACAAACGTAATAAATTGTCTCGTATTGTGCACATGCATATATTTATCATCTTTGCTTTGCATTAAAAGCTTAGGAAATAAATTCGGTTGAAGTAAATTTAATTTTTTTCTTTGTTGGTGGAGGCGCCCGGTTTGCAAAAATTTGACGTGGATTTATTATACAAAAAGAGTAATTAAACGCCGTCGCGCTCATAACAATTAGAATCCTTTTGGCTTCATATTTATTGCTCGTTTTGTGTTTGAAGTTAAATCTCAAGAATCGCATTTTTTTGCAAGAAAATTAATGCAAAAAAAATGTTTGCGGTAGATTTAAACGAATCGCCGGATTATTCATATTCAACGGCGTCAAATTAAAACGAACGGGTGGATCATAATTCTTCGTTAATTAACTTTTGCTTTACTTTTGTTTTTTTGGGGTTAAAAATGTGATTCAAACATTTTTCCACGTCGCAATTAAAGTACTAATCCCAAAAATATAAAAAAATCTAATCCGAACTTTAATTAAAACACACATTTCGCATTTTATGATGTTCTACTTTTAAATATTTATTTATTTGGGTATACAGTAATAATTGACCGGAAATTTACGAGTTATAAATGAAGTGTTAAAAGCTTCCAACCGCAAATACTTTATTTCAGCGCTGTGATGAAATGTTCGTTTAAAAAATAGCACACTGTTAAAATTACCACGTTATATTTAAATTTAGAAGCATAAATATGGCCGTAACACAATGAAACATGGAAATATCGAGTGTTTTACATGCACTTCCAGCAAAAATAATATTTTTCTACTTTTAACGCAAGCTTAAAGTAAGAAAAACACTGTTGCAAGTTTTGTTACGCAAGTAGTCACTATATTCAGCTATAAACTTAACTAACGCCATAAAATTTTATTTTCTCTGACACCTGACTTTACACTAAAGGTACCTGCTGTCAAATACATTAAAAAGTAAAATTTCATCGTCTCTATCAATCTATTTAATCACATTTACGTAATAAGATTTTATCTGTTTGTATATAGCTGTAGCTATAGTGACAAGTTATCTCTGAATTAATGTTTAGCGTTAACTAAATGTTAGTCAGCCGGCTGACAGTTGACGAATTTCGAACGGACGAGAAATATCGAACGAATTATACGCTCCGTAAGCGAGCCAATGAGCGGGGGCGACGCGGCGAATTGAACAACTTTATCGTCGCCCAAACGAGCCACCCGACGCCCGCGCTCGCGTAACAGATGAGTCGAAACTGTAAACACATTGTTCGCATCGCAGCCTCATTGCGCCCCGAAGGTCTCCGGAGAGTCGGACGACTAAATAATTCACAAGCGGTGATAAAATGATAAAACTTTCAGTTGTTTCACTACCGCGTGTCAGCAAGTACAAAGAACATTTTATTAAGCGAGGGATATAAACAACTTTAAATAATTCAACATTCGCGAATCTATTATTTGCTATTTTATCATAGAAAGCATAAATTATTAGCAGATAATTGAATTGGAGTGAAAGGCGGTTGCCGATCGCCGCTCGCATTAGTTAATTACACACAATGGTGGATGCGCCGGGCTGGGCGCAGAAACGGACTGCTTTTGTGCTTGCCGCCGAGACGATATCGACGCAAGAGCCTGGATGCAATAACGGTGCATCCCGCAGTGCGATGCACTAATGAGTCCTTCGCGCACCGGAAAGCGGTGTCGCGTTCAGCGCGGTTCACTGCTTCCATAGTTCACATAATTGCATTGTAATTATAATATACGAGACACGCAGCGTCATTCGAGCCAATGCGAATTCAATTCATACACTCCGCTTTCATCTCCTAAGAAATTCTCGAGAGGAAATAAATTATTTTATAATGATGGCCGGCGCCTCCACCACCAAACAAAAAAAATATTATTTTAGTGTTGGCTGACAGTTTAGTGGTTGTTTGTAGTACAGTTGTATAGTTTGATAGTTTCGGTGTATTCTCGACGAGATTTATTATTTCCTTCGTGGACGGCAAGACGTAGCAGGCAGTTTATGCCCTTTCACACCGATCCAACACACTTTTAAACACTTTCGGATGTTCTAACTTGTTCTCCGGCGCTGTTTGCACAACTTTTCCTAGCGTGTAAACTTCGTCCACTCTGCGTCCACGCGTCGTCGAAATGTATAAAACATAAAACATGAAACTCACAAAATGTCCACGTCCGCAATTGTATGTGGTTTTATCACCAACCACACAAACACATGTCGGAAAGTTTTCATAAAGTATTCGAAATGAATAAAAAGCATGAATGAAAATATAAAAATTTTAACTAAGTGACCAAAATATAAAAAAAACACGTTGGAATAAAGATGAAAGATGAAAACATCTTAAAACGTCTTGATGTGAAATTATGCTCAAACTTTGGCGAGTTTTCACCTTCTTTGTGAAGTGTTCAGTATTCAGACACTTTTCACGCAAACTCCGTGGAAAGTTTTATCACTTCGAGTCATGAATCTCGTCCATCTACATGCAAAGTGTGCAACTTTCGACCACAAAACTACCCTAAAAATAGCCCGCCTGCTTGTTTTAGCACTATGCCTATAATAATTACATTCACTTAGTATGATACTTTACCCAATGGTCAAACATTTTCTAGTAAAGCGTTTAAACTCGGTCGGAAACTCGTTAGTAGATATTTATGTGTTGGGTCGCTACAAACCCCAGATAAATGAACTACTTTACTCATGGTTATAGTTTTAAAGCTGTGTCTAAACATGTTCAACTTTAGGAGAAGAGGAAAAGGAAGAAATTTGCAAATAAACAAAGAGTAGTTTTAGTTTAAGGCGTTTTTGCAAAACCACAAACAAACAGTTTTAAAAATAATCATTAATCATGATAAGTTTTTTCCGAAAATATTTTTAATTAAATTCATGTTTCGTAAAAATTATGAATGCTGCGTGTATATTGTTTTCTTGAAACTTTTGTTCTGTGAGTCACATTGTTCAGTGAATAATATTCTTCTCCAAGACGTTCACGTGTACATCTTTAATTTGTGTTTTTCTCCCACAAGCATGAGCATGAAAAAGATGTATTACATTTTTTATCTGGTCTTATTCTGCGAGTGAAATTTCGTGCATTCAACAAGCTCTTCGCAACTTTTTTCGTTGTCTGGGCGTCTTTTCATGCTTTCAGCTTGCTAGATTTTAGATTTCTGCAGTGTCTAGTTTAGATTTCACTGTGCTTTCACTATTTTATTTGTATCATCGGTTGTGCTTCGTATTTTAGTGTCTTATTTTTAGCTTCGTTCTTATCTCTCTTCTCGCTGCTTTTTATTTCTCGCGTTCTAGTTTACGTTTTCGCTAGTTTTCTCACGTCCTGTGCACGTTTGCAAGCATCGTGCAAGCATTGTGTCAAAAATACAATGCACACACTCGACGAGGTAATTTCCTATTTCGGTATTTATTGCATTGTTGTTTGCGCGAATCGCACAAATTGCATTTTTCCACGGACAAAATCCGCATCGAACGGAAGTTCAATACGTTTAACACAACAAATTTACAACAACAAAACACGTGTTATCTTTTTTTCTGTTATTTTGAAAGCTATACGAATAATAAATGCAAGTATATTATATTTTCTTTAAGAGTTTTTAACACTTTAAAGTGTTGTTGCATGTTGATAGATATGCTTCGGTCGAAAGTGGTTGGTGAAGGCGCCGCGCAAGCTGCCTCGGATAAAATCGAGAAAATGTGTTGAAAACGCATAGTTGACCCTCTTCAGCATTCCAGGCGGCGGTGTGGCCAGCTACCACTCCCCTCATCCAAGCGATCCTTCATGCTTCACGCTCGCCGCTCTCAATTTCCATCAATCACTCGAAAATTGACAAGAGCACTGAAACTAATGTGGCACGCCGACGCTCAAAAATACCAATTTTTCACTGGGTTTACTTTCACTCCATCTAGGGCACTCCTGTTAAAAAAACAATAAACTGATTAATACTTCAAAATTTAAACCAAATTTGAGCTATTGACTGAAAGATATCATGAAATACAAGAATTTTAGTTAAGGCAGGAAAAAACTTGTAGAAACTAAAGATTTCTACACTTCATTTCGTTTTGGTTCATTCGTTTGTCCTCGTTGGTTAGAATCCTAGACCGGTGTATTTTTTTGCGGCTTTGCACAGCTTTTGCGAGGCGCGCAAAGTTCAATCAACTGAAATACGGCCCGAATCTTGTTCATTCGATTGTGACTCTACGAATTGTCACCGTCCTACACCCTACAAGGCCCAAAAGAAAGAAAGAATCCGTCGGAAAACCCTGGGATTTTTTATTTAGAGAAACTATTAAGTCCTATTCGGGCGGATTGCCGAATTGTGCTCGTTTTGTCGGTTGATCTTCAACTGAATTAACTAATATATCTTGTGGAATGCTGGCACGTAGCATCAGAAAACCAAAAAATGTTTAAATAAATTCCCGACCGTTTTTACAAATTAAGCTCCTCGGGTTTAATTTGCTGCTATTTTTGTGTGTGTTTCAGGTAACGTGGTTGCATCACAAAGAGGATTCAATTCACTTGCTCACTGTTGGCCGGCAGCAATACAGCAGCGATGACCGCATCGAGTTGAATTTCCGTTACCCGAACAACTATCGGCTGAAGATCGCGTACGTGACGCGCCGTGAGGAAGGCCTCTACGAGTGCCAGGTGGCAACGCATCCGACCAAAGTGAAGCGGATATTCCTCAAAGTCATAGGTTTGTGTTACACCAAAAGCTTCCACGGGCGTTAAGACCCGAGAGCACTTTTACCCTGCTTAAATTTCGTGCTATTTTTTCGTTTCGTTCGTTTCTCTAGGTGTAATTTACTTTTTTCTACACATGTTCTACATTTCTTTTATTTCTTTTATTCTGCTTTGGTAAATGTATATGGCTTCGGGAGCTTTGCGCGCCCGCGAAAAAAGCGACGTTTTAGAAAATGGTGAAGGCGCCGGGCGAAGGCAGACCAAGAAGTTGTAAAAGTTGCAAACTTTTGTTAAACTATTAATTTCGCTCTGAGTAAAACGTGCAAACGTGAGTAATACGTGAGTAATACGTGCGTAAAACTCCGGAAAGCTGCAAAGTTCAGCGCGGCATGTCAGAAAACGGGAAAAAATCAAAAGTATGAAACTTTTAGCTGAAAGTCACTTTTCTTACGTGATAAATTATTCTCATTTAGATGCAATTTACTTTTATGACGTTTATAACAAATTTTCATTTATAATCAACGCGCTAAATCATAAATTGATTAATTAAATAGATAAAGCCAGTCATAAAATACAAAATTTGCTGATTCTAGTATAATAAAAGCAAACAACCTTCAAAATATTAATTAGTACACATTAATTTTAAACAAATTTTAGTATGAGACTAATTAATATCGTTTCAATTTAAAGAAAAAACTATAAGATTAAAAAATTCATTTTAACCTTAATTTTAATTAAACTACTTTTATTTTTTGTGAGTTGCAAACCCTTCAAATGCACATCCTCATTTTCTCTCATAATCTTTACGCTATTCCTGGCTTCTCATTTAATATTAAGAGACTCACGGTTCTAGACAAGCAACTTGATCGTGTTGGAAAGCCACGTAAGCTCAAAGCTCCATCTAGCGCGCTTTACATGCAAATGATAGAACAACAAAACAACAAAATAACAAAATAACATGTATCACCGTCGTATTAGTTTTGATACACGCGGAAAACCAACAAAACATACATGCAGTCAACACAAACACTAACAATAAAAACAAAACCAATAGACACAAAATGAACACAAAGAAATTAATAATTATTGGTTGATTATTATTCAAACACATATAAAATAATATTTCATTTAGATATGTGACAAAATAATAATTTTTAACTCTTTCGATAAAATTGACAAGATAATTTTTCATGCGCCTAGTTGGGGTAAAATAAATTGAAACCGTGCGGGCCGATAGTAAATGATAATGGGAATCGTGCTAAATGGTAATATTTTCTATCGGTCGATGCGGTGCGTCTCCTTTGACTCGTCCTAGCATCCCTACATGACAGCATCTCAGCGTACATCGCACAGCGCACCTTTTTTTTGCGATTTTCTCATTTGCTCGTTCGCTTTACCGCACTCGCAGGTTACTTTTACGTCGTTTTAGTTGCACTCACATCGACTTTCGTCCTTTTTTCGTCCTTTTTAAGTCCGCACTCGTTCCCTTTGATTCGTGTGAGGGTGTGTGTTCCACATTCCCGGTTTACTCGGGCTGTCTGATAGGAGTGATAGCTTTGAAAACTGTTTGATGGACTGATTGCGGTGGTTTTCGTCCGGCTTTTTTTATCCGGAAACATTTTCAAGTCGATTTTCGACATTTCCCGAGCAGCGGTATTATTTTTCTTCTTGTTGTTTGTGTGTACACAGAATATATAAACATTTTCGGTTGATTTCAGCGCCGGAAGTGCGGATAACCGACGAGTCCGGCCGACAAGTGACCGAGAGATATTACAAAGCCGGAAGCGGACTTGAATTGGCCTGCAACGCCCGGCAGGTGGGTGCTACCGCCGAAGAACTCCCCGTCAGTTGGCGGCATGATGATATACTACTTACTAAAGGCATCAGGTAAATAAAAATTGTTTACATTTGCACTCAACGGCGGAAGTTGTTCCTTGGGAAATTATAAAACACAACAATTTCTTCCTTTGGATATTGTTTTCTTACGATTCAAATGTGGTTAACTTGTGTTTCCGGTTTTGCAGCAGTAACGTGTCCGCAGCAACGGATTCCGCCAGCGCCACGTTGACGATTGCTCCGCTGCAGAAGAAGCACTCCGGCAACTACACGTGCGCGGTGGGCGCTTTGGCGGCGGCCGCCGTCGCCGTGCACGTACTCAACGGTAAGTTATAGCCCACGCCGGCCGTCGCTCGTAAATCTCAACTTTGAAAACGTAATGAGCGCAGCCGAAATCCAAACGCGACTGCCGCCACCGCCGTCGCCATTAACTTTCACTTACATCAAGGAGGTCTTTTTACGCCAGCGTTAACCGAAAAGCTTTTAGTTTCAATTGCAAACATGGAATAATTAAATACATATTGGTGGAGGCGCCGGGCAGAAATAAATAAAATTTTCAAATGAAAAAGTTAATTTGCTGCATGCGAGTGATTCCGATTCGTAATTTTGTTTTTTGCTATTTTGGGAATTCGTGAATTTAATTGTGAAATGCAAACTGCGCCAAAATTAAACAGCGAATCGCTAAATTCCAAAATCAGAAATGGGTTGATTCGCTTCATAAATTTTTAGTCGTGCGGAGGCCGAAATCCGCCCCCGAATTGCGCATTGTTCATGTTCATCTTTTCGACCCTCCGCTCGTGGGTGTATTTCGGTCAAACAATTGATTACACCGCACATGTTTCGCAATTGCGTCATTTATTACCTAATTATTTTCGCTCGTTATTTTCAGTCCTAAACGTTAAAAAATCCCATTCAATAAACCCCAACATTTTAACCAAATCCATATATAATGCGTTTTGGGTTAAATATTTTTGATAAAGTTTTCCGTATCCGTCCAACCCGTAAATCCGATCGTTCATAGTATTTCAAGTGAAAAGATTATGGACGCAGCGTGACTTTTTGCTCGCTTTGACTTTTGGGCGCGGTGCCTTCCGCTTTCCAAAGTTTGCCATCGATGCGTTATAAAAGAAAATTATAAAAAGCTCGCGCCGTGCAGAAATCGATAGCTATCATCCCCGTCGCTCGTTTGATTTGTATGCGGCAGGCCGGCCAGCACTGAGACGTCTCCCGGCTGTTCGCTTGTTCGCCCGGCCGCCTTTTCTTCCCGACGCGCGCAGAGGACTTGCGAGTATGAAAAGAACTTTAGCGCGACGACGTGCAGATCGAAAAATTGTGAGCAAACTCCTCGGCGTTGAAAAGCGCCGCCGGAAGATGCTCCGACCCGCCGGGCGAAAGGGTTGCATCTCCACGCCCGTCGACGATTTGGCGTCGCTCCAAATCTTCAATTAAATAATGGGTTACACTCGGGTAGATTGGCTCCGCAAACGCGTTTTATTGTTACGCTCATTGTCGACCATTTCTTAACTTAACTACGGGGATAAAATAATTTAGAACAATTTTTTCAAAATTTGTACAAAAAAGTGAATTGTGAAGGCGCCGGGCATTGAGAAAATTGCATTTAAAAATAAACTGGTCATTACGTGTGTTTTTTGTTTGGATAATCCGTAACTTTTCTTATTTTGTGCTCTGGGTATACAAAAGGGCTTTCATTTCCTGACCAGTCACAATTCGGCGGCGGTGGCGGCGGCCTTGTCGCGTTAAGCTTTACAACGAATACTGTGTGTGCCTGTAGGCGCTAAGCGCGCGCCGCCTTCGTCCCTCGATGCTCTTTTTCTCTAAATTAACATCGTTTACACTTCGTGCTCGCGTGCGCATTTGCGTTCGCGTGAGAGCGCGTTTCAAACCCGAATGTCTCTTGTTCTTCCACCTCTTTTGTTCGGGTTATCTGCGTGCCATCGCAAAGGCGTTCCCGAAACAACCCTTTCATAAACAGCAGCCGCGCAGTTCCAACATTTGAGAATCTTTTGTGCACATCTTCATTATACTCACAAAAAAGGTGAAAAATGTACAAATTTAGTTAAAATAATAATAATTCATTGAAATATCGATAAAAAAAAACAACACAAAACATGCATTGAAAGTTTTATTGAGTGAGAAACAATTAAAATGTCACATTCACACTCAAATTGTTGTTTGTATTCTATTATTCCACAAAATCTGTGATTAATTAACGCGGCCCTCGGGTGGAATAAACGGATTTTATTCAGGTTGTAAAATTTTACAAAAATATTCGTTATTTATCCTTTAAAAACAAAAGTTAATGTTCATATACTCATGTTTGTTTGTGCCTTGGAATAAGCCTAAATAAATAAATATTCGGTGCGTGCGACATGGGGGGCTCTTAATGAAAAATGTATTTCAGGCTTTCGCTTACACTTGCGCCGTAATGAATACGGTGAAATACGCCAGAATTCGCCAAAAGTTATGACAATGTGCGTTGAGGTGCGTTTTACTGCTCAGCGGCAATGCAAACATCGCTACCCAAAAGCTGAAAGCTTTATTAGGCACGTCGGCATCACAAGCTCAACAACAACAATGTCAATAAAGCACGTAGCGTTATAAATATTAACAAAAATTCAATTATTTAACAAATCACGGGTTTTTCTGTAAATTTTGAAAGTAACCAAGTGAAAAGGTAAATATTTTTTGTTGTCATTAATATTTGATTAGATTTTTTCACGAAAATGTATTTTTCTGATTTATATAACAGAAAAAATATCTAATGCATAAATAAACACACCGCGAGTCGTAAACTACACTCGACGACCAACTGAAACAAAGCGCGCGCAAAACAGAAAACAGAAAAATTAATATCTAGCTCCGTTTCGCGGGAGGTAATAAAATTGTGATCGCGATTAAATGGCGCGAACGCTATGCCCTTCCATTCTTCGCATTTCCGTCCAGCTTTTTTCGCCGCGCGCTCGCTGGAAAGCTATATTTTAACGCCGCCACCGACGAGAAATGCACGCTCAGCCATTACGTGCGTATGTAAGAACTACCGAGCATAACCGATTAGTCAGCGCTTTTTCATTGCTGCAACGCTGCTTTTCCTTTCGCCGAACTAAGAGTAAAAGCCACACAACAGAATTATCTCGCCTGTGATATGAATTTAACGCGTCGATGAAGGAAAACAAAATCTTCGCGTTGATAACAAACAAACCGCACACACAAGGGAGAAGGATTACTAAAGCACTAAAGAAAACAGTTAATTACGATCCAAATCGAAAACAAAACCAGGACTCTCTGCGCTGCAGAACAAAAGACACTTTTGTTTTTGTAATTACAAGATGTATACGTGCTTCTGTTAACAAAGTACTAAATTTATTAAATATGCCATACATTAAGTGCTTGATTAAAACAAAACTTTGTGTTTTTGCCGTTATTAACTTGATTTATAATCTAACTCCTAACTCCTAACTCCTAAAAGTATGCAACTTTCTTTTCACAAGTGTTTTGTGGTATGCCTAGATTAAAACAAAACATGATGGTGAATTCAATCAGCTATTAATATCAGTTAGCACAAGTTTGTTTTCGATAGTTTTAACTAGTTTTAGCTTGAATTGAAGCATTAGCACGCATTAGTCGAGCAATTAACGCGTTGTCGAGTTGTCGTCGACGTCGACACGTTCGATGATTAATCACTACCAATCGAACCCATTCGATTCGTGCCATTATGGTTTTCACAATATTAATAACGCATTGATAATCAATTCATTTATTCGCTGCAAAACAAAACAAATCATTAAATCACAACACATTACCTATATTATCCTACTCATGGAATTATGATATATACGATTATGTTTTGTAAATAGTTGTTGTATTAATTTACGTAATGCGTGTGTTCATGAATCCGCATTAGTCAATTTAATCCACGAAATGTACGAATATAAACAACGCGAATGGTGTGATCAGTAGCGCAGATTTGTACTCTAACAAAGTGAGCCCGAATGCAGCGGCTGAAATGAAGAAGTTTATGCGTAATTTAATGAAACGTGCATTTCCGCAACGCTGAAAATGGACCACGCCGAATGCGGTGTTTACATCTGGCCTGAACAACCGGATAGCTTTGATTAATTAAAACTCTCGCGCAGAGCGCAAATTAAAACGTATAAAACTGGATGAAATAATGAAATAATGGAATAAACGAATGATCATAGTGAGAATATCATTTTGTACGCACGAATGAAACGTATTTTATAATTTGTGTCCCGCAGACAACAAAAATTTGCATTTATTTCACACTTGACGAGTTTTTAACCTAATTTTTGAACTAGTTCAAGTAGGCAACTTTATAATCGCGCAAGTATTGTGGTTTGCCTATAATACATATTATTATTTATCGTTGGAAATAATTTACGGCTGTTAAAGTACTTTTTAATGTTACAAGCGTGAAAAAGTTGAAAACGCCTGCGAAAAGTTGAAAAGTCGAACGAATTTTTAACAAGTAACGCGAAGTAAAATAACTGCATCTTATTCTTGCAGTTTATCACGCCTCTGTGTCTCAGATGCTCAAATAAATTGTTTTTATGACCATCTCAAGTCGATAACTTTTTAGGGAACATATTAATTTTGCATCATCTTCATAATCTTAAAATTTTTCATTTTGACCGTAATAGTAGATCATATAAAGTTATAATTGTGATAAAAATGATGAGATATTGGTTTATAGTTCAATTTTGTATCGTGTAATGTTGTATTGTATATTGTTTATTGCTTATTATTTATCGACACAACGAGGTCGCATTAACGCGTGCATCTGCAGCAAGTAACGGCGTTGTTATATTGTTATGGATTATTTAGTGCATGCTGCGATGCGCTTTTATTGTTTTAACTATTTCGAGAGGGGTCGTTTATCAATTCGCGCGTTTCACCTGGTCGAGTATAAATTACGTTAATTGCGAGCGCTCGCCGACGCGTTGCGTCTCGCTGCGTCGCGAACCGGAATTTAGGAATAATTACGCTAATTGCCGCAATTTACTCCGACTCCCAACACAATCGGGAGCAATACTCACCCTTATTTATATTTACAGTATGTTAAACACACAATATAACCAAACTTCTAAAACTAAAAATATATGCAACTTGTGTAACGCTTTGATGTATTTTGTTTTGCCTACGTTAAATATATATTTATTGTTTTTTTACACAACATTTCAGTTGAAACAGTTAACAAAGAAACTTTTAAAGTACGTAAAACACAAAAACAATTGACTTTTTTTTATGTGCTCGAGCGAAACTTGGAAAAGAAGTTGATAAAAGAACCCCTACAGCTAAATTGTTTTTATTTCGGCAAGTAGGCGTGGAAGCTTCGAGCAAACGTGCATAATGCGAAAACTTTTAATTGCGTCTCGCTAACTAGTCGCGCGGCGCGTTAGTTAGTCCCCGAATCAGGATCAGGATCAGGATCAGGATCCTAGTACTCTGGCACTCAACCATTTTGATTCTGTTGCTGGCGCGCGGAATTGCTAGTTTAGAATAAACTTTAAATTACAATTAGTTGCGTTGAGGCTTATTTACTTTGCGCTGTAATTTAAACAAAAAACAAAATTTGCCCGTTGATTAATTCTTTATTTTTTTACGTTTTTGCCTTGTAGCTAAAAGAGTTATAAAAACAAAGTCTCAAAATGTTGTGAGTGCATAAACGTTGAGTAAATAGGGGACTGTAAGTAAGGATGAAGGACGATTCGTCCACTCGTAAAAATCTCTCATTGCGCTTAGCACTATGCAGCGCGTCGCTTTTTTTTTGTTCGACCTAAAACGGTATCGCCGTTTGGCGTGCATCGTTTTCTTTTTTATGACAGACAACGCCGAAAATTGTTATTTTACAACTTGTTCTTTTAGCTCAAACAACGTTTTACAGAATTTTCTTAAAAATGACTTGATTAATGTCAAAATTGCAAAATATAGAAAATCACGCAACATTTCAATCAAAGCAGATTGTATGAGTAATTTTATTGCCCATTGAACGCTGAAAATACTTCGAACATCTTGAATCGGTTAAATTTGATGTTCGTAAAGCAGTTGGCTGCAGAGACATGTTATTAAGTGAACTTTCCATAATTGCAGCAAGTTTCCCGAGCGTCAGGAAGCGCTCGGCGAGTAAAGCAGCGCCGCATAAATACTCGCGCACGTCGTGCATCTTCCGCCGCTCCGTAATTATCCTTCGGCATCGGTTTTTCCCTCTGCCGCCGACAGCTTTGCTCTCTTTCGCGTTCACAGCCTGTGTTCGCCGTGCATAAGTCATAAGTTGGCGTCGCTCGTTAAATGCGATATCGGCCAATCACTCCGGGAATAATTCATGGAAAACGCTCGCAAAATGCAGATTTCGCTTTTATTCACGTGCAGAAAATCAAATTACCGTACAGATATACAAGGATAATACAAACGCGGACGTTATTTATTGCTTCAATTTCGTAGAGGGCAAAAAATACAATAGATTTTTTTATTTGCAATCATAAATTACAACATTTTTTGTAAATTCTGCATCAGAATTGGTTAGTCATCGATTTATTCCTGTCCGGCTCCGTTTATGCAACTTTATGTACACAATGTGCGTGTGCACGTTTGATAACTTTTACTTAATCAAACGCTGACCACAGCCGCCCCCAAACACCCATAACGATCATCCCTGTAGGCGTGCATCCCTCGTCTCGTTTCGTATTACACTCACGTGCGTGCCGCCCACGCACAATCAATAACCATAATGAATGTTTGATGCGTTTTGCATCCATCGATGGATCTGGAAACGCGCTTTAGATTATGCGCTGGCCGCTGAACGCTGGACATTGGACGTGTTTGGTTTGATGTTTACGTGTTTACCACTCCCTCGATGATCTATTAACAACCGCTCGCAACGCACACGTGATAAGAGATAACGCTGCCGCCGCATGGATGTTAATTAAACGCGCAATACACTTTGTTATCACTCGGCTATCATTGTGGTCGCATCTCGAAATTAATTCGCAGTGAAATCGTAAATAATTAAAATTTCATTTGTAGGCAACACACAGTACATGTCAAACTGAAAAAAGGTTATGTTATTACAACCACCGAGGAAAAAAATCTCTCATAAACGGATGTAATGGGAAAAGAAACGTAGAATGATCGAAATTAAATGGAAGTTTATTTGAGGTAGTTTATCATTGAGCACGGGTTGCATTCATGCGTGGCGTTCATCGACTGTCGATGAAAACCCCAATGATGAAAGCGCTCCGGCAAAAATCATCACTATCGAAAAAAAGCTCGCCTAGGGGTGGTTGGGGGTCGTTTTGGCACCAAACTGCAGCCCCAAAGCCCGGCGCATAAATCCAGAGGACGTTTATTATTGTTTTCCGCAAAGTATAAATCGCCGCGAGTCAATTTCAGCTCTCCAGACTACCACGAACTACCGCCATGGCCGGAAAAGAGAAATATTGTCGTGCGAAAACTAAAAATAACTCTTTCATTAATTAAAACAGGTTTAATCAATTAAAACTTCTGAATTATTAATTTCGCACACTCAACTTGCGCGAACAATAATACAATAAATCTAATTTTCGGCGTTACATAAAACAATTTCCGTAATTTATGAGCGAGCATTTCACATCTCTCAAGGTTAACGTGTTCGAGAGCAGAGAAAAACAACGCACGAATGCTTCATGAAAGCAAAAAAGAAGTTATGTGATGAGATGGAATTCGTTCCAAGGGGCGAATTCGCACCACCCGTGAGATGAGGCCCGTCCGCAACTCGTCTTAATTCTGCCCCATTTTCGTTCGTTTTTAGTTCATTGCAAGGTTTTACTTCGTTAGCCTTCGCTAAGAAACGAGCAGAAAGAAACCCGAAACGGATGGACGCCGGCTCGTAAATAATACAAGAATTTCGAAATTCGGGCGCCGCATGAAGAACGCGCGCAAAAAGCCGTAATGGTTTCGGTTGAAAGGCTTTAATGTTTTAATGTCGTTTAGTGATGCCGTTGCTGTCGAGCAAAAACTCAACCATCACGAAATTCAACCATAAACACTGGCGTGGCTTTTGCCAAAACTGCAAGAAACCGGACATCTTTTATTTGTTTCACGATGCTTTATTGTTTTATTGTCTGTGTATGACAAATAGCCTACATTAATCCTGTTAACCTCAAACGCTATATGAAACATAACCTGATTTATAACATTTTTATGTTTTTTGTGTGTTTATAGGTGAATTACCGGCTGCAGTACAAAGTGCAGCTGGGACGGGTGACACCAGCTTGCAGCTGATCCTGGCGGCGGCATGCGTGACCGTCTGGCGCCTCCGGTGACCCACTGCGCTGCCAACTCCCGGGGCGGCGTTCGTCCGCGACCTCGGCTAAAATCCAAACTCGCACGGTGTTGTTATCATATCAAGAGATACAAAGAAATACGCAGCCAGCGTCATCTGCACAAAATGGCGGCCGTGTGACGCACCAAGATGGCGTCGAATGTTATTGACTGTTTCCAGTGCGTACTATGTACTAAACGCGTTTTTAAGACGATAAGCAGCATGTTATCAAAAGAAAAAATCATAAAACTAAACATAAATAATGCAACCAAACAACTTCTACGTATAATTAAATAACATACACTTTTAAACGTTAAATTAACTATAAAATGCGAGCGAAAATGACAAAAGAATGGATGAAACAGCAAACGACTACCAGACTACCAGTATTCTACAACATATGATTAATTATTTAAATAATTCGTAAGTAAACGTGCGATAAACACAGTGAAGATGGGATTTTTAACTCTTGAAGCGCAGATTTTAAGAAAATGGGAAGCAGACGCGTCATTAACTTCGCCCACGCCGAAAATTCGCTAAAACCTCGCTCAATTATAATGCAATTACGTCGATTTTACAACGCCCCGCAAGGGAATTATCCATAATCGACGTTTTAATGCGTTCTTCTTTTGCGGCGACACCGAAATTGAATTTTAAGCGTTTTCGGCGTGCGTACGGCGTGAAAATTGAAAGCAAATTGTTTGACACCGCCGGAACATAAGCCTAATTATGAACAGGAGCAAATTTTCGCAAATCCTTCACCGTACATCACGTCAGGAAGGAAACGAAGCAGGAAGGATCAAGATGGCTGCCTGCAAGACGAAGAGGACGCGCAGATAAGCATCGTTAATAACACTCGCGTCGTAAAATGCAATTTATCGTCCGCTGACGTCCTCAATCGGCTGTCGTGCTCGTTCTCCTCCTGAAATTAGACGACGTCTGAAGTTAATCCAGAAATATTTTTTTGTTATTTTATATTTTAGTAACAAACAAACAAACGCGAGCGCAAAAAAAAGTTTAGGTGAAACGAGGTGGACGAAGCACTGAGGATTAAGCTCGGGTCGAATGCGAAAGGATTACCGATTCGGTAATTGGTGATCGGGGAAAGTTCGGCCCGGTGTGTAATGGAAGTTGTAAATATACACATGTTCTGTACATGTCACGAGCACTTCGGGCTTTGGGTCCGGGACGAGGTCTGCTCCTGCGATCCGGTGATGAATGTGTGACTAAATGGCGCGTGTGCTGATCCGGACATCTGCACCGGAAGGCCTCATTTGGACCTAACCACTCTCGACCACCACACCCACACGGAGATTCAATGCGTATCTTGATCAATTTCCACTTTGTAAATCAAAAAATTTTAACCTCAACGAAACGAATACACTGTTGTGTTGTAAATGTTTATATTTATTTTCTTGTAATAATGTTGATATCTCACGAAACGGCGAATGAAAGCGCAAAAAGAAAATTTGCGATTTGTATGTACATAAAGTTAATATATTACTGTACGTTTTCCGTGCATCGCACGATGTGATGATAAAATGTATGATAAGGAATGAAGCAACGTGTTGGGATTGCAAGTAAATCGATCGCTAAGCAACATAAACTATAAAAAAAACATGTATAGGTATAAGTGGGCCATCGAGAAAGATGAAATTTAATTTTTAGATGGCTCATCTATACGAACGATAAAAACAAGTAAGAAAACAAGTGGAGAAAACTATAAGTGGCGGTATCATGAATATTATATATATAAAAAATAAATATATATGAAAATATAGACAAAATTGTTTGTTGTTTTATAAATAAATTATGAATGAGTATCAAATTTGGTGTTTTTATAAATTTTTTACCATAAATTGCAGAAATTGTAACTTGATTGAAAGAAATGTCAGCATTGATAACATGTAATCCCTTTCTGAAGTATATTTTTATCTTTTAGTGGAGTAAGTACACTAATTACGTTGCTGCGCACTTGTTAACAAGGGTAAGTTGAAACTTTCCAACAATTCCAATCGTCTTACAGCTTTAGGACGCGATTCAGCTTCAAATATCGATTTTCTCATTGTATCCTTTCCGTAATGGTCAATATCAATGATTCAAGTTACAAGTTATGGGTATTTTTGATGTCTAAATCTTCAGGATGTGTTTCAAATGCCTTAAAACATTTTATATTGCAGTAATATTTCCGGACAATGAGTGGATTTAGCGTATTTTGTTACTATTTTAGTCAATGAAGTTTATTGCAGTCTTTCAACCAAATAATAAAAAAATGTTCAGAAATCACAGATTCTTCAATGCAACAGGAGATCTAAAACGTTTTCTTCTACTTCCAGGTATAAAGCGTCAGTTTTTCCACGGATTTTGACACAAAAAGTGATATTTTATATACGGACGGCCAAGTCGTGGGTAAAGTACTTTATCTACGGGTATTATCTACGGGGCAGAGCTTGCACCTGCGCATTTGCCTACGGTGCGGCACCAGACAATATGAAATGCAATGCACCGCCAGTCAAACAAGTCAAAACAGGTGCTGCTGCTACTCGTGTAGGCGCGGCACAACATTTATAACTTTACATTTCCCAATATAGAGCAAGAGCCCGTGACGAAAGTCTGGCCGTCACGGGCTCTTAGTCTAATAGTGTGCGAGCGAATTTCGAAGATTTAAAATAAAAAGTTCAAATACAAACACTAAACGTGGAAATATAGCAGAAGTAAAAAATAACGTAAGCATCACGTGACTAAACGTTGTTAAAAGCCTCATTTAGCCACTTGATACATAATAAACTATTTCTTATTTAAACTTGAGAAAAACAGTGAATTATGGCTCAAATATTAGGACACTTTCTAACCATTTATACTCTTGTACATAATTGCCGTAATTGGAGTATGATAAAGTAATTATGACCAATCTCAGACATTGATAGTGTTTGGAAATCATAAATATTATAATTATACTTAATGAATTTCTCTAGAAAGTTGCTGTAAGATTATTTATTGATAAAGTAATAAAATTCAAATTAATTTCGCAAAAATTTAAATAAAACCTTTCTCCAAAACTCACAAAACACAATCTCTTGATAAAGTAAAGCTAGAATTATACTTAAATAAAGTAAAAGTTTATAATATAGTATCACCGTCATAACATAAATAACGTAACAAAGACGAAAGGAAGTGCAATAATCACGCGCTTGATTAATTCACTGCACTAGGTTTACCAGCAAGTTGTTTATCAGAACAGCGTTACGCCGAGTATAAACTAAAGTCTGCTAAAGTTTGCTCGGATGTTGATTCTGCACGTTTGCGGTTTCGTCAGCTCGCTTCGATCTCCATATCGAAAGTGTGGTATGCACATCGGGCTGATTTGAGTGGAATAACTCGAGCGGTGCGCTAGTTACGCCTAATTTGTTCTTGTAACATTGCGACGAAACGAAAACGTTGCGTGATGCGGCCATATCCAACCTGTAAACAACCTGAAGAGATGTAATTATTTTAACGCGCCGAGTTGAACGCGAAACCAAAACCAAAACCGCTAATAACACGCTTAAACACTTTGAATCCACGCGAAATACCGTAAATTAAAAATAAAAGTTTTTTATTTGTAAATATTTACACAAATTGTGTTAGTGTGGAATATAATTATGATTTTTGTTGAATACTTTTTTATTTTGTTGTTTAATGTTTAGCATTTTTGCCCAGATATATATCCGCTGAGAACGGGAGCTAATCCACAATGGGGATTGTAAATCTGGAACGATGTCGGGATAAGAGGACACCGCGTTTAGCGTCGCTGCTCTAAATTTAGCCGCTTGCATCCGCATGCAAAGTCGTACGTTTCCCTCGGAGCACTCGCGCACTCGCACTCGGAAAAACGCACGAAACGAAAGAAACGAGAATTGATGCGATGCATTTGCGTGTTCGCACATTACCATCGTGCGCGCGTTTTCCACCATTTCCACCTACACGGCGCTCCTGTTGAGTTAAAAACGGTAAGAGGCAACTTAGCGTGGCTTTGGCGATGGCCGGGGGTCGGGTTGTTATCGTAGATTTTATCGCGCGGGCACGACGCCAGCCAGGATGGCAAGATGTCAGTGTGTGAGCCAGGAAGTGAGGATGCCAGGATGTCGCTCGCATCGGCCACCATCGCCAAAAACGTTACGAGGATAAATAAGATAAAAAGGGGACGCCGAAAAAGCGTGCGTGATAAAAAAATACAATGCTAAACACGTTAAACAAGATGCAGTTGAAGTTAAGGGCGGATTTTTTAAGGAAACAGGATAATTGCTTTCATCCTTCAACAAAACAAGCAAAAAACAAATTTTCTGACATTTTTTTAAAAAACTCACTAGTTTTATAATATATTAAACATAACTCCTACTTCTTGTAATATTTCTTGCTTGCATGCTCGTGTTCCTTCACCAACTTCACTAATTCGCTTCAAATTGAAATTTAGCTTATGTTAGTTGCAAACCGCGAGCGGCGTAAGACACTCACTCTCTACGTCTGCGCGTTTAATTCCTCATCGCGGCTCATACCTTCAACAAGAACTAATCAGACAATAATAAACTATCCTACAAACTTGTAATCTCATTTTTAGTGCTTGAAACATAATTAAAATGTAATTATTTATATCAAAACTTATAAAAACCTGTTATTTTAAAACCTACTTAAGTGTTAAATTAGTTTTAAAGTGAATAAAATGGATTTAAAAAGTGTAAGTATTTAATATGATTTAATATATTAACAGTTTTTGATTAAATTTAGTTAGTGATTAAATCCATTGTGGATTAAAAGTGATTTCATAACAACGATTGCCAAAATCTCTTGCAACTGCCGAATTGAATTATTCAATTTTATTTGATTCACGTGCACGCACAATCGGTTTGATGTTCAATCAACGCTGCTGCTGATTAAATACCGCGAGCACAAAAACAAATTGCGAGTTGCGCAACTTTGTTACGTATGTAAAAGAGCTAAAAAATTAACAAAATTAACTAAAACAAATAAAACAAAAATTTTCAGTAAAAATATAATTTTCTTTTAAATTTTATTAAATTTACTTTAATTATTCAGTAATTTCACGGTTTTTAAATAAATTAAACATATATAATTTGCATAATTATCTTTCGGAGTATTTAAGGTGTAAAAATTATAATTTGAGCATAATTTACGCTCGTGCTGTAATGAACAACATCGATTAGTCGTTAATTATGTACGATTTTTATGAGTGTTAGAAAGTGAGACGCTAATAAAGCAAATACGAGTACTAATTGAATGAACTTGGCGTGCGGCAATGTCGATGGTAATGAGCGGCGAACGCTTAACTGATATTCTCGTTTTTAATGCATCGGCAAGCGTGCGATTTTATTATAATTTAAATTTCGATTTCATTTTTACTCATGCTACACAAAAACTCACTTTTAATTAATAATTATTTTAAAATGAAGTAATCCATATAATAGCTATTAATAAAAAATTAAATTGGTAAAAAACGAAGTCTTTGACCCCGACGTGATTTGAACACGCAACCTTCTGATCTGGAGTCAGACGCGCTACCGTTGCGCCACGGAGTCGTTAAAAACTGGCGGCGAGAGTGCGTAAATCATTTTCAGGGGAAGTGTACAGTTTTTCATGCATAGATCATTAATAGATTGGTTGCAGGCTGCACGGACTGCGGAGATTATTAACTTCATATTCTATTATTATTAAAACACTAGTCTTTGTCCCGGTAATGTTTAATAAAAATGTAATTCGTTTTTACTTTCTTGTTCTAAACATAGGATGTGTTAATTCTATCAATAAGATTCGCAATTTTATTTTAAAGAAATTAATTATATAAAAAATTGCTAATACTGCACTTCAGCGCGCCATCTAGGATTGAACTATTTAACAATAACTATGATCGAATCTCAATGCCAACTTTTATCCTAGAGAAAAGGGCTGTCTTTCGGGTTTTCCCGGTGATTATTCGAATTTTTCTCACCGTGAAACCATCCTTAGACTTTAACGAACATTTAAAAAACAGAACTGGCCAAATTGGTCTAGGTGTTGTCGAGTTATGCGCTTACCAACAGATTTTGCAATTCATTTTTATATTATATATAATACTAAATGAAATTAAACGTTTTCAGATAAGTATCCATGAAGATGAAAAACTCGAGAACAAAACGTAAGTATTTTTTGCTTTTAACATTACAAAAGATAATCTATTACATGGTAAATGGCATAATACGCCAATAGATAAAAAGATAATCAATAGGAAGCTGCAATAAAATTACAAAATGAAAAGAAACAACATGACGACATAATACAATAAACAATTTCATTTCGTAAATGTGCCATTAGATTAATCTCGCATTACACACTCCGACGTGATCCGCTGTTGTGTGCAGTTTTGTGCGCGCGCTCAGTGAAAGTCGATTGCGCAATCCGGTTCGATCACAAACGCAATCAATTTGTTTACCTTTCACCGGTTCAAAACACGTCCATCTAACAATGCAAACAAAACATTTACGCACGTCATTCTAGTAATTGGCTTGCAAATTGGCACTTTTTGCATAACAAAATCGGGCACGGCTCAATTCGCGTAGTGCTTGTAAATAAATCGGCGAAAATGCAACATGCGTGAGGTGGCTGATTTGAAACGCGATGGAAATTGAACTTAACGTTAACAAACGGTTATGATGCTGCCAACGATGCGGTGGCGTTTTAGTTGTGCTGCAATTTGCAGCTAATTCCATTCAATTGCTGCAGCGGCAAATTGGAAACGTCGAAAGCGCGCAATTGGGGATGAATCTCTCGAATTGATGCAACTAGTGTGCAATGGAAACTAAGCTAACATTAAATTCAAAACCCTAATTAGAATTTACGGTAAACAATTACGAAATATAACTCGAAATGTTAAATTTCATACTCAAACCCAATCTAAATGGATCTGAATTAAAGAAATTAACTCGCATTGCGTAACGCACCGTTTTTATTACTCCAGAAAGTGGCCGTTCGGTTTTATTGCAATTCTCAGCCGCCCCCGATGCGAACAAATGCGAATCCCATCAGATTTCGATTCCAGACGCAGAACTCGCGGCGTAATCGCGTCGATAAATTACATTTTTAATTACGCATTTTAAAAGTTCAAATACTACCCAAACTGGTGAATAAAACTGAATAATGGCAAAAGCCAAGAAAACCGAGACGAAAAAAAAACGCTCAAAAGAGAACGAAACGCAGAAGACGAAATTAACGCTCACATTGTATTGTTAATTGTATTCTTACGTGGGGTTACATATTGAATGACATTTTTCCTTTCGCGCTATCCTCCGGTAGACTCTCGAATCCTGGGCGATAATTAAAATTGCGCGTCGCGACTCGACGCCGGCGACGATAATGAAAGCGCGTCGCAGAAAAGGAATTACATTTATTACATTCACGTTTGTTTCTCTTTGTTTCACATTCTTCGCCGCTTAGATTCATTCATTTCGTAAAACCCTAAGAGAAAATTTCACTGAAGAATAGCGCGCGATTTTAATGCCATTCTTTGAAGTCGTTTCTAGGATTTTCTCTTCGGGAAAATATGATGACGTTTGTTTAAAATTAAATTTCCGAATGAATATTCGTCCGCATATATTAAATTTACAATCCTCGCGGCGCGTCGAACTGCGGAGAATAATGAAAACGCGAACGTGCGAAAACTAATTACGCAGACGTAAGAATTAAATGAGTACACGTACGTATACTCGGCGCGCTATAAAGGGGTATGAGGGTGTGAGAGGGTGGTTGATGAAGTGCAATTACCACTGGCGAGCGTCAAAACCAAGGGAACATCGAAATAACACCAAAGTAATGCAAAACGAAGCAACAACGCATTAGAGTGGTTGTTTTTTTCTTGTTTATGATTATTACACACACGTGTTGTTTTAAAAGGTAAGGAAAATGATAATGAACAGCGTGTCAAAATTAATTACATAAAAAATACCCCCAGAAACAACTTTTTGCGTTTTTTTAAATAAAATTTTTAATTTAACGTACAAGGACTGCATTTAGAATGACTTTAGTCTCAGTGAATATTTTAAGTTGAAATAATATAAGCTGCAATTAATTAATGTCATAAATGAATAGTTTTATGAATAACACACTCTTATATTAATTAATTACTTTGCTAATTATTTTAAAATGTAAATTTTCTGATTGTCTGCTTCCAGCTCACGTCTGCAGGGCTTTGGCGGTTTCGCCACGTTTATCCTGCTGGCCGTCAACGTCACACTCATCCTCGGATCAGCCTGGATCCTAATTAACGCGCAACTTTTCACAAAACAAGACGGAATCTGCTTGAGTGAACAATGCATTAATACAGGTACTGAAATATCTTTATTTATTTGCCATAATTAAATAAATGATAATAAATATTGTATAATTCAATTTAATTTAAAAATGGATGCCTTTTAATTAGTGTATTATGCACCTCGAAAGCCCGAAATTACTTTGAAGTCGATTTTGGTCTTATTTTTCACTGCGAATTTCTTGTCTTGGCGCCTTTGCGCGGGAAATTAAAGACGAAAATGTGCTTTGTGTTTGTTATTCCGCGACGCGGGCCGTAATGACCGTTATAATCGGCGAATTAAATGAAATGCGCGCGCGGCGGATGGAGGAGAACGCGAAAAAGCAAAAACCCGCAGGGCGTTTGAACGCGCCGAAAAGGACGCCGCGCAAAAGGTATTTTCCGGGAATTTGGCGGCTCCACGAACGCGAATAATCGAAATATTTTATTACGCACACAGATAAGCTAATTATATTTTGGAGATAAAGCTAAACGCCTGAAATTACACACGAAAAGATACAAACGTAAATGTAAATATAAACACAAAAATAACCAAAATGCAAACACGCGAAACTTTTTTTCATTATTTTTAAAAAACATAATTACAATAAAATTAATTATTTGTTTGCTTGTTTTGCATTAAAAAAATAATTTTCTAAAAGTTTTCGCTATGTTTGTGACACATAAAGTACTAATGAACTTTTTCCATCCATTCAATTTTTTGCAAAACTTTCGGGCATAACTTTTTTGCAAACTCAAACAATCTCTGCATCATTTATTTTCGCGTTTTTCACTTCTTTTTGCTTGTTTGCTGGTTCATGCTTATATTCTTAATGTTTTTGTGGGTTTTAATTTTTTCTTTCATGGAACACAAACACTAGTCGCGGCTGATTTTCTTGTTGTTGTACGTTTTTTTTCGCGTTGGCGGTGGCTTTCAGCGAAATGAAACGTGGTTCGCTCATTGCGTACGCACCGCACAACGACTAATATATCATCTATAACTCCAATTAATCATCATTGAAACCAATGTGTAATTAATCTTGTTGTAGCCGTGGCGTCGGTGCGTTTACCTGCGGGCCTGAAAGGGTGCGAATGTCAAACGCGTTTCATCTCGCAAACAATATATTGCGATCGTATAGTGCGTAATACCGCATGCGTGGGCGAAAAGAGGTTTTCATTCAGTGTTAAACACATGTGAAACTTAATAATGATAATGCTTCGCGTAATCATCTTTTAATTAAGTAAAATACTTAACATTATTCACGATCCATTTTAAAAATTAATTTCGTTTTAATTTCTCCTTTCAATTAACATAATAAAACATTGCTTACCGAAGCAGTGTCTGCCTGGATAATAAATAAATCCCGATGGATTTATGTGGCGTGAAAACTTATTATATTCTTATTTATTGCATTACGTTCCAGCCTATTCTACGGCTTCAGCTTCGGTCCATCCGAAAGTCCACAAAAACCACGCTCAATTTTCCTTTTCGTCCTTTTTACATCTCGAAATGTGTTTTTTATGCAATTTTATGACTTGAAATATTTGTTTTGGTATTAATTAAGCAGCAACTGTTTTTATTTCGGCGAAACTTTCGTTTTATTCGTTGTTTTGTTTGTTTTTTATTACGCCGTTGTTTATTTTGCAGCATCCGGTGTCCTGCGAGCAATGGATCGCTCGGCGGATCCTTGCTCGGACTTTTATCAGTACGCGTGCGGCGCCTGGATGAAGGACAATCCGGTGCCCGAGTGGACGGCCACTTGGGACCGGCTGGCCGTGCTGCGTGAGTCCTTGTTGGTCGAAATGCGCGGCATCCTCGAGACACCTAATTCGATTTCGGATGAACCCAGTGCAGTCAGGAAGGCTAAATTGTTGTACAAGACTTGTATGAATACAGGTAATATCAATACTCTATTTCTATCAATAATATAAAATAATGTTTTATATATCTAGAGTTGAAAACAGTGTTTTATCCACTATAATGCGGAAAACAATGTTATCAAAACCACGATATTAATAGAAAACAATGTTTTCTACACCGTGATTTGGAGAACAATATTTTCAATATTTCTGTATAGAAAACAATATTTTCCAATCAAAGAAAGCAGTGTTTTCCCCACTGTGATTCAGAAAACTATATTTTTAATGTTTCCGTATAGAAAACAATGTTTTCCAAGTCAGGTTATTGTATAGAAAACAGTGTTTTCCACACCGTGATTCAGAAAACAATATTTTCACTGTTTCTGTAGAGAAAACAGTGTTTTCCAATGTGCTGGTTCGAAAATTTAATATTCTTGACAATTTCTTGCATTCCGGAGCAAAACTAGAATATAATATGCGAATCACGTGGGTGTATATTTCAAGCAAGCCCGACGCTATCAATCATCGCCCGCAAATCCTGTCATTTGTCACAGGATTCCCCTGTCACATGGGCGGCGGCAGTAGCGGCCTACATGCGCCGGCACGCATGGCCGAAGCTGGCTCTGGCGGCTTAATCGCGACCACTCCGTTTATGGCCCCGACTGCCAGGAGTATCTTATTGTTAATCTAGTCCTAGGACTCGTCGCGAATATGACGCTTATCATACTATCACATCACAATAGCTCCGGCCGCCGTGCTGCTGCTGCAATTACGTCGTAAACGGACGACACACGCGTCAGGACTCGCAGCAAGAACTTAATATGTCCTGTCAGCAGGCAAGCATTCCTGCTTCTTGTGCGCGATGATAAATTATTACGAATTTCCTTCATTTAAATTTCATAAATTCAGATTTTATAATTATTTGCAGACGAGTTGGAACGCAAGGGATTAGAGCCAATTAAACGTACATTACAAGCGGTCGGACTGTCAACGCTGCCGCCAGGACAATTAAATACCACATTAAAGGAACAAGCAGATTCTTTAATTAAAGTAAATAAAACAGAAAGTTTCAATTTTGGGACAGAATTTGACTGGTTATTTACCATCGCAAAAAGTCGTCGTTTGCTCGGAATAAACATACTCTATGGCTTTAATATAGCAGAAGATGTGCGTAATTCATCACTATACAAAATTGTGGTGAGTAACTCACGCATGCGCAATAATTTTCTAGGCGGAGCTAAATAAACTAAATTATCACTTTCAGATCGAACAAATCTCGCCTGGATTCGGTGAAAAATTCCTCCTGCAATCCGATAAATTCACGCACGAACTAACTGAATACAAGCGGCATATTGTAAAAATGCTGACAACGTATGCAAATTGGAGCGGTGCGGCACTCACCCCCATCGAGGGTGAAAACTTTGCGGCGGATGTCATCAGCGTTGCAACACAAATCGCACAGGTAAAAAACCTCTGAGCGTATTAATCAGACAATTACATTTGCATCATGCGCTTTTTCCTTGCCCACGACCTGCACGACCTGAGTAGCGCGAGTAGAACACGGACGCGGACAGGACACGACGCGACGAATACGAAACGCACGCATAAATCACGCACGAACCGAGCCGTATAGTCCGAATAGTAAATCAGAGTTATCCAGAGCGTGTGTGTGTGTGTATGTAGGTCATGACCCCCGTCCAAGAGCGCCGCAGTACGAACCATCTTTTTCACGAGGTGACCCTCCATGAGCTCGAGCAAGGACCACCCGGGCATGAAAAATGGCAACTGGTACAAAACACATAATAACCTCAAAAAATAACCTAATAATTTATTAACACTTAGGTTAATTGGACGCAATATTTAGAAATCATCTTCAATGATACCTCGGTTATCTTAGATAATAAAAAGGATAAAGTTATCCTGTTGGATTTATTCTACATGCAGAGATTAGCATCGCTTCTGGATAAAATCGATCCTGAAATGTTGGAGAGATTCATCTGGTGGAACGTCTTTTCCGCACTTGCACCCTTGACCATCGCCGATTTTCGAACCTTGGGGTACGAGTTCTCGCAGCAGCTGTTCGGACTCAAAGCGAGGACGCCCCGCTGGAAGGGATGCACGAATAATGTGAACGCCAACTTTGGGCTTGCTTTGAGTTACGCATACGTGCGCAGCAGACTCACGCAGCACGAGAAAAACAACGTGCTCACAATGCTGGATGATGTGCGAGGTGCCTTTGAGGAGGCTGTGCATGGTCTCGACTGGATGGATGGTGTAACCAGGGAGAAAACTCTCAGTAAACTGCATGCGATTAGAGCTTTTGTTGGATATCCCGGATGGATTTTAAATTCCACACAACTGGATAAGTATTATCGAAACGTACAATTTTTTTTTATTTATTTTGAGATTTAAGTTTAAATTTTTATATTTTTAGGCGTATGTTTTAGAGGATAATTTATTCGACACATTCCTGAATCTTACAAACGCAGCAGTCCGGCGTACAATGCATAATCTCCGAAAGAAACCAAATCGCAATCGGTAAAAATATTTTTATGTTTTGAGATGAAATAAATCTGTTTGTGTTGTTGTGGTATTGCAGTTGGGTGGCTACAGCAACAACAGTGAACGCCTTCTACTCGGCGACTCTAAATTCCGTCAGTAAGTTTTTGGGCACTTTTATTTACATCCGTATTCGTTTTTCGTGCGGCGCGCAACAATACGTTCGTTAAAGGCGCGGTGCGCGGTATAAATCCATGCCGAAATTATTTCTATTTCTTGCTTTCAGCTTTCCCAGCAGGCATCCTCAAGCCGCCGTTTTACGGCAACGGAATCGCGTAAGTTTTTTGTGTGTGCATGTATCTGACCCAACCACCCAGCGCAATCTGACATTTTGTGTGGCAACTCACATAAAAGTTATGTGCGCACTTTTGTCGCATAACCACAACTACACATAAACACTCACACAGAGAATATGCATGTTTACATCTTGTGAGTAAGCAAGTTCGACATCCGACACTTGGGTGTAAAGATGAAGGTGCTTGTTGCGAGCGATTCGACAAAATTGAACTTTTTATACGCGCGCACGTTTTATCTCTGTTTGTTTATACGACTTTGGGTAACAAAGCGCACAAAAGCTCGAGGTTTACGTGGGCAAAGAATCACGCTCGAAATGATTTAAGATAAAGTTTATATTTGCAGCGCGATCGACTATGGCGGTATCGGGGCCATCATGGGACACGAAGTAACGCACGGATTCGACGACCAAGGTGAGAGGACACAGGTGTATCAAGTGTATCAAAAGCTAGACTATAAATCAACATAGAGTGAAATTGCGGGGATTTATTTACGCACCATATGTCTAAACATTAATTTTCTGAATGTCTAAACATCTCCCTAGGCCGCAGATACGACGAAAATGGAAATTTAAGACAATGGTGGTCTTTGGATACTTTACAACACTATCATGACAGAGTCAGATGTATTATAGACCAGTATAATAATTATACAATGCCGGAATTAGGAAATGCATTCAAAGTAAGCAAAAAAAAATGTTTTAAATTTATTTGTGATTTCATAATCTGTGATGCTTCAGGTGCAGGGCGTCAACACTCAGGGTGAAAACATCGCTGACAACGGCGGTTTGCGCGCTGCTTTCGTCGCCTACAAGCGTCGGCAGACACGTCCGGGAAACAGCATCGCAATGCATCAACGCCTTCCCGGATTACCGCACGTCACCGACGATCAACTCTTCTTTTTAGGATTCGCACAGGTTAATTTATCTCTAAAGTTTACGTACAATCTGAAACTTGCGTAATATAACAACTTTGTGTTGTGTTGATAATATCTCATAGTACTTACACTATATAGAGTATAATGTGTGTATATTTGTTGTGTTGAATACATAATGACGGCATTAATATGCAATTGCACTCGATGTGGTTATGGTTACAGATATGGTGCGGCAATTCGACGCGCGGCGCGCTGAAGAGTAAACTCGTGGATGGCGTGCACGCGCCGAACAGAGTACGCGTCCTGGGCACATTGGCCAACTCGGCGGAGTTTGCCGCCGCTTGGAATTGTCCCGCGGGCGCGCCGATGAATCCACAGCGCAAATGTGTACTCTGGTGACGGGCACAACTTCGGATTTTCAATTAACGCCGCCTGCTCACAAGCAGGGCTCGCGTATTGTGGGACAGGACGTACAAAGTGATAATTTAGATAAAATTTTATTTAATTGCAGACAGATTGAAATAGAAACTAATCAGGTACAAGATTATATCTACAATGGTACAAGAATTTTTTGTTTTAAATAAAGTTTTATAGTAGTACTTTAAATGAAAACTTTTTTATGTGGAAATTTGCATTTGTGTTTTGGAAACTCTATAAAAACACCTACTAACATAATAATAAACAGAATACTATTGAGATAATAATAGGTAATCGAATTCTACGAGTACAACTTTGCAAATGGTAACATAGTGAAAACTGGAAGCTAACGTGCCGAAAACATCAGCCATCTGAATGCATGAGAATGTAACGATAACGACACTTTGGAATTTTCACATTTTCCAACAGAATTTTCCATCATATCTCACCTTGATTCACCAAATGCACGACAAATTCATAAATATATATGAATACAGATAGAAGTATCTGTCACGAATAGAAATACGTTGTATTATTCTTTTTTTCTGTAAATTTTACTCCAGGAAAAAAAACAAAGCTCGCAAGCGGGACGAAGACCTCTCATGCATAATGCATTTATTACAACGAAGGGTAGCGTTGCGAGTTGTGAGTTTTGCTTTCGCACCCCGCACGCATCTCGCTGCTAATCATGGCGGTGGCAGAAGGACGAAGAGCGACGTTCGACGCGCGCGCCGCCTCCGGATGAATTAACCACTTAAGCTTTCGCCCGTCGGCCGCACAAAGCAGGCGCGCAGGAGAAAAGTGCGAAACTTTCCGGCAAACAACTTTTATGCGGCCTTATATTTCATTCTCTTTCGCGCGGCGCGCGCTTTGCAAAGAAAGGCGTTCTTCAAAGAAAAGTAACATAATGGTAAAAAGTGTACGCGGTGCATTGTTAATTGAATAATGCGCAACTTAACAAATTAGTTTTCATTATTTCTTACTACTTATTAGGTTGGTTAAAAATATTTTACCGCGCGCGTTCCAAAAAAAACTCAATTTCTGTTTGTATTTTTAAAAAATGGACAATTTTTTCAAGCTAAAACATGCACAATAAATTTCTCTTTCCATCAATATATTTACTAATTCTGTGAATTTAATATTTTGCAAGATATTCTCATTTTATTTCCACGCTTAATGAAAATAAATCTAAAATAGAAATTTATTTAGTTTGTGTGTTGTCTTGACATAGTTTTCTATATCTCTTGACAGTGTTGGTGTCCCCTATTGTCCCTTACACGATGGCACAATTTGCAAAGCAGTGGGATGCCTTTGCGCGCAGTAGATTACGTAAATAATGTCAGTCGCTCGGCGGCGGGAAAAATCAATGCTCACCGAGTTCGAGCTCATTTGCCTCCGCGGCCGATATTATTATGTGTTTATTTATGTCGTCGTTAGGATATCGTGCATGCTGCATGCCGCGATGTAAGACGGTGTCCTGGTACGGGACGATGAGACCCAATAAGACCACGCAAATATAATAACGTGATTGCGGGCATGATATACTGCAACGAATTCGGTTGACTTTTCGACTTCCGCGACTTCCACAACTTCCAATTTCAGGTGTGCGGTTGCTCAGTTCTCTTCGTGCACGACAAGCACAACGGTCGCATGCAGAACAAGAGTATTTTGAAACAACAGTCTAATAAAGTGAACAATATAATATTCTACATAGAAAAATCTAAAAAAAATGTTGTGAATTTTTATTTTTTGCGTTTTATTTTGCAAAAATCTAGTTTAATATGCACTAAATTGAATACGTGCACCAGCCGAATATTATCGGATGCAATATGACGCATTCTACTCACGTTAAATAAAAATGTTCCTGACAAAGATGAATTTTTATAATATTACTACCGTGTCGCGCACGCCCGGCGCCTTGCATCCATTGATCATTCCACATTGAATGCATTTGTTTACGTTATAAATCACGAGCGAGTCAACAAATAAATAAATGTGCAGTGTGCGCTCAATTCACGCGGAAATATTGCATATTAAAAATGGACGATTGAATTGATTGCAATGTGATTTCAATCAGCGTGCACGTTGGTGCAAAGTGGTACAACGTGATGAATACCAGCGACAGCAAAAAATGAATTTTAAGTGCCGCAATGGCGGAGGCGCCGGACGGTTTTAATCCGCAGTGTAATCGAGTTATCAGCGCGCATTCCGTCCTAATTGTCGAGATGCTCGACCCGCATAACTTCACAACAACTTTGTTTCCCTTTTCGCTATTCGCTTCAGTACAAAGTGCACTCTAAAACAGAATAATTTATTTATCGATTTATTGCCTGAAAAAAAAGTCAAAATGGAACCGCAAGAACCAGTTGTTGATACGCGTATGGATTTTCTCGGATCTTACATTAAAAAGACTTTGAAATTAAAACCAGAAAATGGACGCGGATGATGGCAACCGAGGAACACAAATCTTTAGTGATGAAATTCCTCGAACGTCCATATCCGCTGATTTTGGTCATAATTTTAACACCCAGTGCACAGTTGATTGCATCAAATGGTTTTCCATTGTCCCAGTTGAAGAATAAAGGTTTGTGAAAATTTTTGATCCCACGTAGAATTAGGAAAATAAATATTTCCAGGCGTGTACTTCATCAAGAGAACCCTCACGTCGGTAGACAAAACTCATCCGGGCGAAACAGTGATCCCCGGCGATCTCGCGACAAAGATCATCGATCAGTTAGCTTCGTTAGTCGACGAAGTATTTATCCGAAAGCCACTTTCCGCACACATTTGCATTGCTAATTGTTATTTGTTAAGATTCTAGGCCCGCTGCTAACGAATTCAGGCAATCACGACTCGTGGCCGGACGTGATTGGTCGCGATGTACAAAAGCACGTGCATAGCCTAAAGAGCACCGTGTATCAGGTAAAAGGTCAAGTTAACGGACAAACAGTTCTTCCTCTTCCAGTAGGTATTGACCGAGTACAAGAAGCTGAGAAAGAAATCGTTGAAAGTAAAGGAGAAATTTGTGATCTCTTCTTAAAAAGTTCAATTGAATCAGTGGTTATAAAATGGGCCATGCAGGTCAAAGATGTCCTCTGTAATAACTCCTCTGAATTAGGTCAGAACGGTGCTATTGCTGTTCCATCAGTAGAAATGCAGTTTTGGGGTTTAAGACTTAAAAACCTTCAAAATATATATGATCAACTTAGAGAACCAAAAGTAAAGAGTATGGCGGTAATCTTAGAAGAAAGCAAAAGTGCATATTTTGTGTGCTTCAGTACACTTTTCAAAGAAGTAGTTCTTGCCTTAGCTGAAGCTAAAGATATTGACCTCTATTTGGGAGCTTTACGCAAACACACTGATGGCGTACAAGAAACTGAGTTTAGCGAAGTAACTCCACTACTAAAACCAATGTTGCACGTGGTCTGCTTAATTTGGGCCAACTCCAAACACTATGACCAAGCGAAACTCGTCGTGCTACTCAAGCAAATATGCAATCTGCTCATCCAAGAGGTAACAATACGATTACCAAGTTATAATTCAAAAACATAGATTTGCATATAAATTGTTAATTGCCGCAGGCGAAGAAATTCCTCGACCCTGCTACGCTCTTCCATAGCGACATTGATGAAGCCATGCAACGTGTAGCAACCTCAATTTCTGTCCTGAGGGAGTTTTTCGATCTCTATACGAAATACAGTAAATCACTAGCGTATTTCTTTAAAGAAGCAACTATCAAACAATGGACTTTTCCAAAAAGTGCAGTTTTCAGTCGGTTTGATGCGTTTTTAGAACGATTGGTTACAATACAATGGTTTTTTAATACAATTCTTGAGTTTACTAAATTAGAAAAAGTCGAAATTGGTGGTTTGAAAGGCCGGAAATTGAGCGCTAGGGTAACAGCTGTCTACGCTGAATTCCAAGCTTGCTACTCGCAATTTTCTACAAAATCCTATGATGTCCTAGACCCGGATGACAGGTCATTCCAAATAGACTTTGCGCAGTTCCAGCAGAAGATCAGCGATATGGATTTGAAATTAGCATCCATTTTTTGCCAGGCTTTCGAAAATTGCCATAATCTCGATAGTATATACAAGGTTTCATGAAAAATTTAAAGAAAAACTCATTAATTCTAGTAATTGAATGTTTTTTAGTTAATTTACATAGTGGGAAGTTTGTTAGAGCGTCCAATAATCAAGAATGAATTCACGGTGAAATACATTATAATCCTGGATATGTTGGAAGCGGAAATAACGGACGTAGAGCGTTTGTTTAAAGAGCAATTGCGGCACAAAGAGAAGCACGGTAAATTCCTCGTTGATAATTACATGCCGCCGGTGGCGGGTGCACTGCGTTGGTCCTTCAATCTCCGCCGACGTATTACTGCCCCGATGACACACTTCCAAGCGCTGCAACATTCGTAATTTTATTTTCTACATTTTTTTTAATGTGCGCGTAACGAATGAATATTTCAGGATTACGACTAGTGAGCGCGCCGGTAAACTCACGCGCCGCTTCGAGGAATTAAACGTACGCTTCGCTGCTTTCGATCGGAAGCTCTTCGACGATTGGAGCGCTGACTTATCGAACGTCATCGACGCTAATCTCGCCCGTTGCATTCTGAAAAAATGGGCGGGTGGCAAGGAGTACGCGCTCAACTTTAATCCGGAAGTATATCATTTCTTTATCTCCTTTTCGACATCTTCTCCATCTCTAGCGTTTGGATTTTATTGCCTTCTAATAAATCTTTTTATATAGCTTTCAGCCATTCTGCGTGAAGTTCATTATCTCAACCTGATGAACGACGAGCAAGATAACATGTGGAATATTCCGAGTGTAGCGCTGGGTATCGCCGAAAAGGATGCAGTGTTCCGACGTTACGTCACCTGCCTCAATGAGACCACCACTTGGTATAACAAAATCCGACGGACTAGCAAAGACGTCGAGTTTAGACTGATCGAAGACCAGCTGGCGAAGATCGATCGGCTCATCGAAAAAGGCATAGTGGAGCTTAACTGGAACTCCGGGGGACTTTGGGACTTCATGAGTGAGCTGCACGCGTTAGTTGATACACTCCAACGTAACTTGAAGCAAAGTCAAGAGAACCTCACTGAAATCAGGAATATACTCATGCCGTACGGGCGGTTACCACTATTCGAACGCAAAGATGGTAAAAAAGATACAGTGCTATGTTTTGAAGACCGCAAAGATAAACTGGAAAAAGATGTGAAGAAATTAAAAAAGCAACAGATAGGATCGTAGAGATTGTCAACGAGAATAAACAGCTGTTTAACAAAGACCAGGATGAAGGAGAGTGTCGAGCATGGTCAAACTACATAGACTACATCGATCAGATCCAACTACATTATCTCTATCAAAGTGTAGGATGTAGTTTTGGTTATATCAATGAACATATGGACGCTATTAATAACCTAGCACCTATTTTCGAAGCCCAGTTGAGACTTGAAGAACCCAATATTGTTTTTATCCCTTCTTTGATATCCTCTACTGAAGAAGATAGTTTTAAACATCAGATATCATTACTCTTAGAAGATATTTTGAAGTTTACAGCTGTCCCACAAAGATTACAACCTAATAAGGGAATAACCTATGAAGAAGAGATATCTACCCATCCGGATATTCTAGAAATCAAGAAGGATATTCTCCTAAATGTTGATAATGTTATCCAGGAAGCTTTTTCTTTTGCTGATAGCTTTCAAACATACAGCTACATATGGTTGGATGATCGTAAAGAATACATGAAGCAATTTTTAACATTTGGACGTCAGATAACTCCACAAGAAGTGGAGTGGGTTATGAATAATGACCCATCTGCACCTGAACCCAACACTCCCAAAATGGACAACTTTAAAGACCAGATTGATAACTTTGAAGGTCTTTATACTCAAATAGAAGAAATCAAAACCGAAAAGGTCTTCAATTCATGGTTCAAAGTTGATGTCCACCCATTTAAACAAGCTTTGACTAACACCATAGGAAAATGGCGTGAAATGTTTATCAAACACTTAGAAGATACTGTTACCAATAGTCTGCAAGGTTTAGGCAAGTTTATAAGAGAAGCAGATGAAGGTCTTCAACAAGATGTAGTTGAAGGAGACTATGAAGCACTGGTAAATGTCATGGGATACCTTCTCAAGGTCAAAGAAAGACAAGCGACTACAGATGAAATGTTTGGACCTTCTACATGAAACTATAGAATTGTTAAAATACTACGATCAAGATATTGCAGAAGAAGTAAATGTTTGGTTAGCAGAGTTACCAGAACAATGGGCTAATACAAAGAAGATAGCCATCACAGTGAAACAACAAGTAGCTCCACTACAAGCTGCGGAAGTTACTTGCATTCGACAGAATATTATTGATTTCGATGATAGAATCGCCTTCTATAGAGAAGTTTTCAAGCGTTACAACTTCTTCAAATACCAAGCAACTGAACCGAATATTCTAATCGACAAAGTCAATAGAGACATTCAAAGATTTGAAGATCAAATGAAGGAAATACAAGAATCTGGAAGTCTCTTCGAGGTTACAGTACCAGAATTCAAACTTTTAAGACAATGTCGGCGAGAATTACGAATGTTGAAAGTAAGTCACATCTTCATATTAATACAATTTTAATAAATTTATTATCCAGCAACTTTGGGATTACGTCTTCGTTGTGCATACATGTGTCGACGATTGGAAGACAACTCCATGGCGTAAAATCGACGTGGAAAACATGGATATTGAGTGTAAAAAGTTTGCGAAAGAGATTCGAATGTTAGATAAAGAAATGCGAGGTTGGGATACATACACAGGGTTAGATGCGACTGTCAAAAATACGCTGACGTCGTTAAAAGCGGTCGGCGAGTTGCAGAATCCTGCGATTCGTGAAAGACATTGGGAGCAACTCATGAATTCCACAAAGGTAATGATTTTTTCTATTTTGTAAAACATGTATGTTTGTACATATTGTACATATTTGTGCTAGGAATGTATTCCGTGTAAATAAATTTCATTGTACATAGCATTCTGACACAATTTGTTACAGAATTTAGCGGCATTGCCACCTGAACTAACAGTAAGTAAACAGGTCCTGCGTTCTCGCAACGTAAAAGGTTTTGTAATTTTCATATTACCTATTTTGGTAAATATTGACTTTGCTACCAAGCTCTAGTTTAATTCCATAACACAAAATCGATTCGAGAGTTTAGTGCAGAATTTATTGCAGTAGCGAAAATAAATCCACAATCAGTTTGAGTGCACCCAAGGTCGTGAAATCTTAGTAAAAACTTGCGTCCGTTTCATATTAGAATTTGAACTTTTCGTGCGTTCGCGGCGCTTTCGTTTTTCGCTTGGGGAAATCACTGAAAACGTTCCACGCGCCACGCGCGCCTCAGCGACATGATAAAGCGATAAAAAAGTGCACTATTCTCAAAGCAGCTTAAAGTTGCACTGCGAAAACAATTTCCACAAAAGTTTCACACAACACTAACAAAAGCTTTTGTTAGATGTGGAAACAATTAGTGCTCGAGGTTGTAATTAAGTAATTATTTCATGCACATCGAGAAAATGTGAATGTTTAAATTTCAAGCGCTTTATAAGTTGTAAATTTGATCAACGCAGAGATTTAACGCGCTGCGACTGCCGGATTTATGTAATCACAGGCTGACGGCGCTGGCAATGCAAAGGCACACACATTCCGCGCGCGTTGTACACACAATTAAATCACGGATTATATAAATTTGCACACATATTAAGCATGCAAATCCACCTTCAGAACACGCCTCGCTGCGAAAGCGTCACCTAAATTACGTCTAACTGTTTGACCTACAAAATTAGCTCGTAAAGTGCATTCGCCCTTATGTTGACGCACAAAACCCTCCCAAAAATCTAAATTAAATACCTTCCAGACGAAAATTGTCATGGACCACAGCACAACCCTCGCAGAGCTTCTGGAGTTGAATTTACACGAATGCGAAGAGGAAGTCAAAAATATCGTTGATAAAGCTGTCAAAGAAATGTCCATGGAGAAGGTCCTCAGAGAACTGAACTCTACATGGTCCGTAATGGAGTTTGAACAAGAGGTACACACCCGTACAGGATGTAAACTCTTAAGAGCCAGTGAGAAGTTGATCGAGACCTTAGAGGATAACCAAGTGCAGTTGCAAAATTTGATTACTTCGAAATTCATCGCCCATTTTCTCGAAGCTGTTGCCGCTTGGCAGAACAAGTTGAGCACGGCTGACGCGGTTATCACTATATGGTTTGAGGTCCAAAGAACTTGGACCCATCTGGAGTCGATTTTCATGAGTTCTGAAGATATTCGCAAACAGTTACCTGAAGACTCGCAGCGTTTCGATGAAATTGATACGGATTTCAAAGTTTTGATGGAGGAGATGGCAAAAGTTCCCAATGTGGTAGAGTCTACGAATAGGGAAGGTCTTCTTGGAAACTTGGATAGTTTACAGAAGAAACTAATTCTTTGTGAGAAGGCTTTAGCTGTTTATTTGGAAACTAAAAGATTGGCATTCCCAAGGTTTTATTTTGTTTCATCGGCGGATTTATTGGATATTTTATCAAATGGAAACCAACCAAATTTGGTCGCTAAACATTTGACCAAATTATTTGATTCCATTGCAAGACTACACTTTGTTGAAGGTAATACAATCGAACAGATTGAAGGTATGTACGCCAAAGATGGAGAATACGTTGTTTTTGGTAAAAAATGTGACGCAACCGGACCAGTAAGTAATAAAAACCCATTTTAACTTTAATTTTACCCAAATATCTCCAAAATAGGTGGAAGTCTGGTTGAACAAACTCCAGAATTCTATGAGAACCACAATTAGGACTTCAATTGGAGATGGAGTACTCTCCTATGAAGAAAAACCACGTGACCAATGGTTGTTTGACTTCCCCGCACAGGTTTCCCTATGCGGAACCCAAATTTGGTGGAATACTGAAGTAGCAATGGCGTTTTCTCGCCTTGAAGAGGGTTACGACAACGCTCTCAGAGACTACTTCAAAAAACAAGTTTCTCAATTAAGTACACTGATCTCTTTACTACTGGGAGATCTCACAAAACAAGATCGACAAAAAATCATGACAATTTGCACCATTGACGTGCACTCCAGAGACGTGGTCAGTAAACTAATACAAATGAAAGTAGATAGTGGTAATGCATTCGCCTGGGTATCACAATTACGACACCGCTGGGGCGAAGAAGCAAAACACTGCTTTGCAAACATTTGCGACGCGCAATTTCAGTACAGCTATGAATACCTGGGGAATACGCCCAGATTAGTCATTACACCATTGACAGATAGATGCTACATCACTCTAACCCAAGTAATTAATTTAGAACGTTATAAAAATATAATTTTAACTTAAAATTTACAGTCGTTGCATTTAATTATGGGTGGCGGTCCGGCTGGACCCGCAGGTACTGGTAAAACAGAAACCACGAAAGATTTGGGTCGCGCGCTAGGGATTATGGTTTATGTCTTCAATTGCTCGGAACAAATGGACTATAAAGTTGGAAACAGTGCTGTACAATCATTTCGTTTAATTAAATTGCTGTTTTTAGTCCTGCGGGAATATCTACAAAGGTCTAGCTCAAACCGGAGCTTGGGGATGTTTCGACGAGTTCAATCGAATTTCCGTTGAAGTTCTTTCCGTAGTTGCGGTTCAAGTGAAATCTGTTCTGGATGCGATAAGGCATAAAAAGGAAAAGTTTGATTTTATGGGAGACATGATCCAATTGGTACCAACAGTTGGGATATTTATTACCATGAATCCTGGTTATGCAGGGAGGACAGAACTTCCGGAAAATTTGAAAGCCCTTTTTAGGTAGACATCAAAATATGAAATAAATATAAAATAAATAAATATTTGTATGATTGTTTTGTAGACCTTGTGCGATGGTAGTACCAGATTTTGAACTAATCTGTGAAATCATGTTGGTGGCTGAAGGGTTCCAAGAAGCTAGGATCCTCGCCCGGAAATTTATAACCCTATACACTCTATGTAAAGAATTACTCTCAAAACAAGATCATTATGATTGGGGCCTTCGTGCGATCAAATCAGTTCTTGTGGTAGCAGGATCCCTAAAACGTGGTGACCCTGGTAGACCTGAAGAAGAAGTTCTCATGCGGGCGCTAAGAGATTTCAACATACCAAAAATAGTCACTGATGACACCCCTGTTTTCCTAGGTCTTATAGGAGATCTTTTTCCAGCTTTAGAAGTTCCAAGAAAACGTGATGCTGACTTTGAACGTACTGTAAAACAAGCAGCAATGGACCTCCTCCTGCAACCAGAAGACAACTTCATCTTAAAAGTTGTCCAATTAGAAGAGTTATTAGAAGTGAGACATTCTGTCTTCATCGTAGGTAATGCCGGAACAGGTAAAACCCAAGTTTGGAAAACTCTGTTCAAAACTTATCAAAACATCAAGAAGAAACCTGTATATGATGACATCAATCCTAAGGCAGTAACCAATGATGAACTCTTCGGGATTATTAATCCTGCGACGCGGGAATGGAAAGATGGATTATTATCAGTTCTTATGCGGGAACAAGCTAATCTAGTTGGAGATCATCCAAAATGGATCCTGTTAGATGGAGATATTGATCCTATGTGGATAGAATCATTAAACACAGTCATGGATGACAACAAAGTTTTAACTCTTGCTAGCAATGAGAGAATTGCTTTGACACCAACAATGAGGTTGCTATTTGAAATTTCTAATTTAAGGACAGCTACACCCGCGACAGTATCCCGGGCGGGTATATTATACATTAATCCCCAGGACCTGGGATGGAACCCATTTGTGACATCTTGGATTGAGACCAGGACCAGTCTATCGGAGAAATCAAATTTGATAGTTCTCTTTGACAAATACATCCCTGTATGTCTAGAAAATGTAAGAACAAGATTTAAGAAGATTACCCCAATTGTAGAAACGTCCCATATTGAAATGCTGTGTCATTTATTGGAGTGTCTTCTGACTCCGGTAAACACACCTCCTGATTGTCCCAAGGAATGGCAGGAACTCTATTTTGTTTTCTGTTGTGTTTGGGCTTTCGGATCTGCTATGTTCCAAGAACAAGCAGTTGACTACAGAGTGGAGTTCACAAAATGGTGGATCAATGAATTTAAAACTGTCAAATTTCCAACGAATGGAACAGTATTTGATTATTACATAGACACAGAAACAAAACAATTTGTTTTATGGACTGAGAGTCTGGGAAGATTTGAACTTGACCCTGATGTACCACTTCAAGCAGTTTTGGTGCACACTGCTGAATCAATTCGAGTACGCTACTTTTTAGACATCCTCATGGAAAAACGTCATCCTGTAATGCTCGTTGGAAACGCAGGATGTGGTAAAACAGTATTAGTCTCAGAAAAACTCTCGTCTTTATCAGAAAACTACGCAGTTGCAAACGTCCCATTCAATTTCTACACTTCATCAGAAATGCTCCAAAAAATCTTAGAAAAACCTCTCGAAAAGAAAGCCGGACGGAATTACGGACCCCCCGGAGGTAAAACCCTTATTTATTTCATCGATGACATGAACATGCCGGAAGTGGACACCTACGGCACAGTGCAACCTCATACACTTATCCGACAACATCTGGACTATGGTCATTGGTATGACAGAAACAAACTATCACTGAAAGACATCCACAATTGTCAATATGTATCCTGTATGAATCCGACCGCGGGCAGTTTTACAATCAACCCTCGTCTCCAAAGACACTTCTACGTGTTCGCTATAAGTTTTCCGGGAACCGATGCGCTCAGCACGATATATCACGCGATTCTGAGTCAGCATCTCAATAGTGTAGAATTGAAGTTTCCATCAACAGTGCAATGTCTTGCTGATAACGTTGTCAAAGCATCAGTTGCACTACATCACAAAGTCTCTCAAATATTTTTACCCACCGCGATTAAATTTCATTATATTTTTAACCTCAGAGATATTTCAAATGTTTTCCAAGGATTGTTATTTAGTACGAATGATTGCCTGACTCAACCAACGGATGTCGTACGACTTTGGTTACATGAAAGTCAAAGAGTTTACGGTGATAAACTCGTTGAAGAAAAAGACATCGACGCGTTTACTAAACTTCAATTGGATATTTTTAAGAAAAACTTTGAGGAAATGGATGAAGCTACTGTTTTTGAGAAACCTAATATTTATTGTCATTTTGCTGGTGGAATTGGTGAACCTAAATACATGCCTATAACAAAATGGCCAAAATTAAGTAATCTTTTAACGGATGCTATGGCTAGTTACAACGATCTAGTTGCAGCAATGAATCTGGTCCTTTTCGAGGACGCAATGATGCATGTCTGCAGGTATAAAACTCTAAAAAGATTTATATTCGTACTTTACTAAGATGTAGTTTAATGGTGCCATTTTTAACGATGCTTAAAACTTTTCCTCGTAGGATTAATCGAATCCTCGAATCTCCCCGAGGTAGTGCTCTTCTCGTCGGCGTTGGAGGCAGCGGTAAACAATCGTTATCTCGCCTAGCGGCTTTCATTTCGTCTTTGGAAGTATCCCAGATACAACTTAAGAAAGGTTATGGTGTGACTGATCTCCGCACGGAATTATCAGCGTTATATTCAAAGACTGGATTGAAGAATGTTGGGATAATGTTTTTGATGACAGACGCGCAAGTACCAAATGAGCAGTTCTTGGTGCTTATTAATGACATGCTGGCGTCTGGTGAAGTACCCGACATGTTCCCGGATGATGAAATCGAGAATATTATCGCTGGTGTACGTAATGAGGTCAAAGGCGCAGGATTGGTAGATTCGCGTGAGAATTGCTGGAAGTTTTTCATCGATCGTGTGCGGCGACAGTTAAAGATCGTCCTCTGTTTTTCACCTGTCGGTTCAACGCTGCGGGTGCGATCGAGGAAATTCCCGGCGATTATTAATTGCACACAGATTAATTGGTTCCATGAGTGGCCGCAGGAGGCATTGGTATCTGTCTCGCTTAGATTTGTCACTGAATTAGAAGTTCTGCCAGTAAAAACTCTTAATATTTTGCTTTTTCGATCATATTCACAATTTATTTTTAGGAATCTTTATATGATCCAGTTGCACGTTTCATGGCCTTTGCTCACAGCTCAGTAAACACTATGTCAAAGCAATATCTTCAAAATGAACGACGATATAACTACACAACACCAAAATCTTATTTAGAGCAAATAAATTTATACGCAAAACTTTTACGTCAAAAATCCGAAGAGTTGCAAGGAAATGTTCTGAGATTAGAGAATGGTTTAGACAAATTGCGTAGTACTGCTACACAGGTAGACGCCCTTAAGGCTAAACTAGCCGTGCAGGAAGTAGAATTAAAAGAAAAGAATGACGCTGCTGATGAGCTCATAAAAATCGTAGGGGTGGAAACAGAGAAAGTCCAAACAGAAAAAATGCTGGCTGATGAAGAAGAACAAAAAGTGGCGATAATCGCTGAGGAAGTGATGCAAAAACAGAAAGACTGTGAAGAGGACTTAATCAAAGCTGAACCGGCTCTATTAGCAGCCCAGGAAGCTTTAAACACTTTAAATAAAGCAAATCTAACCGAATTGAAAAGTTTTGGATCACCACCCGGAGCTGTAACAAATGTTACAGCAGGTGTGATGGTCCTACTTGCACCAAATGGTAAAATCCCGAAGGATAGAAGCTGGAAAGCTGCCAAAATAACAATGGCAAAAGTAGATGCATTTTTAGACAGTTTAATCAACTACGATAAGGAAAATATTCATCCTGAAGTAATCAAAGCAATTGAGCCCTATTTAAAGAACCCTGAATTTGAGCCGGAATTCGTCCGGTCCAAGTCAGGAGCAGCTGCGGGTTTATGCGCATGGGTGATAAACATAATTAAATTTTACGAGGTCTATTGCGACGTGGAACCCAAGCGGAAAGCTCTAGCTCAAGCCAATGCTGAACTAGCTGCCGCTGAGGAAAAACTCGATGGGATAAAAAAGAAAGTTGCGGTAAGTACTCGACATCATCGCTAACCTAAAAATATTACAACTACATTATTCACTAAGTTATTAACATTTTGTTTTCGACGACGATGAAAAAAAAACACCGAATGCAAAACAACGTGAAACTCGTTTTGTGTTGTTTTAATATTAATTTCACGCCGAAAATGCACCCGCCCGGATGTCGGATGCGTGCTAAGTGCACAACCATGAAAGTGCACTTTGTGCCGCTCATTTCGACGGCGGGCGGAAACCGCGGTAATGGAGTCGCCGTCCACTTTGCTAATTATAATTGCGATTATGCAGTCACTGGAAGAGCAATTAGCGACGCTCACAGCCGACTTCGAGAAGGCCACCAAGGAGAAACTGCTCTGCCAACAGGAGGCTGACGCGACCAATGCAACCATACAATTGGCGAATCGATTGGTTGGCGGTTTGGCAAGCGAGAACGTCCGATGGGCCGAAGCTGTCAATAAGTATACGCAAATCCAATCAAAATCTTAATCACACCCAAACTAATTACAATTCCAACCTTATTATTGTTTAAAGTTTTATGGAACAAGGAAAAATGCTTCCGGGGGATATTCTACTAGTAACAGCTTTTATTTCATATGTGGGATGTTTTACAAAGCAATACCGACAAGATTTACTGCATAAAATGTGGTTGCCTTGTATCAAAGGAATGGATGTATGTTTAATTACAGATTTCTGTCATTTCTACGTTTCCTATTGACTTAATTTTTTGCTAGCCGCCTATTCCAATTAGTGAGGGTCTGGATCCGTTAACTTTGATGACTGACGACACACAGATTGCAAAATGGAACAACGAAGGTCTCCCCAGCGACAGAATGAGCACTGAGAACGCTACAATCCTGTCCAACTCTGATCGATGGCCTTTGATGATTGATCCACAGGTATAAACCAGAAAGAAAACTTTTTTCTCCGACTAAATCTGAATTTCTATAGCTGCAAGGAGTGAAATGGATAAAAGAAAAATATGGCGATTCGCTCCGCGTTATCCGCTTGGGGCAAAAAGGTTATCTAGACATTATCGAGAAATCTATAACCGCTGGAGACACAGTACTAGTAGAAAACATTGGCGAAAATGTCGACCCGGTGCTAGACACACTGCTTGGCAGGAACCTAATTAAAAAAGGAAAGTAAGTCTTAAAACCAAAAGATTTTAATTAAAAATAAAAGTCTCGAGTTTGGAATCAGACAAAGTTTCGCCAAGGAGTCGGTCGTCGGGAAATATTAATTAAAACAAAACTCCGTCTGCATCCAGGGCCATCAAGATCGGCGATAAAGAGATTGAATACAACTCGGCGTTCCGGTTGATACTGCACACGAAACTGGCGAATCCGCACTACAAGCCCGAGATGCAAGCGCAGGCGACGCTCATCAACTTCACAGTGACGCGCGACGGCCTCGAGGACCAACTTCTCGCCGAGGTCGTTAAGGCCGAGCGTCCGGACCTCGAAGAGCTCAAAGTAATTACCCAGAAACACCGCCCGACACGCCAAAAAACTTCATCCGCACCGCAGCATCAACGACAAAGTCACAAAAGTCACACAAAACTTGCATTCATTAACTCTACAGTTGAAATCATCATCACGGAAATGAATAATATATTATTTTTATAGGCGGAGTTAACAAAGCAACAAAATGATTTTAAAATAATGCTAAAATCGTTAGAGGACGATCTATTATCACGGCTGTCGTCGGCCGGTGGTAATCTACTGGGGGATACAACGCTGGTTGAGAATCTGGAGACGACTAAACGGACAGCGGCTGAAATTGAAACGAAAGTCGCCGAGGCGAAGGTCACCTCGATTCAGATCGATCAAGCGCGTGAACATTATCGTCCAGCGGCAGCTCGCGCCAGCCTGCTGTATTTTATCTTGAACGAGCTCAACACTATCAATCCGATTTATCAATTCTCATTAAAGGTATTTAAGATAAAAACAACTTGCGAACTTGCTAAAGTAAACTTCCGCACGCGATAACACCGACCAAATAGAAAAATCTCCCGCTTTTTTTCTTATTATTATTCGCCAAATTAGATTCAATTTTCGCTTCTTTTTCCCCTTGAGTACTTTTTCCTTTGGTTTTTGTTTGCTGGAGCGGAATCGAACGGTGAAACATTGCGGACATTGTTTTTCGGCCGAAATTTCCGTCTTTTTACCGCGAGTTCATTGTTTTCTTTTATAGGCGTTCAGCGTGGTCTTCCAGAAGGCCATTGCCAAAGCCCAGCCGGCGGAAGTCGTCGCCGCGAGGGTGAACAATCTGATCGATTGCATTTCCTTCTCGGTGTTTCAATACACGACGCGCGGATTGTTCGAATGTGACAAATTAATTTTCGCCTCTCAAATGACTTTCCAAGTGAGTTTGAAAACATTAAAACCACGCAATTTTATTCATTCGAGTCTCAAATTCACTTCGATTAGATTCTACTAATGGGCGAAGAAATTTCCTCAATGGACCTGGACTTTCTTCTTCGCTTCCCAATCAAGCCGCATGTTACATCACCAGTGGACTTTTTGTCCAATTCCAGCTGGGGCGGAATTTGTAGCTTGGCTGCACGAGATGAGTTTAGAAATCTAGACCGAGATATTGAAAACTCGCCGAAAAGATGGAAGAAACTAGTTGAGTGTGAATGTCCCGAACGGGAAAAGTTTCCGCAAGAATGGAAAAATAAAACTGCTCTTCAAAGACTTTGCATGATGCGGGCCCTACGACCAGATCGCATGATATATGCAATGATGTAAACATAACCTTAATTTTAACCTAATTGAAACATAACCAATTTTTTTATTCAGAGCTTTCATTGAAGAGAAACTAGGCCCTAAATACGTGGAAAACAAAACTGTAGAATTCGCCAAGTCGTACGAAGAGACCAGCCCATCAACTCCAATCTTTTTCATCTTATCGCCTGGGGTAAACCCCTTGGGAGATGTTGAAAACTTAGGTCAAATATTAGGTTTTACTGCGGATAGTAAAAACTTTCATAATGTTTCACTTGGTCAAGGTCAGGAAGTGGTTGCCGAGAATGCCATGGAGATTGCTGCTAAAAGTGGACATTGGGTGGTGTTGCAAAATATTCATTTAGTTAAAAAATGGTTGCCGACTTTAGAAAAGAACTTGGAGCGATATGCGGATGGATCTCATCAAGATTACAGAGTTTTCATGAGTGCGGAACCCGCAGCTACTGCAGCAGCACATATTATTCCGCAGGGTATCTTGGAGTCATCTATCAAAATAACTAATGAACCTCCAACTGGAATGCAAGCTAATTTACACAAAGCTTTGACTAATTTTAATCAAGAGACACTGGAACAATGTGGGAAGGAAGCAGAATTCAAGGTTATATTATTCGCGCTTTGCTATTTTCATGCGGTAGTTGCAGAAAGGAGAAAATTCGGACCTCAAGGATGGAATAAGATCTATCCATTCAATGTGGGTGATCTGAAGATTAGTGTTTTTGTTCTTTATAATTATCTAGAGAACAACTCAAAGGTCCCTTGGGAAGACCTGAGGTACCTTTTGGTGAAATTATGTACGGGGACATATTACTGATGATTGGGACAGACGCTTGTGTATTTCTTACTTAGAAGAACTATTACAACCTGATTTGGTCGATGGGGAGTTACACCTTGCTCCTGGGTTTGCCGCACCACCAAATACAGATTACGTTGGGTACCATGCCTATATTGATGAACAAATGCCATCTGAAAGCCCGAATCTATATGGGTTGCACCCAAATGCAGAAATTGGATTCCTAACCACAACAGCTGAGAATTTGTTCAGAACTGTTTTCGAAATGCAACCTAGAGATGCAGGATCTTCCGGAGGAGCAACAGTTACACGAGAAGATAAGGTCAAAGCAATGATTGATGAAATGTTGGAGAAATTACCAGAAGATTTCAACATGGCGGAAATTATGGGTAAGGTGGAGGAACGTACCCCGTATGTGATTGTGGCCTTCCAAGAGTGTGAACGTATGAATTATCTTACTGGAGAGATCAAAAGGTCACTCAAAGAGTTGGATTTGGGTCTTAAAGGAGAATTGACCATCACATCAGATATGGAAGACTTGGAAAATGCTCTATTTCTGGATCAGGTACCACCAGTTTGGTCTGCTAGGGCTTACCCGTCATTACATGGTCTTACAACGTGGTTTATTGATCTATTGTTAAGGATCCGCGAGTTGGAAACGTGGTCGACCGATTTTGTGGTAAAGTATAAAAAACTAGGCCTACGTAGAATGAATTGAGGTGTCTAGGGCCTAGGTTTATCTCAAATCGCTGTCATTTGTTCACAGCTTCCTGCATCCGTCTGGCTGGGCGGATTCTTTAATCCGCAATCGTTACTAACGGCGATTATGCAAAGCACCGCGCGTAAGAACGAGCTCCCGTTGGACAAGATGTGCCTGCAGTGCGACGTCACCAAAAAGCAGAAGGAAGATTTCACGTAAGTGCCAATCAATTACCCTCTGCTTCCGGTCGTGTATCAAGCATGAGCATTCGAAACGTTAAAAAATTACTTCGCATTCGTTCTCGGTGACTTTCGCTTTCAAAATGTAAATTCTCGCTGTTCCCCTAGGAGTGCGCCCAGGGATGGGGCCTACGTACACGGGTTCTTCATGGAGGGAGCTCGATGGGACGCACAGGCGGGGATTATAATGGATTCGCGCCTCAAGGAGCTGTTTCCGGCACTGCCGGTTATCAATATTCGCGCAATCACGCAGGACAAGCAGGAATTGCGTAACATGTACGAATGTCCCGTTTACAAGACCCGAACAAGAGGACCCACTTACGTGTGGACATTTAATTTGAAAACGAAGGATAAGCCTTCAAAGTGGACGCTCGCTGGCGTTGCACTTTTATTGCAAACTTAAATATACCTATTATATTTTATGTTCAAGCCTAGCAAAGTATAATATTTACCTGCAAAATCCACGAAAAAACTATGTAAACACACGAAACACTGATAGTAACCTGATTGTTTTATCTCTGACAAAACATGGTTTGACCGTTACAAGGTGGAACAGAAAAGTAACGGTAAAAGGTACATGCCACGACATCTATACGCACGTTTATAAAACATGCACTTAACTAAATTCAAATTTTAACAATTTAAACACTTAAAACATTAATAATCCTGTTATAAACTTATATCAAGAACAAATTATAGTAACAAATAAATGTTTATTGCTTAAAACACTCAAAAATTTGTCTTTTATTTGATTAAATTTACAAATTGCGCTCTTTCCATTCATTCCTTTTCTTCTTCTATGTTTTTTGTAGTTTTTTTCATTGTATTACCATGAAATCCTTTAGAATAGAGTACTTTAACCTGCAATATGCTTTGTTTCGCAATTCCAGCAAAAACTTGGCAAGCATTCAAAATATTTATTATCGATCAGCGTTCTTGCAGTTTCTGCGCGCTCTAACCTCATCGCATGTGCTAAATCTACCGAATCTCACGCAGAATAATTGCAGAATCTCAACAAAATGATCTACCAAAGCAACTTAGTATTTAATAAATAATCAACCAAAGATAATGCGTGAATTGCTCTATAAGTTCACCGCAACATTCCAGTGTATCACATTGATATGAATTTATTACAATAAACAACTGCTATATAGGCTGCAAAATCTCAAATTTACAACTGAATAAAAATGGCCAGGATTTATTGGCGGTTCTATAGACTGCCCAAATTATTGTAGTAAGTATATAATACAGTTTTCTACAGTTTTGAACTAATATTGTGCTATTTTCATTCATAGCAACTACATAAAATGTTTCTTCCATCGATTGAAGTACACTGTGAGGTCTTTGACTCACAACCACTTCATGGACAACAGTTATGCAGCAGATGTTTGTATGGAACCTCTATTTTGGTTTGTTGATAATTCTACTTATGCAATTGGGCCAGTAAGTGATCAAATTTGATATTATTCACAATTTTCAAAAGGCAATTTTGTATTTGTTGCAGTTTTTTGTGATTGCAGTGGTTGTGCTGACTGCATCTGTTGTGTTCATTGCTTACTGGCTGGGTCTTCCCTACTGGTGGCATAGAAATTCGTTGGTCTGTGTGTTTCTAGTCATATTTGGTAACTGGCTGCTTTTGAATGTCTCATTTCATTATTATATGGCTGTTACAACTCATCCAGGCTATCCTCCACAAGTAAGTGATGGTAAAACTTATTGTTATTGATACAAATGTATAAAACTTTTAAGGGAGAGCTTATTACTGAAGCTGTGAGTATTTGTAAGAAGTGCATTTCGCCAAAACCTCCGCGGACGCATCATTGTTCAGTGTGCAATAGGTGTATACTCAAGATGGATCATCATTGTCGTATCCTTTCGGAAAAACTTACTTTTACATTGTATTTGTTAAATAGTTTTATTCATAATTATGATTAGTAGGTCTTCCTTAACTTAAAAATATCAGCTTGGTTGAATAATTGTGTAGGGTACCGCAATCACCGCTACTTCTACCTGTACATGGCGTATATGATAGCTGGTGTGTCATTTATCATCATTTTTGGCGCAGAACTTGCGTATCAAGAAATATGGCTCACTCCAGAACTTCCAGACCCAGTCTTGGAAGGACACCCAGTTAAATTAAACAAAACCGGAGCGATAATAATGATGGTACTCGAAATAGGTCCATCCAGTTGAATAAAAATTTATAATTTTTATTTTTATTGTCTTCAGACTGAAGCTTATTATCAATCCGGAGTTACTGCAGAACCTGAAGTGGAACACGAAGTATCCCCCATGGAGATGTGGCGAAGACGCGCTATAATCTATATGGCTTTAATTAATACCGGTGTATTATTCGCGTTAGGCGGTTTGTTAGCGTGGCACAGCCGTCTTGCGTCAAAAGGTGAGACCAGTATAGAAGCTAACATTAACAAAGCCGAAACAACAAGACTAGCCGAACGCGGACGCATTTATATAAATCCGTACAATTTTGGCAGTCGCAAAAACTGGCGACTCTTCTTAGGCCTTGTAAAAGGTCGAACATGGTGGAGGCATGTCTTGCTTCCATCTGCTCATGACCCCATCGGGGACGGCCTTACATGGCACACAGTTAACGACGATGTCTTTCCGGACGAATGGCCCTAAATCTAGGCGCAGTACTTTAAAACATTCCAAAAATTATACCCAAGCAACTAGATTCTATGTTACCACCTGTTTCCATGTGGGACATGAGAAGGTGGGTACAATTTCAGGTCTTAACGAGTTTAAAATGAAAATCAAATGCTAGTGATACATACTCTTATATATTCGATATATTCAGGAACTTATATTTGAAGAGAGTTAAATTGAAGCGAATTGAATAAATGCACATCGGGTAGATTACCAGATGTTCTCCACAATCCAATCTGTATAAGATGACACCCTCGTATAAATACTGCTCTGCCCACCACATCCGATACCAATGGATGTTACTCCAATGACGTAGTAGATGCATTGGTTATACTGTTGGGACACCATGAGAGGACCACCTGAATCACCCTGTGAAAAACAACAGAGAATTTTATAAAAGGTAGGTTGATGTTTTTATAATATTTACTTGGCAAGTATCGCGTCCACCCGGTTGATAACCAGCGCATAACATTTCCTTCCTAACTCCATCTTTCAAAGTGTTTCTGAATCGGAAGTCACATACCTCATTGGAGTAGATATGAAGTCCTACCTTCAACAGTTTATCACTGGTGGGTCCCACTAAAATAATCACATAGATATGCGGTGTTTATGATATATGATTATTATAAACTTACTTGCTTCCATGGTGCCCCACCCTGCAGCGATAACATTTGATGAGTCATTCGTGTCATCAGTGTATAAACACGCAGGACGTACGTCCTTGCTGATGCGTACGTTTCTATCAAGTTTAAACAGACCTATATCATGATATTTCCTGAGGTGTTTATAACCTGGATGCCTGATTACTTCTACAATATCGAATTCTTGAAGGTGTCGGCTGTTTCCTTCCAGGTAGATTGAACCCAGTCGCACTTTCAAAGCAGTACCGCTGTGAACATATTTAGGGGTGAAAATGAACCCCGAAATTAATCTATATGATATTCTTACAATGAACGGTGATATAAACAATGCGCCGCGGTGAGGACATAACGTTCACTTATCAAAGACCCACCACATAACCAGCTGTACCCTCCTTCGGTATTATTATACCCGATGGCGGCCTTTGAATAAACACAAATATTAGATTTAATGGAATTGGATGTATTTGCATATTTTGGTCATACCATGTGTGGAAATTCTCCATCGCGTGCAGGTTGACCACCAACAATGAGTTGTTCACCGCCTTGGTCACAAACAGGCAGTTTTAGTATCTGGGGTTTCCCACCAGCGACCAATGGCAATAATTCAAAGTTTTTATTTAGCGGAGCTGTGTATTCCTTGCATTCTTAAAGAAAATCTTAAATATATTTTGAAATAATAACTTGCAATAACTTACTTGATGCCGCCAATTGTTTATTTCGCAGACTCTTAGTATTTTCTGATTCCATGATTCATAAAACAAAAAGTTTAATTGTTTGAAGGTCAAATCGTTTATAATTATTAATTTCATCTAAAAATCTCATTTTTACCGGTTTTAAAACCTACCTTGAGCCCTTATTTCATTCAGAATTAATACCAATAGAAATATAAACAAAGTGGTTGATAGTTTACACATTGTCACGATATTTGAATGTTTGTGGTGGTAATTAAATACTTTTTTAAGCGGAACGCGATGTTTTTCCCGCAACGTTGTTTGAAACACTGATTTTATTATTCTGATGTATGTAATGGGACCGCAAAAGTTTCTCTTGCAATTACCAGTTTGCGGTTTTACATAAATAGACATGATTAATGAATATTCGTGAGGTCAGTTACAGACACGACAATTATTATCGGCATGATTATATTTTGTTTTAGTAAAAAAATAACAGATTCATATCTACAATACGTATTAAGTTATAGATCTAAGTCGAACATTAAACATTTGCGTATATTTCCGTGTGATGTCTACCAAATTGTGTTGGATATCCAGTCGATAAAAGAAGACACCCTTGTGTAAATAGCGGGAGTGTTGGGTGCAGCGCAATGTCTACCAAATGAGGTTATACCTACAAGATAGAAAACGCATTGATTGTTGTTCTTTGTAATCAAAAGAGGTCCTCCAGAGTCACCCTGAAATGATAATATTGTAATAGTCTTTATTTTGGTTTGACTTTTGGTGTCTTACACTGCAGGTATCCTTTCCTCCCTGCAAATCACCCGCGCATACCATGGAATCAATGATTCCACGTGGTAATCCTTTCGTTCCCATGCGATATGTGTTCTGACAACGTTGATTCGAGAAGATCTTGAGGGTTACCTTCAGTAGTTTATCACTTGCATTCCCACCTTCATATAATTTCAAAGTTAATTTGAGCCGAATTTAATTATTTTGGTTAAATTACCGAATTCAATACGTCCCCAACCTGTTGCAATTGCCGTTGTTGAGGTAATGTCCCTCTCGGCCCATAAACACGCTGGTCTTACACTCGTGGTATACCTTACTGGTCTATCCAGCTTAAACAGTACGATATCGTAGTATTTTTGTGTATGTGTATATTGAGGATGTTTTATAATCCTCTGGATGTCGAAATCTTGTCTGGAGTCGAAGTTTTTAGTGATATCGGTAACACCAAGTCGGATTTTTACTGGTGGTCCACTTAAACATTCAAGGTTATTTATTTATTTATTTATAGAACTGGATTTTTTTGTAAAATAATTACTTACTCTCGTGAACTAGCACAATGTGCTGCAGACAATACGAATTTGTCACTAATCAGGGTACCTCCGCAATTCCAATGGATCTCACCTTCAACGTTTCTAAATCCAATCGCAGCCTATGAGTTTTTCATTATAAATGCGTTTTTCATGCTTCAAAAGCACGTTTTCACTTAGATATCTTTAACGTTTGTTATCAATTGTCTTACCATGTGTGGAAACTCTCCATCGTCGGCGGGTTTACCACCAACTATAAGTGGAACACCCGCGTGATCACATTTCGTAATGTTTATACTCGTTGGTTCAGCGTGGGCGGTCAACGAAATCACTTGGACTTGCTTATTGAGGGAACTACTATATTCTTTACATTCTACAAGAATACCATCAGTATTATGTTGTTTAATAGTATAAGTACAAATATTATTACTTTCAGCGATTAAATCCGCGGTTGATCCTGATCCACCATTATCATCGGGGAAACTAAACACATCCGCGCCATTAGCAAGGTCAACATCAGGAAGGAATTTTCGTTTACTTGAACTTCTCCGCTTTCTAAAAATGCAAATTTACCTGTTAAGTTTGGCATACCTGCAAAATTTCACAGAGATATTTTAGAAACACTAATTGTTTTGTTTTAGATTTTACTAGGATTTGCCCTTAATTACCCCCACCACAATTCACAGGTTCCCATAGCTCGCAACCATGTAATTCTACCGTCGCAACCCTCACCACTTTTTGCGGGTCACCTTTTACTTCTGTCGTTGATCTTTAAATTCATCTCTTCTCTCTTTCGGTTTTTGTTTTTCTTCAGGTATCGTTCAAGAGAGTTTTATTAAAGTTTTACCAACAATAACAGAAAGCAAAACATTTATATATAATTGTTAGGTGTGGCACTTGTGAGGGCAGGTGATAAAAGATAAGCATGAAACAATGAGCACTTGTAATTGTAAAAGAATGTTGAATAGCGTTTATTGAATAAGGCGTCTCTTAATCTGCGTCTGCTGCGCTCTGCTTGTACTTAGCTACTGCACCGGGCGCACGCAGTGCGCCGGTGTTGCGCGGGAAAAATAATGTAATGTATGTTGTGTTGTTGGTTGCCTACGTTACGCATTTCGCTAACACTCGACCGTCCTGACTCTCACTCGTCCTCGAGTGTGTATGCTGCGAAGCGGGCTGGAACCTTTGTGACTCGTGAGCTCTTCCTTACGTTTTTCACCTCGGCAGTGGCGCTTCCACTTGCCGGAACTTCTTCTCCTGCAACGTCGTAATTTGTTCAAAATGGCGGCCCTGGAACCAAAATTGGCTATAAAACGGCGAAAGAAACTAGCCATTCCCAGGAAACGCCGTAGCTGGTGGATATCTGTAGGCGCAGGATACTCCGAGATCGCTCGTAGTTTTGCGGGGCCAGGCTCTATGCCATCGGCACTCAGAATGAACCCCAAATACTCCACACGCTCCTGCATGAAGTAGCATTTTTCGATCCTCAGCGTTAATCCGGCACCTCTCAACGCCATCAGGGTCTTGGTTAACCTGACTCGCATGTCCTTCCAATCACGCGCAGGTATGAGGATGTCGTCAAGGTAGTACATCACCGTGTCATTACGGAGAGGTCCCAAAACCTTTGCATTAGTTTTGAGAAGTACGAGGGGCATTGGTCAAGCCAAATACCATTCTGGTAAACTCACCCGTTTGGTCCGGAGTAATAAAAGCTGTCTTTCTGCGTGCTTCTTCCGACAATGGTACCTGGAGGTAACCATGAGCCAAATCAAGTGTCGTGAAGTACCTTGCATCGCGAATCTGTGTCAGATGTTCATCCATGTCGGGCAGCGGAAATGGCAATGGTTCGGTCTGGTTGTTCAACCGTCGATAGTCGACAACCATTCGGTACTCCCCAGTCTTCTTCTTCACCAGCAGTACAGGGCTGGCGTATGGTGAGGTCGTGTCGGTGACTAGACCTGCATCTCTGTATTCGTTGATGATGGTGTTGAGCGCCTCGCGCTCATCGGCACTACATCTGTAAGGCTTCTGGCGCACGGGTTGACTGCCCGGCACCTCGGTGATGTCCATTTGTAGGACCGTTGTGCATCCTAACTCGGAGGAATCGATCGCAATGGTATCGCGGAACTCGTTGAGGAGGCCATGCAGCTCGTTCACTGTGTCCGTATCCAAATTGTCGTCCACGTTGATGACCTCGAGTGGAATGGGTTGCTGGCGGGGCTCAGCTTGCTCCAAATTCAGTACCTCGCCCCGAAACAGACTCGTGTTCTGAGATACATGAGTGGGCTCAACCGCCCAATTGATCAGTGGAAAAGCATGCGTTTCCGTACCTGAGACAACCTCTACCAGGTTTACGGAACGTGGTGGAATGTTCGCTTCCGTCGTCACTCGATTTGACGCGCGCTTCTTCGCCTCGACTTCCAAAGCAGAGAACGGATCATCACTACGGTACGTAAATATCAGGTCATCATCAATGCGCATGTAGACGATAGACGGGTTCTCGGTGAATGGTCGACCGATGATGGCGTCCACGCTCTGAACGTCGTCCGGAACGATGCTAAAGACTATTTCTGAGAGAACCACACCATCGATGGCAACATCCGCCGTGACAAATCCGGGAGATTTGACAACATGGTTTGCGGGACCAAATGCCTTCAGCAAGGTCTCCTTGCGCTGAATGGTAAAGCCTGCGGCGATGGCTTGCGACGCCTTCAGGGTGCACTCCGAACTTCCTGGATCAATCAAGCTCTGGAACGCCATTCCGTTGCATGTGATTGGCTTCAAGTATTTGAGCACACCATCATTGTCTTGCGAAGTAATGATCTTTACTTGTCCATTACTCTTTGCGGCTGTCTCCGCTGGACGGGTTTCGGGCTTGGATAGTCCGCGTGGTTTTGGTGGGATAGGGCAATCTCTGGCGAGGTGTCCCTCCTTGTTGCAGTTGAAGCATTTCATGACTCGACTTGTAGTCGGCTGTGGCGGTGCTGGGGTTGCGGACCGCCCTACTTCTGATGGTTTCTTCATGGGCGCACCATAGAAATCCATCACACGTGGTGCATGGGTTGATTGACTCCTGGGAGAAGGAAACAAGCGCTCCTCACGAGCCTTGTGCACACGCAAATAATTCAGCAAGTCATGGTACAGGCTGTTGGTGTCGGCGTGACGTTGTGCCATCATGGCTGTGCACAGCTGCTTATCATACAACCCAATAAGCAGTTGTTCCTTCTTCTCCTCCAGGCTCAATTCCAACCCTGCACATAAATGAAGTTTGTTGTAAAAGTAATCAGTAATATCAAGGTCTTTGGATTGTACATAACTTTCCATCCGCTTCCAACGAGTAGCAAAACTGTCTTGTTGGATGAAGGTGTTGGTGAAGGCGGCTTCAAAATCGACTAACGTGTGCACGCCCTGCAGATCCTGGAACCATACGGCGGGTCCTCCAGCGAGATGCGTTCGCACAACCTCTAGCGCGTACGCGTCGTTCCACTGATGTAGTTGGCATTGGCGGCGTAGCGATGCCAACCACTCTGAGGCACTCGTCTTCGCGTCGAACGTCGTAAGTCCGGACTGTGCACCCGGTGCACTATGGTAGGTGGTGGCCGGTGGCGATGGGCGCTGCGCCATTGCCATCGACTGCATTAACGTATTGAACATTTGCATCACGCCGGCCAGGGTGGCGGCGTCCGTGCCAGGTTGTGGTGGCGTCGGTTGTTGCGACGCACCAGCTTCGTTTCCATCATCGCCCATCGTGGATGTAGAACGTCTTTCGGCTTCTCGGGGATACTCGCGCGAATCGTCGTTGGCCGGGACGTTGGCCGTTACTCGTGCGTTCCGTTGTGCCCCCTTCGGCACGTGTTCTAACCTCCAAGATTTCCGTTGGCGCGGAAAAAAAACTAGGCTGCCTCGCGCAGGATGCTCTCAATACTGCTCAAGTCTCACGTCTTACCTGTTCATCCCACTTCTGAGATGTTAGGTGTGGCACTTGTGAGGGCAGGTGATAAAAGATAAGCATGAAACAATGAGCACTTGTAATTGTAAAAGAATGTTGAATAGCGTTTATTGAATAAGGCGTCTCTTAATCTGCGTCTGCTGCGCTCTGCTTGTACTTAGCTACTGCACCGGGCGCACGCAGTGCGCCGGTGTTGCGCGGGAAAAATAATGTAATGTATGTTGTGTTGTTGGTTGCCTACGTTACGCATTTCGCTAACATAATTATAAATTATTTTGATGGTACCTTCACAACAAACAATAGGTGTCCTTCCTTGAAATCCACAAATAGTAGGCTTAATACCAACTTCTGCTTGTTTCTTAGCCTGTGGACACACCGTTGACAATTTGCACACACCCGGCGCACCAGTGTATTGAAACGTGCAGAAATTTCCAACTGTGAATTCCGATTAACAATTTACAATTGAAATGAGTACTTAAGAGACAATTGAATGCCAAACACATAATTTACATACCTTGTGTTTGTACTTTCCCAAGTTGTAAAATTACTAAGAAAGTAATAAATATTCTCCAGGGTACCTTCAGTGCCATTTTGAATGTCAACAAATTTGGCACAGTTCCAGATTAAATATCACACGCTTAAAGCACTGCGGTTTTGAAAGTTACTAACATTGAAACAACCTTTTGACCGCACTTTACTTGTGTTTTTTTTTCTGCTGAATTGCACTGGTTTCTATTGCGTCGTGTTTGCTACCTTGGTCGGCGATTTAATGATTACTCGTAAGTTGCGACCACAAGAACAAAACTGGACGTACCTTCAATTCGTGGAAATCCGCATCACAAATTGTAGTCTACGAGTATACTTAATGTCTATTTATGACTGACTAGCTTTCGTGTATTTATTGATTATATCGAGGTGGTAATTGCTTTAATCACTTGTTGATGGTATTTACTCGTGTAATTTGATGGTGGGGCAAATTTCGGAAGTGTCCATCCACGCGTACACCCGCTCACGTAAACTTGCACTGATTGATTGTTTAGCGGCCAGCGACGCAGTGCGTTCGGAGTGTTTGTCATTTCCCCTGACGCCGATCGCAACAGGTGAACACCTATGAACTCAATTACTTAAGTACAATTCGCATTTATCGATCGTGCGACGCGCGACCAAAACCGGTCGGCCGTCAAAGTTGCGCGCACGACAACATCAACAATGCGGTTGTCTCTGTGCCGGCAATTAATCGTAATTAATTGGTCTATGAATAAGGTACCAATATGTAAACGATTATCCTTTAATGCGCAGCATGATTGGTTTTATTCCAAAGTGAGAATTCTCGAGCGCTTCGAACAATTTCTGTGGTCGCTTAGCTGTCGATATTAAAATCATTTAGATAAACAAACTTGTGGTTTGTGGATACTTGGAAATTCCGAATGACATGTCAAATAAATGTGTAATACACATATTACTCACTTAAAATGTTAAGGAGACAAATAAAATGGATTTTAATTTATTTGTGTACTTTAAATTTACAATAAATTTTAAGCCAACAATAAAAGACGAGTTCATTTGCATAATCTGCGATTTTATGAATAAATATTAGCATGTTATGGTTATGGTAATGGGATAAATGTGTTGTGAGTTATGGCGTTGAGACGAATGTCAAAGACAAGGACCTTTTGTGCGCATCAGGCGCAAAATGCAAGTCGTGCAAAACCCACGTAAATTTATTAGGTTGTGATTCATACAGAACAGAAAAAAAACTCTTTGTCACCAGAACAACATCCATAAACTATAAGTAAATATTATAATAAGAAATCTATATCCGGTATCGATAAATATTTTAACACAACGGTGTTTTAAATTTCCCCTAATTAAGTCTGGAATATTCATGATAACTTCGCCTCTGTCAATCTACAAGCATACTGATCGGTTTATGGTTTTCCCATTGAGGAAGTTCTGAACCTACGTACTCGTACGTACGTAAGTGACTTAAGTGTGTTTATACTGATGAATATCGCGCTCGTGGAATTTTGACTTGTAGTACAAGTTTTTGCCCACACCAATGAATAAGCGGCCAGTGGAGGCTCATCCAAAGGCTAGTCTGACCAATCTCGACGACAATAGTGTATAAATATTTCGTTGAAGCATCGCGCGCTCAGAAACTCACAACACTCGACGCGCAAACACCGCAAACAAACAACGCATATATTCTGTATCGTGTTCTCTTGTTTTTCCACTGTATTTGTTTACGAGTCGACTTTGAAAGTGAACGGAAATAATTACCAGGAACTAATTATTCATTAATTTAAAAATATACACAATGCTGGTAAGTTTCATAGCTTAAAATATAAATGAACATCATAGTAAATATAATAACATTTTAACCATTGTAAATTACAATATTGTGACTTTGAAGAAATTATTTATTTATTGCTATCTGCTGAGGTTAAAATGTTATCGAGGTCGTCACCATTTTGTGGGAATTACTTTATGTTTTGTATGTAGTTGTTGGTATTGACGATAACAGTGGCGTGCGCAATGGCACAGCGTCCCATGTACGCCGGCAGTGGCCCAATCGGTCGCCCTGAATTAGCCAATCGTTTTCGTGATCCTGCCGCAGAGACATCCACCACAGCTCCTGGTTTAAGTAATCGTCTTGGTGAGGATTCCACCCCCCACCTAACTTACCAGTTGATGCTTTGGGTGATGAAGAGTTGGTAAACCGACTTAATCAATGGCCCAGGGAACATAGACCATTCTGGTTGCTCAATTCTGCTGCCATCGAAGAACAGAGGAATCAAAATGTGAACAGATTAGTACAACAAGCTCAAGCCCAACAGAATCAACAAAATCAACAAGCTCAAGGTCAACAACCCTTAGAATCCAGGGAAGTAACTTTGATCAACAATCCACCGATGATCAAGTTGCTTCCCTACCTATTAGGCCCACTGGTCAAAGACCAACTTTTTGGTCCCGTGGTAATTGATTCCTGTTGATTTGGAAGAAATAAAGACTTTGTGTTAGCGTATGTTTTTATAATACGCTATTTTCTATTGGTGGAATAAACGCTTCTTTTGGGTGTTATTTTTAAAATTAAATTTATTTATTTTACATAATATGATACAGAGTATGTGTGGCTTTGCGCAAGCGACAATGCAATATGAAAACGTAAATACATCGTAGTATATGTCGTAAATAAACGAATAAATAAACAAAACCAACGCGACGATACATAATCGTATGGCCGATAATAAACAATGAAAAGATGGCTCAAGCACTTTCACACTAAAAATTAAATCTATCTTTTCATACCGATAGCGGTTTCGATAATTTAGAATTACATATAATTTATAAATTACAAATATACGCTCCTATTATTTCCGTCAACCCACACGTTTGGTATCAATTGTTGTGAAATTAGAGTACAACATGCAAACGAATATCTAGAATCCTAAAGATGGTAAATTGTTGAGGATGCTGGCAGGATTCTGTATATTCATCGTCATGGGCTTTAGTCTCCTAACAATTGATGCAGTTTTTACATAAAATGGTAAAATTTAGGAGCGATGCGTTGAACGTGCGGTGTTTGCGTAACAAATATAAGAATTTAGTTAGATTAGAAGTTCCTTATCTACTGCTCGCCTTGCGGGACGACATTGAGCGAGAAGGCGGCGAGTGTTTCGCTCTTTTTGCCAATCGCCTTCGCTTGATACTGGCCGATGTCGTTCGAGTCGCATTTGATGATCTTGAGCGTGTATCGTTTACCCTCTTGTGTGAATCCGTACTTGGAGACACTCTCGCGGATGGGTTTGCCGTCCTTCAGCCAGTTGATCTGCAATGGTTCATCTTCGGTCTCGGCGATGAACGTGCCGGTCTCGCCCTCGGCGAGCGTGGCGGAGATCGGGAATGTTTTGAACACGGGCGACTTGGGCTGCTCGTCGGGCACCAGCACGTTGAGGGTGCAACTGCTGAACGTCTCGCCGGCGTCGTTGAACGCCTCGCAGGTGTACGCGCCGGAGTCCTCCGGGAAGATCTCGGCGATGCGCAGTTTGTAAATGTTCGCCTCGTTGGTGTACTCGAAGTCTTTGCTGGGTTTGATCTCTTTGTTGTTGTGCAGCCAGATTACGTCGAATTTGTCACTGCCGATGATTCTGCAGGAGAGCTCTACCGGTTCACCGTCCTTCACGAATGCTGATTGCAAATGGCTGACGATTCTGGGAGGCTTGTCGTCTGATTTCTTCTTACCATTTACAATACTACCCATGGCTACATTAAAAAATTTAAACAAAAACATCAACTTCTACTTAAAAAAATAAATAAAATAAAACTTACGTTTGACTGTGAGCTTGCAGAAGGTCTCTGTTGATCCAATTGAATTAGTAGCTTTGCATACATATTCACCTTCATCTTCAGGATATACTTCATTAATAGTCAGGGTGCAAATGCCATTTTTGTATTTCAAGTCCATGACCTCAGAGGAACTCAAGGGTTTCTTATTTTTAGACCATGTTACTTGTGGTTCTGGGTCACCCTTAACATGACAGATCAATGTCAGTTGTTCGCCATCACCTACAGTGGTATTTTTCAGTTCCTTGGAAAATCTAGGTGTGCACATGGACGCATCATCAGGAGGTAATGCTAATTCTTTAGTTGAGTTTCTTGATCTATTTGGACTACCTGTGCCTGTGGAGTCTAATCTACCTCCGTATCTCTTCGGTGACCTATCATTAATATTTAAACTGGAGGATGATGATGATAGATTCAAACTAGTTGGTCTCGCTGTGGGTTGTGGTGCGGGTGTGATATTTTTCCTAATGGTGACTGGAATTGGTGCTGGTTTAATGGGTTGTTCAATATATTTACGATCGCCGGAATGCAAGATCTTCTGTGCGATTTGGCTTTGTTCCGCTGTACCAGATTCACCTTCAACGATCACCATGCAACTTGTCTCATCCTGGCCATGTTTGTTGGATGCTACGCAGCTATATCTTCCGGAATCTGATGGACGACAACCAACGATTTCCATTGTGATGACACCATCAGAGGTTGACATCGAATATTCATATTTGCTGAGTTCGCGTTTGTCTTTGTACCATTTGACTGTCGGGAAGGGTTTACCAGCCAGACAGCAGAGGAGTTTGCAGGTGTCTTTCTCTTGCATAACACGAGGACGTAACAGGAAGGTGAAGCTAGGTGCGCATTCTTGTTCTTCTTGCCAGTAGGTGTATGGTAGTGGTTCACGACGGCGGACAGGTTGTGCTTCGGGTTTGTATTCAGCTGTGACAGTTGGAAGTGGTTGGACATTGAGGAAGACTACCTCCTCCTTAGAACCATAGTGGTTATCGGCTCTGATGATGTATTCTCCACGGTCTTCCAACTTGGCGCGATTGATAATAAAGTAGTAATCATCTCCAACGTAGCGTTTCATGTATTTCACGCTCTGCCTAAGTTCACAACTGTTGTGGTACCAGCTAAGGGTAGGTGTAGCAATACCCACAACTCTGCAATAGAACGTGACACTTTGTCCTTCATAACAGAATGCGCTTTGAGGTCTAATAACAAATCTAGGTGCTGCTTGTCGTCGATCAAACATTGAATCATATATCTTGTACTTCTCCATGAGTAATTTACGTAGCGAGGAATAGTTCGACAGTCTTCCAATTGGCAGCGAGAAATCGTTCCAGTTTTCATACCTGGCGCGGATCTTATCACGCAGTTTCAAGTAGCGGTTCTGTTCGATCACCTTTGTTCTATGGCTGTGATCTCCAGTCAACCAGGCGTGCATTAGGCATTCTTCCGCGGTCATGCGCTTCTCCTTGCTCTTGATAAGAAGTTTACGGATGAAGTCTTTACCTTCTTCAGAGACATTTGCGAAAGATTCTTCATCAAAGTCCCAGTCGCATGCCTTTACATTCTTAAGGGTCTCAATGTCATTTTCACCTGCGAAAGGTGAGAGACCACTGAGGAGGACATAGGAAAGAACACCCACGGCCCACATGTCAGTGAAGAAACCAACTGGTTCACGCTCAACGATCTCAGGAGCAGCAAACTCAGCGGTACCAGTGGAAATTTTAACCACCTCATTAGGATCTAGTTTAGTGGCAAGACCAAAGTCAATTACCTTGATATTAGTGCCCTTGCGTGTCTGGCACATAATGTTCTCTGGTTTGATGTCCAAGTGGATAATGTTCTTCTCGTGCATGTGTTTGATGGCTTCGCAGATTTGGCGCATGTAGGCAATGACTTCCGCCTCGGACATTTGGTAACCTTCAGCTGTGATGCGTTCGAAAAGTTCACCTCCGCTCAAGAATTCGTAAATTAAGACCATTTCATCATCGTCTTCAAAAGCGTCATGAAGATTGATCAATTTGTTGTGGTGTAATTGATTCATGATGTCAATTTCTTTACGAATGAGTTCTTTCTCCATGGCGTGGGTAACAGGGATAAATTTGGCAGCGAAAATGTTACCAGTCTTGCGTTCTCTGCACCTGTGCACGACCCCGAAGGCACCTGTGCCGATTTCTTCCAGAATATCATAATCTTCATATACGCTTCTGGTCTTGATCTCAACAGGTTGAGGAACGTATTTGGAATAGATGTCAAAGACATATTGGTCGTAATCCTTGACAGGTTCCTTGTGAGATTCACGGATCTTCTTACCATTGGCATCTACTTCGACCTTCCTCTTCTCAACCTTCTTCTTGCCAGAGTCCTTCATGGTTACTAGGGTACTGATGTCTGATGGCGCAGAACGGCCGTAGATGTTTTCAGCGTATACTCTGAATTCGTACTGGTGACCAGGTGACAATCCACTGATAGCCATTGAATTGATGCGGGTGTTGCCCACTCTCAACCACGTTTGCAGTTGATGTTCACGTTTCTCAACCAGGTAGTTGGTGATATTGCTACCGCCATCCCAAAGTGGTGGCTTCCAGTTGAGTGCAAGGGAATCAAATCCAACGTTATCGCAAGTTGGGAATCGTGGTGGGTCTGGCCTATCGCTGATCTGGATCTTGATAATGGCAGAGTCTTGACCCATATCATTCTCAGCTGTGATTCTGTATGGACCGCTGTCGAGTTTACTGCCATCGCGAATGGTAAGAATAGCATGACGGTCCTTGACCTCCACGTGGTAATGACCACCAGATTCAATAGTCTCACCCTCGCGGATCCAGCTGATGCGTGGACGTGGATGACCAGTGAATGGAATCTTGATGACGACATTTTCACCTTTGTCGAAGTAGGCAGTGTCACGGAATCTGGGTGGAACGTTGAGTTTCGGTGGAGTCATGATGATCAATTCAGCGCGGGTAGATTTCACACCACCCTTATTAATAGCTCTGCAAACGTATTCATCGGCATCTTCACCAAAGACATCGTTGATGGTGAGGTGATAATTGTCACCTTCAGAGTAGATGTTGTATCTGGAACCACTGGTAATTTCACGGGCGCCTTTGTACCATGTGATGGTTGGTTTTGGGCTACCGGTAATGGTGCATTCGAATTTGGCATTATGGTTCTGAATGCAATTAGCGTTCTTAAGAGGCTTGACAATTTCTGGTGGAGTAGCACCCATTGGGTCAACGATTTTAACAGACAATGAGTTGGTGGATGGTTCAGAAAGACCAGCGATATTTTGAGCAAACACGCGGAATTCATACTGGCGACCTTCAATGAGGTTGGAGATGTTGAGAATGGTCGGCAAGCAAATAGCAACATTGACGCGTTGCCAAGTGTTGCTGCCCACCTCACGTTTGTCGATCCAGTATCCTTGGATGCGAGCACCACCGTCAGATTCTGGTCGGGTCCATTCCAAGTTGACGAAGTCACCACCGATTTGAGTGACGTTTGGAATGCCGGGTGGTGATGGTGGGTCGAATGGTGCTTTAGCCTTGATCGGGTTAGTACCCTCGCATGCTGGTCCCATACCGTTATCATTTACAGCCATAACTCTGAAGAGATATTCTTGTCCTTCAGTCAAACCTTGCACCATGAATGAAGTGTCCTTGCAAGAGGACGAAATTGTGATCCAGTGGGTCAAAGAAACATCTTTACGTTCCACGACATAGTGGGTAATGCGAAGACCACCATCGTAAGTAGGTGGTTTCCATGTGAGAGTGCAAGTGTGTTTAGTGATATCAGCAACGTCCAAATTGATTGGTGGACCAGGAAGACCAGTAATGTATACAGTGAAGTTACCAGAAACAGAACCACTGTCATTCTTGATGGTTGCGGTGTAATTTCCAGCGTCATCTTTGCGGATACCACGAATGTAAACAATGATGTATTCATCAAAGATGGTAAATTTAATGTGTTCAGATTCATCAATCTTCTTGCCGCCCTTCGTAAGAGTAAACTCAATGGGTTGGTCACCAGAGTAGTAAATCTTGATCTTGGTGTTATCATTCTCAGGCAGGTACAACTCGGTAGGAATGCGGTTGATAACAGGTGGAGCTAAACAGAAATTTAAATTAAGAACCTAATAAAATACGAAAAAGGTCAAAATACTTACATCCAATCTTGACACGGGCGTTAGTTGTGACTGAGCCCATAGCATTGCTGGCCTCACAGGTGTAATCTCCTTCATCAAGAGCCAAAGCATCGATAATATGCAATAGGGCAACACTACCCTTGGTTTCGTATCTGTATCTTCCTGATAAGGTCAATTCACGTCCATTGCGCAACCACCTGTAGGTCGCTGGTGGTTTGCCGCTTGCTTCGCATTCCAAGGTAACAGTCCTGCCAAGTGGCACGACGGTGTTACCCAATGGACGAATCCATTCTGGTTTCTCACCTCCAAGTACTTCGCATACTTTGACTGGGGTAGAGCATGCGCTAGGTTCACTCTTACCAGCTGCGTTGACAGCAAAGATGCGGAATTCATAATCGTTGCGTTCAATGAGATTGATAGCAGTGTAGTTAGTATCGGTGACATTGTACTCATTACACTTGTTCCAAATTGGACTACCGATTTCTCTCTTTTCGATGATGTACCCGGTAATTCTGGAACCACCATCGTTTGCGGGTATTTCCCAGGTGAGGTCAACGTAGCTCTTGCCAACCTTGACCACTTTAGGTGCACCTGGTGGAGATGGCACGTTGAATTTACCCTTGAGCTTGAATCTGGTGGAGGATGAAGATGGTTTGCTAAAACCAGCAGCGTTCTTAGCCTTTACACGGAATTCGTATTCGTGACCAGTGATCATGTTGTACAGATCGAAGTGTGTTTGAGGAATGAGATAATCAGCAGCTGGAGTCCAGTTGGTCTCAGCCACATCGCGGTATTCCAGACGATAACCTTGAATTCGGGAGCCACCATCGTTTCCGGGGCGTTCCCAGATAAGATGGATAGTGCTTGAATCCCAGTCGCTGACACGTGGCGCACCTGGTGCGTCTGGCACAGTGAATGGATATTTGGCAGTGATAGGTTCATCCAGTTCGAGGGGTTCACTGATACCATATTGATTTTCAGCACGGATACGGAAGCTGTAGCGTTTGTTGGGTTCCAGTCCCATAACGTCATAGTGGGTGTTGCGGACAAAGCTACTAGCCTTAACCCAGATTCCAGAAGGTTCATATTTCTCAACAATATAGTTGGTAATCGGGGAGCCGCCATCGTCCAATGGTGGCCTCCAGGCAAGAGAACAGTTATCTGGTGTGATATCTGAGACATCCAATGGTCCTTGAGGTTTGCCAGGTTTGTCGACAACAAGAACTCTGCAAGAGCCAGAATCGTATCCAACACTGTTGGTAAGCTTGATAGTATAGCTTCCACTGTCGGAACGCTTGGCTTTGTTGTTAATGAACACAGATTGGATATCAGTAGTTTCGAATTTGATACGATGGTCCTGAATAACTTCATCGTTGTTGATGGTCCAGTTTTCTCTGGGTCTTGGAGAAGCAGTGAATGGTACAGTGATTTTAAATTCTTCACCGGCAATGACAACCATGTCTCTGATACTAAGATCAGAAGTGATCTTAGGAGCAGATGGTGGAGCTCTGCAGACAATGATATCAGAAGGTGGACTCCATGGACCTTGTCCAGCAGCATTCATAGCAGCGACACGGAATTCATACTCGTGGTTCTCAATCAAGTTGATCACCTTATGAGTAGTATCAGGGACCAATGCGTGAGAGGCCTTGGTCCATTTATCTTCAGTGGTCAACCTCTTTTCAATGACGTATCCAGTAATTGGAGAACCGCCATCATGTCGTGGTTTGTTCCATGTGATCGTAATGGAATCTTCGGTGGTTTCCACACCACGAGGAGAGCCTGGAGCTCCGGGAACATCGAATGGATGTCTGGCCCTGATGGGTTCGGCAGTGACAGCTGGATCGGATTGACCATACTTGTTTTCAGCAATGACACGGAATTCGTATTCTTTGCCGATGGTCAAGTTGCGCACGCGAATGAAGGGTACAGTAACATAACTGCTGATCTTGGTCCATGTTTGAGACCTAGCTTCCTTCCTCTCAACAATGTAGTTGGTGATTGGAGATCCACCATTGTCCTTTGGTGGCTGCCAGTATAACGTCAATTGGTCACCGGCGAATTCATCAGCACGCAGGTTCTCAGGTTTACCAGGACGGTCCAATACACGTACATTAAGGGTAGCGGTGTCGAAACCTGAGGGGTTCTTCAACTGCAACCTGTACTGACCAGCATCGTTTCTGTTGGCGTTCTTTACAATGATGCTAGCATAATCGTCGGTAAGTGTAGGATGTACACGGGTATCAGTTTCATCCAGAATCTTATCATTGGCAAACCAGGAAGCAACTGGTTTGGGGAAACCAACATATGGTACGTGAATGTTGAAATCTTCACCGGCTCTGACAGTAATGTCACGAATACCGCTCAAATCGATGCATGGTTTGTTTGCTTGTTCCTCAATAAGGATCATTGGTGTTGGTTTGCTTGGCTCAGATGGGCCTACGTCGTTAACAGCAATAACACGGAATTGGTATTCATCTCCTTCCTTAAGCTTAGGCACAGTGTAGACCAGTTCCTTAATAGGTACAGAATTGCAGTCAGACCAGTCAGCAGCATCCTTCTTGCGTTGTTGAAGAATGTATCCCTTGATTTTAGATCCGCCATCGTTACGTGGTGGACGCCAAGATAGTGTGACACTGTCCTTGGTGATGCGGTCCGGTTTGGGTGGTTCCGGAGCATCGGGCTTGACTGTGGTAAAAGTGTTAGCACATGCGAATCAATTAAAATAAAATGGTACTTACATCTTTGGTGACCGGCGATGATGGGTTCAGTTGGTCTGCTCGGCTCACCAGGTCCAGCTTCATTGACGGCAACCACCCTAAATTCGTATTTGTTACCTTCGCGCAGGTCCTGCACGGTGTAGCTGGTATTAGGTGTTGGGTAATGGTTGACCCTGACCCATTCACCACCACGCTCACGCTTCTCGATGTAGTAACCGGAGATAGGCTTGCCACCGGTGGAGGTTGGTGGGTTCCACTTGAGCGAGCAGCTGGACGGCGTGTAGCCGACGACTTGCGGCTGGCTTGGTGGACCTGGTGGATCAAACGGACTCTTAGCAACAACGGGTTTACCTTCGAGTGGTTCCGAAACTCCGTAGATGTTTTCAGCGCGCACGCGCACGACATATTTTTTGCCCTCGGTAAGACCGCGAACGGTGAAGTTGGTCTTTGGACAGAAACCGGGGCACGGGCGCCAGCAGTCCATTCCGAACTCGCTGACCTCGATGATGTAGTTGGTGATTTCACCACCGCCATCATCATCTGGAGGATTCCACGAGACGGACACAGTTTCCTGGGTTGTTTCGGTGTATTGTAGTGGACCCTTGGGCATGCCAGGTTTATCCACAACAATGACCTCGATATCGGCAGAGTCTTTGCCATATTCATTGCTAGCAGTGACGGTGTATTTGCCAGAATCATCCCTGTTGGATGATTCTACGCGGAGGCAGGTGTGTTCGCTGTTGGTTTGCGTCTAACAAAAACATAAAATATAGTAATGGGTTTTTCAATAATTGAAGAATAGGTAAACTTACAGATACTCTGTTTGATTCGGGAATAACAATGTTGTTCTTTTTCCATTCGACCTTCGGGATTGGAGCACCTGAAAGTGGAATGTCGACGCGAATGGGTTCACCGGCGCGCACCTTAATCTTGCGGCCGATGATGCCATCCAGCCAAAGCTTGGGTTTCTCTTTCATCGGTTTGGCAATCATTGCGTTCGATGTGTCGCTTGGTTTGCCTGGGCCTGCGGCATTAACCGCAGTTACTCTGTATTCGTATTCGTGTCCTTCTTGCACCCTATCGTCATAGTATTCCTGGTGGCGGCTGGGTTCTTTGTTAAGTTTCACCCAGCGTCCGGTAGCACGATCACGTCTCTCGATATCGTAGCCAATGATGGGAGATCCACCATTGCTGATTGGTGAAGACCATTTGATTTTGATATGGTCTTTGTCACTATCGACCAATTCTGGTTTGCCAGGTTTACCGGGAACGTCGTATTGGTTCTTGGCAACGACGGGTTTGTCAGTTTGCAATGGATCTGAACGACCTTGCAAGTTCTCAGCAAGTACGCGGAATTCATATTTGGTGCCTTCAAGGAGACGTGGTACCACAGAGTGGGTGTTCTTAGGGTTAACATAGTTAACAGCTGGTACCCAACCACCACCATGAGTCAAATCACGTTTCTCAATAACATATCCACTGTAAAATAATAAAACATGTCAAACATGAAGAAAACAGAACATTTTCAGATAACATACGTAATTTCACTTCCACCGTTATCCTTTGGTGGTTTCCACGACAGGGTGACACTTTGAGCTGTAATTTCTTCGTATTCCAATGGTCCTTCGGGAGGCGCAGGGCGATCTATAACCACAATCATTATAAAACCAATTTTCTACTTTGTTATTCTAAATATACCTAATACGATAACTTGGAAGGATCCTTCATCAGTTCCTGAAGAATTCTTCAGCATTAAATGATATAATCCGCTGTCAGAGCGCTTGGCATTGACAGCGTGAATGACAGTATGATGACCAATGGCCGTGACGGTGGTACGTTCATCGGCGGTCAATGGTTTATGATTAGATGACCATGTGACTTCAGGTGTTGGTTCACCAATGAAGTCAATGTCAATGTGCAGGATAAGACCAGCCTTGATACGAATATCATTAAGAGGTGTTTTAATCTTTGGTGCCACTGTAAAAAGGAAGCAATTAATATAATTTTTGGGATTAGAGTAAAGAATAACATACAGTATCTGGCCTTGCACAAGACCATATCGCTTGGTTCGGATGGTTCGCTGTTACCAGCGTTGTTCGTTGCGATAACACGGAATTCATATTCTTGTCCTTCGATAAGATCAGGTACTCTGGCATCAGTTTTGCCAGCTGGGACGGTTGCAGCCTGGTTCCAGTATGGGCTGCCCTTTTCTTTCTTCTGGATGATGTAGCCAGTAATCGGGGAACCGCCATCGTTCTTTGGCGCGGCCCATTCCAGATCCACGTGGTTTTTGTCCCAGTCGACAACATTGGGTTTACCAGGCGCATCGGGTTCATCACTTTCGTTTTTAGCGATAAAGCTGCGTGGCAATTCAAGAGGCAAAGATTCGCCAACGGCATTCACAGCCTTGACGCGGACATAATATTCTTTGCGGTGTACCAATCTGGTGATGTCATGATGAGTGATAGTAGACATACCAGCATCGGACCAGATACCACGTGACACGTCCATTTTTTCAACAACATAGTGCAAAATTGGAGAGCCACCATCGTCCAATGGGACCTTCCAGCTGGCTCTGCATCCTTCTTTGGTGATTCTGCTGATTTCCAATGGTGGTTGTGGTGGACTAGGTTTGTCAATAACGAGAACCTGAGCAGATGCGCTGAAGGAGCCAAGGTTATTGGTGAGGGTTAACGTGTAAGTACCAGTGTCAGTTCTGGCAGAGAATGGAATCTCGAAGGTGCATTTAGATGTTGATACATACATATCAACACGTTCACTAGCTTGAATTTCTTTACCGTTGCATACCCATTGGGCTTTAGGTTTAGGTGAGGCTTCAATAGGCAGATCCCATGCAATGCGGTTACCCGCCTTGACAACAAGATCTTCCAAGAGCGATTTGTTGAAGGTAGGCGCTTGGAATCTAGGCTTAGCAATAACAGGAAGTGAGCATTCACTTGGTTCACTAGGACCACCTTTGTTGACGGCAATAATTCTGAATTCATATTCTTCTCCCTCAGTGAGATTGGGAGCTGTACCTTTAGTTTGATTTCCGGGTACTTCAGCAGCCTTTTCCCAGCTGCCATGTTTAGGACGTTTTTCAATGATGTATTTATCAATAGGAGCACCACCGTCTCTCTTTGGTGCGGTCCACTCCAGGTCAACATGATCCTTATCCCAGTCAGTAGCGACGGGTTGACCTGGTTTGTCTGGTCTTGTATACGGATCCTTAACAGTAATACTCTCACTGGTGGTCAGTGGCAATGATTCACCTTGCTTGTTAACAGCTACAACACGGAATTTGTAGTCGTGACCTTCAGCAAGGTTATCAACACGCATGTAAGGACTGACAGATTCGCCAGCTGGTAACCAACGACCTGTCTCCAGATCTTGCTTTTCAACAGCATAATGAGTGATTTCTGAGCCACCATCGTCCTTTGGTGGACGCCATTTGAGTGTAACAGAGGACTTAGTGACCTCATCACCTCTCAACGGGCCTTCTGGTGGTGAAGGAATATCAAGGACAGTAACTTTGACAGTGTGAGTGTCTTTGCCATTAATGTTCTTTGCAGTGAGTTGGTATGGACCACTGTCGATACGTTTGGCATCAGTAATGCGCAAATGCGCCATGTAATCTTCATTGGTGACCTTGATACGATCGGATGGGACAAGAACGGTGCCCTTAACTTCCCATTCTTTGGTTGGTGGTGGTTCACCGATGACAGGTACGTTGAATTCGAAGGTTTGACCAGCGCGAATCTTGATATCCACGAAGACATTCCTGTCAATCTTGGGTGCAACTGTAAAAATTTTAAATATTGGTAATTGGTAATTATTGAACAAATTTTCATTGACTTACGATTCTTGGGACGAGCAACATGGACCTTGGACGCGTCGCTAGGCTCACTTGGTCCTCCCTTGTTCACGGCACGAATACGGAATTCGTATGGTGTACCCTCAATCAAATCATTAACCTTTCCAGTGGTAACATCACCTTCAACATCAGCGCACTTCTCCCAGTTGGGATTGAATTTGTCACGCTTCTCAATAACGTATCCCGTAATGGGAGATCCACCATCAGATTCTGGTCTGTCCCATTTAAGTTCCACGAAATCTCTATCGTAATCAATGATATCAGGCGTGCCTGGTTTGCTTGGCTGGTCGTAGGGGTTCTTAGCAAGGATTGCTTGAGCGGTGGTCAGTGGTTCAGATTTACCTTGTCTATTCACGGCACATACTCTAAACTTGTATTTCTTTCCAGGTTGTAAACCATCGACTTCCAAGTTGGTAACTGGGCCGTCAGTTTCACCAGCTGGTACCCATCTACCGGTAGCTTCATCCATCTTTTCAACCACGTATTTCTCAACGGGTTGACCACCATCGTCAGAAGGTGGACGCCAAGCAAGTTTGCAACCCTTGGCATGAACATCGGATACTTGTAGAGGACCATTTGGTGGGCTAGGTTTATCCAAAACGGTAACAGTAACATCAGCAATATCTTTGCCGTTAACGTTCTCAGCAGTAATGGTGTAGGTGCCCGATTCGGACCTTCTTGCGTTGGTAACCTTCAATTTTGTGATGTACTCGCCATGTTGCACTTTGGTGCGGCTGTCGTTCTTAACTTCTCTGCCACTTAGAATCCATTTAGTTGTAGGCATGGGTTCACCAGAAACCTTAACGTCAAAGTTAAAGTTTTGACCGGCCTTGATGCGGATTTCGATAAGGTTGGTTCTATCGATCTTTGGTGCCAAGTTACGGGGCTTAGCAATGATGGTTGGTGTTTCATTGCTAGCATCACCAGGTCCGGCAGCATTTACAGCACGAACTCGGAATTGATAACCTTGACCCTCGATTAAATCAGGTACAGTGGCTTTGCATTGATCTCCAGGCACTTCAAGCGCTTTTTCCCATTCTCCAAATTTGTCCTTCTTTTCAACAATGTAGGCAGTGATTGGAGAACCACCATCTGTTGCAGGTGGGGTCCAGGCAAGGTCAACATGATCTTTGTCCCAGTCGGTGGCCTTGAGATGTCCAGGCGCTCCGGGTTCATCGAATGGATTCTTGGCGATGATAGATTCCGCTGCCTCGAGGGGTTTAGATTCACCTTCGGCGTTAACAGCAGCGACACGGAATTTATATTCATGACCAGGGGTAAGTCCGGTAACTTCCATGCCAGGTTCAGTTGATCTACCGGCAGGTACCCAGGTACCAGTTTCTGGGTCCATCTTCTCTACCTGGTAATATTCGATCGGAGTGCCACCATCGTCCTTTGGACGCTTCCACTTCAACTTGCAACCATTCTTATTAACGTCAGAAATGGCAAGTGGACCTTCTGGTGGTGTAGGCTTGTCGGTAACAGTGACTGTGACAGTATGCGTGTCCTTTCCAGAGGAGTTAGAAGCAGTAACATTGTATTCGCCAGAATCTTCACGTCTTGCTGGACGAATAACCAACTTAGTGTTGTAGTCTACGTTGGTGATATCAATACGTTTATCATTGCTCATCTTAGATCCTTGGAATCTCCATTCCACATTAGGTGCAGGTTCACCAATAATATTGGCGTCGTATTTCAATGCGGAACCAGCAGAAATGGTAATATCATGCAAGTAACGCCTATCAATGCGTGGAGCCAAGAATCTTGGTTTAGCAATGAAGTTCTTGCTGGGTTCTGATGCTTCGCTGGGGCCAGCTTTGTTCAACGCAATGACCCTGAATTGATATTCGTTTCCTTCAATTAGGCCATTGACAATACCAGTTGGGTTGGGGCCAGTGGTTTCCACTGCCTTCTCCCACATCGGGCTGTATTTGTCTTTCTTTTCGATGATGTAACCAGTAATTGGTGATCCTCCATCGGATGGAGGTTCGGTCCACTTAAGTTCGCAATGCTGGGCTGACCAGTCAACTGGTTCAGGTGCTCCGGGTTTGCTTGGAACACTGAATGGATCTCTGGCAATAATGCTACCCAAGGTTTCAAGAGGTTCAGATTCTCCTTCTTTGTTAACAGCTTTCACACGGAACTTATATTCATGACCAGGAATTAATCCATCAACCTTCAACTCGGGATTATTACCCAAAGTCTTACCAGCTGGCAACCACATTCCAGATTCTGGATCGAACTTCTCAACGATGTAACCTTCAATTGGTTCACCTCCATCGTCTTTGGGTTTCTTCCATTTGAGAGTGCAGCCATCCTTGTGGATGTCTGAAACTTCCAATGGGCCTTCTGGTTTGCCTGGTTTGGAGATAATGTTGATTTCCACTTCAGCGGTATCTGAACCATATTTATTGGTGGCCTGAATTTTATAAACTCCAGTATCTTTCCTTTCGGGTGTGTCGTTGAAGAATTTGGAGTTATAAGGTTTGTCTTCGATGCGCACCCGCGGGGACGCAATAGATTTGTTTTCTAAAGTCCACGCGACCATCGGAGCGGGCTCGCCGGTAATCTTGACATCGATGTAAATGGGTTCGCCTTCTTTCACATGAATAGTGCGCAAGTTCTTTCTATCAATCTTAGGAGCCACTGTAAATTAAATACGTAAAATAGTAGTATTTGTTTTTAAAATGGGTATAGAATTAAACTTACGTCTTCTTGGCTTCGTAATAACGGATTTAGATGCGCCACTAGGTTCACCTGGACCGGCAGCATTGACTGCACGTACACGGAATTCATATTCAACTCCTTCGTCCAGGTTTTCAGCGGTACCCTTGGTGTCGTTAGGGCCGGTTTCACCAGCCTTTTGCCATTTGGTCGAGCCTTTCTCGCGCTTCTCGATGATATAACCAGTGATTGGAGACCCACCATCGCTTGCTGGTGGGGTCCATCTAAGGTCAACGTGGTCTTTGTCCCAGTCGGTGACTTCGGGTACGCCAGGTGCACCAGGTTCATCTGAAATTCAAATAAATAATAACAAAATTATCTTCATCGCAATTTAAGGACTTTTAACGTACCAAATGGATTCTTAGCAATTATGCTCTTGTCAGCTTCAAGTGGTTCAGACTCGCCTTCAGAGTTAACAGCAGCCACTCTGAATTTATACTCCTTGCCAGGTTCGAGATTGTTAAGTTCAAGCTTGGGTTCTTTAGCCCTGCCAGCAGATACCCATCGTCCAGTTTCTGGATCCAACTTTTCGACTTGATAGTATTCAACTGGAACACCACCATCGTCTAGTGGTGGGTTCCATTTGAGAGTGCAACCCTCCTTGTGAATGTCGCTGATCTTAAGAGGGCCTTCTGGTTTGCTTGGTTTGTCAAGGACCTTTAATTCAATGGTGGCTTCATCTTTACCACACTGGTTTTCAGCCTTCAGCAACAAAGTACCACTGTGGGCACGTGTTGCAGCTGCAATGACAAACTTGGTCTTATAGTCTTCGATATCAATTGTGATGTCGTCACGTTTCTCAATACGTGCTTTGTTAATAAACCAAGTCTTGCTTGGCACTGGTTCACCAGAAACCTTGACATCCAGACGTACTTGTTGACCAGCCTTAACAGTAAGATCTCTCATTGTGCTACGGTCAATCTTTGGAGCAACGTATCTGTCCTTGGCAGTGATGGTATCAGAAGCAGCTGATGGTTTAGATTCTCCACCTTTATTAACAGCCTTCACACGGAATTGATACTTTTGTCCTTCAATTAAATCAGGTACTTTGGCTTCGGTCTTGTTTCCGGGTACTTCCAACACCTTGATCCATTTGTTACCAGCCGGATCCTTCTTTTCAACGATGTATCCAGTAATTGGAGCACCACCATCTTCTTTAGGTGGAGCCCATTTAAGATCAGCGTGGTTACGGCTCCAATCTTTGACGTCAGGTTTACCAGGAGCTTCGGGAGCTTTGAATGGATTCTTGGCAGTGGTGGGTACATCAGTAACCAGAGGTTCTGATTCTCCCTCAGAGTTGATTGCTTTTACACGGAATTGGTAGTCTTTACCTTCAGTCAAACCAGAAACATCAGCCTCGGGTGTTTTGGTGGTGGTAACTGGTACCCAGCGACCGGTCTCAACATCTTGACGTTCAACGACATATCCTTGAATTGGTTCACCACCATCATCTTCTGGTGGTTCCCATTTGAGTTTGCAACCTTCAGCGGTAACGTCAGATACTTTAAGTGGACCTTTAGGTTTGGACGGTTTGCTCAAGACTTGGATCTCCACTTCGACAGTATCAACACCACTGTCGTTCTTAGCAGTAACAATGTACATGCCAGTATCGGCACGTTTACATTTTTGAAGAATGAAGCAAGTGTGGTAATCTTCATTTTCAATCTTAAGACGATCGTTACTCCTAAGGGTTTGTTCTTTCAAAGTCCAAGTGACGACAGGGGCGGGTTCACCAGTAACGTCAGCCTCCATCCGCAGCATTTGACCAACGCGGACAACCTTCTTTTGGAGATTCTTGCGGTCGATTCTTGGAGCCACTATAGAATTCAAATAAATAATGAGTACCACAAATATTTTGTTAAAAATGGCTCCAGGAAAACATGAAACATAAAAAGACAAAACACTTACAGAATCTGGGTTTAGCAATAACAGGTTTAGACGGATCACTAGGTTCACTAGGGCCTGCTTTATTAACAGCAACAATACGGAACTCGTATTCGTGTCCCTCTTCAACAGTTTCGACACGACCGGTATTCCTGTCACCGGAAACGACAGCGGCATCAACCCAGCCACGACCAGCTTTGTCGTGCATTTGAATAATGTATTTTTCAATGGGTGCGCCGCCATCGCTAGATGGTGGTTTCCAGGCCAATTCGACAAAGTCCTTGTCCCAATCTTTAAGATCAGGCCTTCCAGGTTTACCAGGTTCGTCGAATGGATTCTTAGCAATGATGGATTTTTCGGTTTCTAATGGTTCAGATTCTCCTTCTTTGTTAACAGCCTTTACGCGGAACTTGTATGGTTTGCCTTCTTGAAGACCTGTGATATTAGCCTCTGGTTCTGAACTCTTTCCGCAAGGAATCCAAGCACCTGTATTGGGATCTAACTTTTCGATTTCATAATAATCGATTGGAGTGCCACCATCGTCTTCCGGCTTCTTCCACTTCAACTTGCAGCCGTGTTTGGTTACATCAGACACGTCCAATGGACCCTTAGGTTTACCAGGTTTACCGAGGACAGAGATATCAATTTCGGCGGTGTCTTCACCTACTTCGTTCTTTGCGACAATTGTGTATTTGCCGCTTTGGGCACGTTTGGCCTTCATGACAAAGAATTTAGTGTTGTAATCAACGTTGTCAATACGAATGATTTCATCGCTGACCATTTCTTTGCCGTCCTTAAACCAAGTGACCTTTGGTGGAGGTTCACCAGCAATATTAACGTCCAAGTGAATAGAAAGACCGCTCTTGATGGTCAGTGCATTGAGGTTGGTACGATCGATCAATGGTTTCACTGAAATAAACATTAAGTTAAACCAAAGTTAATTAGAAAAGTAAATTAAACCTACGGTATCTGGCCTTGGCTGTATGCCAGTTGGTCTGTTCAGATGGTTCAGAAGGACCTGCTTTGTTAACTGCCCTTACGCGGAATTTATATTGATTGCCTTCTTCCAAACGTGGTACACTACCAGTGCATGTGGGACCAACTTCAGCGACTTTAACAAACTGTCCCACGAATTTATCCATGGCTTCAATGATGTATCCGGTGATTGGTGCACCACCATCGCGCACGGGTTTCTCCCACTTGAGCTTAACGGAATGCTCATCCCAGTCGATAATTTCGGGAAGACCAGGTGGAGCTGGTATATCGAAGGGATTCTTGGCAGTAATAGCGCTGTCAGTTTCAAGAGGTTCAGATTCACCCTCTTCGTTAACAGCCTTGACTCTGAAATGGTACTTTTTGTTGGGTTCTAGACCAGTAATTTCATGATCGAGTTTATCGGCATCAACAAAACCAGCAGGGATCCAGCGACCACTTCCGGCTTCCTGTTTTTCAATAGTGTAGCCTGTGATGGGCAAACCACCATCGTCTTTGGGTTTGTTCCATTTGACCCTGCAACCTTCCTTGTGGACATCGTATACGTCCAAAGGACCTTCTGGTTTGCCAGGTTTGTCGAGGATGATCACTTCAACTGGAGCTTCATCAAAACCGGAATCGTTTTCGGCTTTGATGGTGTAGGTACCAGTATCTTTACGAGTGGTATCACTAAGAGTGAATTTGGTGTTATAATCCTCATTTTCGATCTTGGTACGTGGGGTGTTTTCCAAGACCTTATTAGCAAAGCTCCAGGTGATGGTTGGTGGAGGTTCACCCTTGACATCGACGTCGTACTTGACCAATTGGCCAGCGCGGACTTTGATGGTGTGCAGTTTCTCGCGATTGATCATTGGTCTCAAGTGGCGAGCCTTAGCAACATGTTGCTTGGTTGGTTCAGAAGGTTCACCATTACCTGCTTTGTTCATGGCACGTACACGGAATTGATAGGTATTACCTTCCTTCAAACCAGGTACTGTGCAATCACAATCAGTACTGAAGGAAGTATGGATCTCATCCCAGGAGGAAGAGAACTTTTCTTTCTTTTCTATAACATAACCAGTGATAGGGGCACCGCCATTGCTCTTGGGTGCGGTCCATTTAAGATCCACACGGTCGGCATCCCAATCGACAATTTCCGGAGTTCCGGGTTTGCCAGGGACATCGAAGGGATTCTTGGCAATGATGGGTTTGTCAGTGACCAAAGGTTCAGATTCTCCCTCGTCGTTTACAGCCTTGACGCGGAATTCGTACTCGTGTCCTTCAGACAGACCCTTGACGTCCATTTCGGTGTCATTGGTTCGACCAACTGGAACCCATCGGTTGGTAGATTTGTCAAGTTTTTCAACAACATAGCCGGTGACGGGTTTGCCACCATCGTCCTCTGGTTTCTCCCATTTGAGTTTACAGCCTTGTTTGGTGACATCGGCAACTTTAAGTGGACCCTTAGGTTTACCAGGCGCAGCTATAATTTAATACATAAATTAATTACGATCTTAACTCCTGAAAATTAAAACTTACAAAGAATGGTGACTTCTACTTCAGCTTCATCAGAACCATGTTCATTGACAGCCTTAATTTTGTAGGTACCGGTGTTTTTCCTGATTGAGTTAGTAATTGTGATTTTAGTGTTATAGTCAACGTTAACAATCTCAACATTTCCCTCAGACAGAACTTCTTTGTCGTTTTGGAACCATGTGATGGTTGGTGGTGGTTCACCTCGGACATCCACGTCGTATTTGACAACCTTACCAGCGCGTACGATAATTGGTTTAAGATTGGTGCGGTCAATCCTTGGTTTAACTGCAAGCAAATAAATATTATTTTTACGTTACTTTCAATGAAGTTAAAATATCTTACGAGATCTGTGCTTGATGATCTGCATGTTGGAAGCATCTGATGGTGTACCAAGACCAGCTTTGTTGACAGGAATAATCCTGAATTGATATTCACCCCTTTCTTTGAGGTCTTCAATTCTAGCATCCAGCTGGTCTCCGGGTACTTCACCAGCCTTCTCCCAATCTGGCTTATATTTATCTTTCTTTTCAATGATGTACTTCTCAATTGGTGCTCCGCCATCGCTCTTTGGTTTGGTCCACTTAAGATTAACACCTTTGTTATCGTAATCGGTGATTTCTGGTGTTCCAGGTTTACCAGCTGTTTCGAATGGATTCTTTGCTACTGTGCTCAGATCAGTCACCAGTGGTTCAGAGTCTCCTTCATCATTGACGGCGGTTACCCTGAATTTGTATTCTGATCCTTCATTAAGACCTGTCACTTCAAATTCAAGTTTTTCAGGAGAAAGTCCAGTTTTGTCGATGGGGACACGTCCACAGCGTACCCACTTGCCAGTTGCCAAATCCATCTTTTCGATTTCATATTCTTTGATTGGTACACCACCATCATCATCTGGTTTCTTCCAGCCGACCTTGCATTTGGTTGCGGTGACATCACTCACCTCCAACGGGCCTTTAGGTTTACCAGGTTTACCCAGGACTGTCAACTCTACAGTAACTTCGTCCTTTCCGTTCTTGTTCTCAGCAATCAAAGTATATTTGCCAGTATCCTTACGAAGGGCATTGGTCAAGATATAGTCGGTATGATAATCGACGTTTTCGATCTTGATACGATCACTATTTGAAAGGGGAATATCATCGCGCCACACCCACCTGACAGTCGGTGGAGGTTCACCGGAAATGTCAACAGACCACTTGTGTGTGCGACCCGCTTTGATGGTAACAGACTTGAACATTTCACGATCGATACGGGGTTTGACTGTAACACAAAAACAACACAAACATTTAACAAACAAACATTGGTCAACAATGGACAATACAACATACGGTTCTTGTGTTTGCAGACGTGATTATCGGTAGGTTCTGATGGTTGACCAGGTCCGGCTTTGTTATGTGCACGCACCCTGAACTGGTAAATCATTTTCTCCTTAAGTTCTTCTACCTTTCCTTCTGGTTCTGGTCCAGGAGTAGTTGCAACCTCAATCCAGTCTGGGCTGAATTTATCTTTCATTTCAATGGTGTAATGAGTAATTGCACGACCACCATCACTCTCGGGTTTGGCCCACTTGAGCGTGACACTCTTGTTGTCATAATCGATAATTTCTGGTTTGCCAGGCATTCCAGGTTCATCGTAGGGGTTCTTGGCAGTGATGGCTTCATCAGTTTCGAGTGGTTCAGACTCGCCTTCCTTGTTTTTGGCCCTGACACGGAACTTGTACTTCTTTTTGGGTGTCAATCCCTTGAAGGTGAATTTATCTTCGTTGGGTCCGACCTCACCGGCTGGAATCCAACGACCCGTATCCATATCTAATCTTTCCAGCACATAACCAGTCAACTCAGTACCACCACAGTCTTCAGGTCGTTGCCATTTGACTGTGACATGGTCAGCACGAACCTCTTCAACTTTGAGTGGACCTTTAGGTGGTGATGGTTTGTCAAGGACAATAACATCAGCACTGCCTTCAACAGTGCCAGAACTATTGTGCAATCTGAGGATATATTTTCCACTGTCGGCCCGGGTTACCCTCCTAACAGTAATGACAGTATTACGTTCATATTTATCGATGGTAATTCTTTCCTCAGCGTCCTGTTTGAGTTCTTTCTTCTCCAACAACCATGTGACTTCTGGTTCTGGTTCGCCGCCATATTTGATGTCGTATTTAATAACTTGACCCTTCTTAACAATAATAGGTTTAAGATCATCTCCAATGATGAAGGGTTTGACAAAGCGGCTCTTAGCGATGATAGGTTTAGTCGCGTCACTGGGTTCACCAGGACCTGCTTTGTTTACTGCACGAACACGGAATTCATACTGTTGACCTTCCTTCAAACCAGGAACGGTACCAGTAAATTGATCTCCAGGTACCTCAATACCTTTACTCCACTCTTGGCCGAATTTCTCTTTAAATTCAATGATGTAAGATGTAATGGGAGCACCACCATCATTGTCTGGTTTGTCCCATTTGAGATCTGCATGATCTTTGTCCCAATCAGTAAGATCAACGTTCTTAGGTTTGCTGGGTTCATCCCAGGGATCTTTAGCAAGTACATTCTTGCCGAAGGTCGCAGGTTCACCAGCGCCCAGTTTGTTGACCGCGCGGATTCTGAATTTGTATGTTTTCTTGGGAATGAGACCTTCCACTTTGTGGACGAGCTCACTTCCAGCTTTTACTTCACCCACATTGTCCCAACCAGCTACAGACACAGACAAAAACACAGGTGAAGACAAAACAAGACATTACAAGACCGACAAGACTACAAAAGGTCTTGACATAATTGACAAAATAATACCTTTAAGGCTGATATCTTGACGTTCTACGATGTAATGAGCAATTGGAGAACCACCATCGTCTTTGGGCTTCTTCCATTTAACTGTGCAGTTATCTTGGAATACCTCGACAACATCAACGTCCTCAGCTGGTCCAGGTGTTTCTTGCATGATGATGTTGACATCCTTGATGTCATCACCTTGCAAGTTGGACAATTTGATTTGGTACTTGCCAGATTGGTCCCTGGAAGGTTTCTTGAACTTGTAGGTCACCTTGTTCTCTCCGATGACAACATCCACTTCTTTGAGGGGCAAGATTTTGCCGTCTTTAATAATCTTGGCTTCGACTGGTGATACTCTGGTACCCTCAACTACAAAATTATTTTTACTAGTTAAAAATCTTAAAAATAGAAAATTTAGATGACATACTTGTGTAAGGTACATCCATGAGGATAACAGAAGCAGCTGGTGCTTCAAATGTAGATGGGAAGTCGATGATCGGCTTGCTTTCGCCCTTTTTGACGGTCAGTTTCATAGATGACTGTAACTTACCAGATTCGCACATGATCTCACCATCATCTTCCATCTCCAATTTATTGAAGAGCAGTTGATGTCTACCACCGCCCAAGTTCTTGATCTCAACTCTTTCGGATGGTACGATTGGTTTGCCATTGAAGGTCCAATCAGCAGGCGCGGTTTTATCTTGAAGTTCAATTTCAAGGATGAGTTTATCACGCTCAATTGCTTCAGTATCCTTAAGTTTCTTGTTGAATCTATTCAGGTAGTTAACAACTATCTCAGCCTCGGTCTTATCGGCGTTACTGACACATGAGTACATGCCTGCGTCAGTGATCTTAGCATCTTTGATGACCAGTTTCCTCTTACGGCCATCTTTAGAGATTACCTTCAGTTTATCTCCGGTAATCTCCTGGTCACCCTTGAACCATTTTACATCACCACCATCATCATCCAACTCACAAAGAAGGGTGATATTTTCTTTTTCGAGGAGTTGTTGAGATTTGAGCACCTTGACGAATTTGTATGGATATTCTGTGATGGTAACCTTTGTAGATGTGATGTTGTTTTCTGTCTGCTTCTCCAATTTACAGTGGTAGTCATCTGTATCTTCGATAAGACTGTTTTTGATTACCAAGGTACATTTACCAGCAAGATCTTTGGAGATGGAATAACGGTCACCATCTTCCAATTTAGTTTCACCCTTGTACCAGCCAATGATGGCCATGTTTGAACTGACATTACATTCCAGAATAGTTTCGTGCTTTGTGTAACCTTCAATCTTCTTTTTCAGATGTTTAGTGAAAGTGTAGATTGGATCTGGTTCAGCTACTTCAAGAAAACCTGTGCTGGAAATACCACCAATTTCGATGGTGTATTTGCCGGTATCCTCCACTTTGGGATTCATGATAACCAGAATGTAGGAATCGTTTTCGTTCTTGAACTTGTACTTGGAACCAGGGAATAATTCCTAAAATATTAGATCGTTTTGTCAAATGTTTTTGAAATGATTTAATGATGAGGTCTTACGTCCTTCCTGAAAAGCCATTTTGGTTTAGCATTAGCCTTGGAGAAGTTGGCCTCGAAGACAACCTTCTTATCCTTGCCTTCCTTTGCGAATTGATCGATAAGCGGTTTCAAGAAAGTTTCCTTTTTCTGTAAACATCGAACACACCTCAATGAGCATCTCTCTGTAAACTATCATGCGTTCAACAACCAAACAACAACAAAATATAATACATGTTCGTATAAAAAATGTTTGTGGTTCTGTATAAGAAAATCAAAAATATCGAAAAAAATATCCAGATGACTGATGAGTGCATCCGAAAAATCTGTAAAAAAATCCAAGAAAAAATCTTTGGTCAAAAAAGTGTATTTGTCGTGGACGACTCCACGTCATGCGAATCCATCGATGCAGACAACATCTATTTCAGGAGTATCACGATCAAGATATTAGCGAGTGCGAGAAGTAAATAAAGCAGGGGAGCATATGCTACAGCGGGGCACATTGACTTTGATTTTTGGGGGGGCCAGGGGACTAAAACAACGTGCAATCATATTTATGGACACATCATTCTCGACACAATGTGTGCGTATGCGACGCAGCGCCCAACCTCCTTTCTTTCGAAATGGTGCAGGACGGGCCAGTCTGGTATTAGTTCAGCTAGTGATGGCCGTCGGGAGGAAACCGGTGTCAACTACAAACAAAAACTACAACTTCAGAGAAGGGGATTTGGGTGGAGAATGAGAAAATGAAATTAACTTGTATCAAAATATTCGTCGTACATTCATTCGTGTTTTGGCATTCACGCAAAATTGTGGCGATTAAGATGTGGTTAGTAATGCGTTTTTGAAACATATAGAAATGTTTAATTAAGTGCCAACTGCAAAATACCGGAAGTCGTCGTTTTTAGAGGATTTCTTCTTCGTTTGTGAATAATTTTAGAAGCGTTTAATTTGCGCGTGCCAAAAATTCACATTGCATCAAAAGAAATTTGAAAAAGAAGCTAAATCTGCAAATAATAAGTGGTGCATATTTATTTATAGCCAAGAAACGAATCGCCCGTGCGTTAGACTTGGTTGATTCTTAGCAAAAAGCTGTTTGTTGCAAGTCAGATTGCCAACCTTTGGATGTTCGGTTATCATCAGGCTCGGCCAATCGTCGCCGTATATTTCGTCCAGAGACAGGCGCCGCTGAATGTTAAAAACGTCCTAGAAAGCAGGACAACCTAAGCGTACTGTACAGAGATTAATCACCATATGAGCGGTGAATGAAAGAAGACGTTAATGAAACGGAGTGATTAGTCAGAAATTTTGTGCTTCTAAATACTTTTTTACGTTTTTAATGTTTTTTCTTTGTTAATATTTATTAATATGGAATGAAGAAATTGAATTGAAAGATGGTTATAATAGAATAGAATAGAATAGAATAGAATAGTATAGAAAAGAGAATGGCGGTGTCAGAGGGCGCGCGCATCGTAAGATGGCGGCTATGACACCAAAGATATAAGGATGAGTCTCCAGGCAGACAGATAAGACACATACGAGTGTAAAGGCGGTAGCAAGCACAAACACGCAAGCGTACATGTATATTTTGGTGGGTTGGGGGGAAGACACTTCTAGATCAAAGATAAAATCACGTCTAAAAGACATCGACGCATGCGACTTTAACCTCGCGTCGTTTGAGTCGCGGCCAATCGGGAATTGCACCGGCCAGGCTGAAATTACGTCGGGCTGAGCCGCACATCTGTGAAATTTCCATTACTTAGTGTCTGGTATTGTGACAAGAGGACTTAGTTAGTCGCGCACGCTCGACTCTCACCTCTCTCAGTTACACCACAATTGTACGGTTCACAACTTCACAAGAAAATAAAAGACGCAACAAGTACAAGTCGAATTATTAATTCGTGGCAACACAAAAAATTAGGACAAAACAAAGTGTTGACAAGGGACAAATTGTGTGCTTCTCTCGCTCGCGCTCGTGCCAGCCCTAAAAAGTTGCTTCAAATAAACCATAAAAAAATCATAGAGGAAATTAAAACAGAAAAAAACACAAGTGTTTAATTCAACACGGAACAAAAATGGCCACAGAGATTAATGAATCATTTGGAGACGCATCATTATATTATTTACGATTTGTTTTTAATTTAATTTAATGATTGCTTTTGGTTTTTAAGTTGCTTTCTTTTTAAATGTGATCTTTTATGAATGGCAAAGTGATATTAATTAGACAAGTCCAATTTGAGGGATGACATGAGGGAGGAGGATTGATTTCTCGTGTCCGGCTTTCGGTTGTCCAACCTTCATCCACGACCAGTGCTCGTTGCCTCCCTTGTCAGCTTTCACCTCAGTGACAATTTTGCCATCCACCATCACACATATATTCTCGCCATCGACGAACCATCCGGACAAGACCATGTGATGGCCTTTTCCTGGCTATAACGGCAAAACTTATGTCAACATTTAACCTTCAACCTGTTTATGTACCGCACCCGCTTGGGGGCAGCTTGGTTTAGAGATTATTTTTAAAATGGCCAGCAATGGGGGTCAAATATCAAAGTGGGTTGTGGGGGCATCAAAAATTGTGCACGGGCAGAGAAATATTGCGATAAACATACTGATGGTGTGAATGTGAGTGTGAATCGGTGTGCAAACCTGACCTGTTCAACTTTCTTCAGAGCTGGTAGGGGCTTCTCGGTCTCCTTGAGATTAACATCAATTTCTTCCTTTTTCTCGGCCCATTTGGCATACTTCCTCTTCTTCAACATGGCACGGAAGTCCATACCACTAGCATCTACACCAAAATTCATAGAATTTAGTTAGGCCCCTAAAAATGGGTCTTGGTAACTTACCGGAAACGAAGAGTACAGTCTCCGCTGAATCTTCACCGTGCACATTAGTAACAACCACTCGGTATTGTCCTTCATCATTAGGTTTAACTTTACGAATACACAAAGTGATAAGATTCTGGTCGCCTTCGGTAATAACCTTGAAGCGACCACCTTCAATGAGCTCAGTGATGCCCTTGTAGAATTTGTAAGTAGGTGCCGGATTGCCCTCAACCTGGACAGTGATGTAGCCGTTCGAATCTAGAGCAGATCCATTAATTAATAGACGTGAAATAGACATTAAAATTAAAAACCGTTCTAATTTGGCGCACCTCCAATGATTTCTACTATGAGGTGGCATATTTATTGACCAATTTGGCCCAAAACGTAATCTTGGTCTAAATTTAACTCTCCCTCGGCTATTTTCTGCATTTCTCGTAATCTAGACCTACCTTCAACGGCCGAATAATTCTCCTCAACGTGTACAATACTAGGAGGTGTGCCAGCAGCACCAGTTGGCTGCAATGGGGTCGAAGCTTTATTGATGAAGTCTTCCATGTCTGCGATACTTGGTCTACGAATGTCGGTACTCTTGCGGCGCTGTTTAAACCAGTCGAATTAGCACACCATCAATTTAGAAAGCGTTTCTCAAATAGTAAACAGTAAATCGACACATATTTTTTTGGTAAGTGTTTTATGTTTCTTTAATTTTTTTTAAATTCTCAGTTGTGGTTAGTGTTTCAAACGGCAGTAGTGAGTACATTTGTCAACATCATCAGCAACCATCTTTGCTGCGGTGCGCTGCAAGCCTGCGTTTTTAATGTTGCGAAGCGAAATTTGTTATGCTGCGTTTTCGGCATCGATGCGTATCGAGTGCGAGATCGCAATTTGTCTTGGCAATGGGTCGGATCTCTGTCAACGCAAAAAATACCACAAGAAAAACACGAAAAACTCGTTTAATTACAAAAATAACGCCCAAAATATACGAGTTATCTAAGTTTCTACGTCAAAAAAACCTGGTTTATTTACTCTTTTCGTAACTAAACTAAACATAAATTGTTGTAAAATTATATTAATCACATTTTTCGCAAGTATGGCACATGTATAATTTTAATCACGTTGCTCTAAAGTAAAAATACTGAAAATCTAGAAAAATAGTTAATCACAGACATATAGAAACGCGCCATTTTGAAATATGGCGACGTTGGAATTTTTACTAGGCTACTATTTTCTGTTTTGTGCCAAATTTGATCTCTAACCTGTTTGTCCGTGCCAGGAACTTGCAATACTCCAGGTCTCTTGATTTTGTTCTTTAACGCAAAGAAATATCACAATATTAAATCGGTTCTAATGCGTTTTCTGATCTAAATCTACACCTATTTTCATCATTATCATCATTAATATTGGTTAATGTATAATCTCGTTTATACGATATATGCTCGATAAAAAAAAACTCCAAAAAATAAAAACGAAGGCCGAATTTGTGTCGCCCACCAACACAAATCTCACCTTGGTATCGAGCATCTCACCCGGACGCAATTTGCCACCCTGCCAAACAGATAAAGAGAAAGATTTAAGTCGCCTCTTCGCTACACGACCGAATCGACCCAATTCGAATTTGTTTTACGCTTCTCTTTCGCCGCTGTGCGCTTTCAGCCAGACGAGCAGCAGTTAAATCGTGTCTTGTCAGCGAGTGTCATTCAAGTGTAAATATGTCGTGCTCATGCGAGAACTGTCATCGTCCAGAATTTCAGGTGTTTATGTTTGTTTGAGTAGTTTAGCGTGTTATGTTTATTGTTTGTTTGGTTCACAAGACAAGCACAATTATTCTCGGACTGAAACACAAAAGTTGTGGAGGCGAGAAAAAGAAGAGACACGATGCTAAGGCAAACGTATCACGAGATGCCAAAGAGACAAGACAGACTGCGACAAATGGTTACCTTTTTCTCATCGACCACCTCTCCGGGACGCAGCTTTCTATTCTCCTATCGGACATACATATCACATCATATGATTAAAAATGCAAAAGAATGATGACTTAAAATACGAGAAAAAGTGCGACCTCCTTGATGGTGATGGTGTAGTTGGTGATGGTAGAGTCTCTGTGCCGGATAGACCTGTGGAAAAGGGTAGGATAAATGGTTACCTCGTCTGTGATGATGATGGAGGCCCGACGGCCCATCTCCTCGGGCGGGATCAGGGAGCCACGGCGGCTGGGTGGTCCGGCCGGCGCGAGCGAAGACTTTCTTGGTTCTGGAGTCTTCTCCTTAACAACAGCGATCTTAGGTGCTTCCGGTGCCTTCACCTGTGGCTTCTTAATTTCCGGCACCGTTGGTTTATCCTAGCACATCACAAACACACAATGAATTTATGATTTCCGACCCTGGTGGTCGAATGTTCAAAGTCCAGTGGAGCAGCGCGCCGATCAAAGGAAAGTCGCCGACTGAGCGAGCGTTTTTTGACGATTTTCAAAGTGCAGTTCAAAGATATGCGCTCGCACCACAAAGTTGGCAAATACCGCATCGCATTAACGTCCGGCTGTCCGGCAATTATAAAATGTTGATTACGATCCGAGTCTAAGAATACTCGACGCGCGACGTTAATTATTGCATTGCGGCATCGCGCGCTTAACTTTTTGGACCAGACTCTCACCTTGACGAGCTTAGTCCTCTCGCGGCCGCCATATTCGTAATCCGCGCCTTTCTCGTACTTTTCAAGCACGGGCCGCTCGTAATCCTCGATCTCTGGCAGTTCATAGCTCTTATCTTTGTCGCTCTTCTTTACGACCTTCTTCTTTTCGACGGTTTCCTTCTTCTCGGTAGTTTTCTAAACATTCACATCACAAATTACATCACTGCCAACCTCAGAGCTTCAGAAACAGAATAGATCCAAGAATATTTACAAAATTAGAAATATTTATAAACTTAGTCCAAGATTACAGATCACAGAGAAGTATCAATAGAAGAAATAAGTCATTTCAAGAAGACAAGTGGAGAAAATGAAGAATTTTAGAGAAGTTTGTAGATTGTAGACATTTTAAGAACGTTTTATGGAAATAAACACGTTGAGAGACTGAGAGAAGATGGAGACGTTGAGAGTTGAGACTTGAGGTTAGGTTACCTTCAGGTCGGGCGAATCGAGCGTAGCCTGTTCGGCTTGCTTCCCGTCTCGCACGACAGGCTTTAATTGTACGTTTAGGAACGAATCAAGTTTGGTCGCTTTTGGCGTTATACGATTCAGCGAATTTCGTTTCTCCGTCGGCTGTGATTGATAATAATGACTTCAGCAACAAGTTATTTAACAAGATACAAGTCCTCTGGCTGTCAAAAAACTACCAAAACAATGCAATCTAGCCGAGAGATAGAAAAAAATTGGGGCACAACTAAGGTACCATAAAAATTGGTCAAGACAAAAAGAGTTTTGATCAAAAAAAGTAAAAAAGTCTCAAAAATATCAAAAAATCACAAAAAGTTTCCGCAAAAATGTGTAATAATGAACATATAAATATTTATAACTTACCAATTTCACTTTCTCGGCAGCCTTCTCCTCGCTCTGCGATTAGATTGATAGACATTGATTGTAGACGCATACAAATGGAATGTACACATTGGTGGATCGCATGTAAATGAAACAAAAATAGATTAGAACACGAAAACGTCTCGCAATAACAGCCTGTAAGTGATCTACAAATAGTTTTACACGTGTTAAACGGCTACGAATATGTTAAAACAGAAACGTGTTCCCATTAGAGAGTAAGTAAGTGCTTTGAGAGTTTTTCGAAGAGCTTTTCAGAAAGTCTTCAATACGAATAAGTGATATATTAGTGCAGAAAAGAAGTGCGTGATATTAAAAGTGTCTACGTCAACGATCAAAGTTGCACATTGATTTTGTTTACCACTGTTAATTCGGGCACGTTGATGGTAGGCACTTCGAGGTCCGGTGTCACCGAGACCTCGACCTCTGGAACCTCTAGTTCCTCAGGATCGGGTACGTACGCCATCGGGTCGTATCGGGCCTTTCGTGGCGTACATTTTGGTTTAAAGAGTGTAAGAGTGGCAGAGAGATAGTAGAAGAGTAGATAGAGTAATATAGAATGGTAGTGAGCGACGATTGCCAATTGGGTTCCCACAATGATTATAGAAAATAGAGAAAATATGTGAGTATGATGTTGGTGATGAGTGCCTGAAAGAGTATGATAATAGATTGTGAACAGTGTATACCTTGGCCAGACTGCCACGTTTTTTCGCGGCAGTCGGTTCCGGTTCTGGTACGATAATTTCTGGTGTTTTAGGCTCTGGTTTTTTCAGCCCCGGCTTGGTCTCGGCTGGTTTGAGTGTTTCCGGTTCTTTTTTTCCTGCCTCGACCTTTGTGGTGGCGAATGTTTTGGCTGGGTCAATGTCATTTGTTGGTGTGGTTGGTGTTTTCTAAATTATCACAAATATTTGTTAATTGTGGATTGAAACCAACAAAAAAGTGGGGTTTGAAAAAAAATTCTACATATATTCCTAAAATGAGTATTTACCGCTTCTGGGGTAGGTTCAAGTTTACCCTTGACCAACTTCTTCTTGTCCTCGACGACCAATTTGCTTTCAGTCTTTGTTTCTTTCTTTTCTTCCTGTTAGACAAGAAATAACACACCACAACGTACAATACAGTAACACCATAACCCTCAAATTTGAATACGACATGACAATGGTTAATGATTTGGTGATGATTTTCAGGTACCTGTTGAACGGAAGATCTACGACTAGCGGTCTTCACTTCGCCATCTTGGATCACCGTCTCCTCGACCTTGATGACTGAACTGCGTCTGGACTCAACCTTGGTTTCGACCTAATTTAGTTTCGCACACGGTTAAAACATATATTTAGTTTGTCGTGGTAGGACAAAACTCACTTTCTGGACAGAACTACGTCTGCTTTCCACCTTCTTCTCGACAGTTTCCTATAATTACAATTACAGACATTTTACAGGACGTCACAATTTCACAGCAGATTATAATCACCTCTTTCTTCTCGACCTTCTTCTTAGCCACTTCTAAGGCTTTCTTTTCTTCTACCTTCTTCAAACAAAACCACAAAATCAGACAAACCAGACGCTACAGTAACAAATACAAGTAAATTTAACGAATAACAAACCTTTTCCTCTTCGATCTTTTTCTTTTCTTCGACCTTCTTGACCTCGGCCTTCTTTTCTTCCACCTTCTTTTCTTCTTCTACCTTTTTCTTCTCCTCTACCTTCTTTTTCTCTTCCTCGACCTTTTTCTTTTCCTCCTCCTTTTTCTTTTCCTCCTCCTTCTTCTTTTCTTCTTCCTTCTTCTTTTCAACCTTCTGTGTTAGTAAGTTGGACAAAACAAGACGTTTACTAAACAGCACATGGACATTACAAAGTTGGTACTAACCTTTTCTTCTTCTTTCTTTTCTTCTTCCTTCTTCTTTTCTTCCTTCTTCTCGGTGACAGTCAAGGTGGCACTAGACTCGTCCTCTCCGAAATCATTCCTGGCAATTACCTTGTAGGTACCCGATTGTGAAATTTTACACTTGCTAATGCTCAATCTCGCTACGGATCCATCAAAAGTGATCTTCACATCAGATGTTTCTCTGATCACCGTAGAATTATGATACCAGATAATCATTACTGAAGTATCCGATACCTTCAGGCTGGAGATGAAATCAGCCGATTTGTTTTCTTCAATTGAAACGTTGGTGAGTTTCGTAAGTTTGGGTTTTCGCCCTTGGGCTTCTCCTCTGGAGGTAGATCTGTCACCTCAACAGTCTGTGAGGTCGCCTCACCCTTCTCATTACGCGCGACCAATTTATATGAGCCTTTGTCTTTTGTCTCCACTTCACAGATCTCCAACTTGACAGCAAACTCACCATCCTTGACCTGCTCAATGAGCACCTTATGTCTGCTGCTTTCCTTTACCGCAGTGGTTTCCTTGAACCACGTGCAGTCGGGCGCAAACTTGCTGAGAACCTTGCACTCCACAATAATGGTCCTCTTCTTTACGATCTTGATTACCTTGGGCTTCTCCTTGATCACCGGGATGATTTCGATGTTCAGAGTGAGATTGGCATTGAGTTCGCCCAAGTTGTTCTTGATGTTACACTTGTACAGACCGGAATCATCCGGATCTGGGTTGTTCAACTCCAGCTTGATGTAATACACGTCCTCGCTGACCTTTTCGAAGGACATCTTGATCTTGCTGGACTCTTTCACTTCCTTACCCTCGCGGTACCAGACGATAGTTGGTTTTGGGTTGGCACGTACCTTGCAGTCCATAACGACCAATTTGCCGTTTTGGTGCGAGGTAATGCGGGGCTTTTCCACAAAGGTGGGACCATCGCCTTCCGGCTCAGGTTCGTTTTCGATGTTCAAATTGAGGTTAGCGTTGGATTCCCCAAATTCGTTTTGTACGTGGCATCTATAAGTGCCACCATCGGGACCTGTAGGATCCTGGAGGAACAAAATTAAAGGTTTAGGGATAACTGTTCATAAAGAAGCTTTGAATTGAAGGTACCTTAATTTCGAGCGATAATTCGTAAACATCTTCTTCCGCGTCCACCATGGTCATCTTAATTCTGGACGATTCTTTCACTACGGTGGTACCTCTGAACCAGGTGACTTCTGGTTTGGGCTTGGCCTTGCACCTGCACTTCATCGTGATCAGCGTGCCCGTTTCGTTTGGAATAATTTTCGGCTTTTCGATGAAGGACGGCGGGAAGCCTGCCGCATTGTCGCCACCTGTAAGAGACCTAAATTAAGCACCAAAGGAAAGGGCTGGTGAAATGGTTAAGGCCATGCTCATGCATTTTCTCTTCACATCGAGACGAGAACGGGCCGTGGGACCTGTGATAATAAACTTGGGGACAACACGAACGACGTTGACGTTGGCGGACTGGGGCACTGTGGGTTGAGCATACCTTGGAAGTTAAGCGATATGTTTGCATTGCTTTCGCCGAAGCTATTGAACGCGTTACAGCGGTAATTTCCACCGTCCTCGCGCGTCGGATTCGAGATTTCGAGCGTGAGCATGTAGTTGTCTTTGCCGACGGCTTTGCGCGACATGCGCACGCGCGAATTATCCGTGATGGCCTTGGCACCCTGGAACCAGGTGATATCCGGCGCAGGGTTTGCCTCCAAGAGGCATTCCATTATCAGGATGTCACCATCCTGTCGAATTGTGGGTTTCTTGGGGAATCTCGGGGCTTTCCCGTCGGGAATTCTATGAACACCATTTAATAATTAATAACCTCCTATAATCATGAAAATTTGAGGTACTTACTTGGGTTTACCATCTCCTTCGAAATTTAGATTGATAGTAGAGGTGCCCGTTCCGCTTTTATTAGTCGCTACAGCACGATATTCGCCCTTATCAGCATTCTCCACTCCATTAATCTCCAACCGTGCGATGTAATACAATGTCTGGTCTTGTTCCAATGTCATGGTGAGACGTCCACCAGCCTTGAGCTCCTTTTTACCGTGGAACCTTTAATCCAACAGTAAATTATAACATTTTGGGAGATTCTTCAAGTTTTCCATATTGCTTACCATTGAATCGTTGGTTTAGGATCTCCGACACACCTGCACTCAAAGGTGATCTTGTTACCATCATCGCTTTGCCTGATGACTGGCCGCTCAGTGAAGGTAGGCTTGATATGATCATCTTCTGGAACTGGTGCCTCATCGCCTGTGCACAAGACGCGAAAATTGCAAACGCCCTTGACGACCATCAGTCGCCACTCGCGCACAAATACAACACACGGATCCGACCGACAACAACCCAACAAAAAAGCTCAGCTTTTAATCAACCCGCGCGCATCGCTCAACGCTATTCTCTATCCGCAAAATAGGGGGTTAAACAAAAGGACACAAAATACAATAGTGCTGAAATAGAACAACGTGTCAACAAAATGCAAGAACATGGCCTTTCTCGTACGTCAATCAGTAAACAAAATGTTTCAAAAGTCAATATGGCTACAATGATGGCTACTACAATGTCGTGATGATGAAAAATATGATGAGTATGATGAAATCTCACAAGTGCACTACTAAATTCTTGCGTGTGTCGTTTTCTTTGTCATTTAGTTGCTGGAGTGTGAATGTGTGTGGTTTGTAAAAGGCTTCACGCGTCACACAAGATTCTCATCTATTTGGCGCAGGGAGGACATGTTTCAGAATTAAGTGGGTTAACCAGAACAGCAACAAATCGCAAAATTAAAAGCTGAGCTAAATTATTAGGCGACGGTTAGTCCATTGTACTGTGCACGAGTGCCGGCCGCCATCTTTCTTAAACACTACCCGGAGGTCGATCACCACCAACCATTAACATCGGTTAAAGAAGCTCCAACTCACAAAGCTTCCGATTAAGGAAAGTCAACAAAAACAACGAACAAAAACAGTGAAAAGAAGAGAAACAAAACAAATAGTTGGATATATGTACAGTTCGTAAAAAGAAAGCGAAGTTTGTACATTACAAAAATACAACTCGTGTCTTTCTGTCGAGGTGAGTGTGACTTAAGTCGGTGTAAAGGGCAGCACTTACTGTCGAAATTCAAGCTGATGGTTGCGTTGCTTTCACCCAACTCGTTCTTTGCCGTAACCTTGTATTTGCCAGCATCCTCAACTGTGACATTTTGAATTTCAAGGGTTGCAAAGTACGAGTGGCCATCTTTGTCTATCCTCAACTGGAATACAAACAAAACGACATCAAATGTTGGGCCTTGACAACTCCAGTAAATCTGGAGTAAACCGGGTCAAGCATAACTCGAATCATGACCTAGTTCTTTCAATCCAGCTGGGTCCCAAAATGGGTCAGCGTAAGTTGTAGGTGGACAAGTGGTCACCCACTTTGTCATCTAATTCAAGAACAAGCTCTGCTACATACTAGATCAAACATTTGTTTATTTGCAAATATTTCCAAGAATTGAGTCATGATTTAAGTCCTGAAACCCATTTCTGGCCACATGTGCGACAAACATACTCTCGAAATACACAAAACGCTTAAATTTCGATATTATATAACGCGGTATTTATAAACCAAAGTGCGCTGCGTTTGCGAGCGCGCGATTTTCGCGAGTTATTGTAATTTCAGCACTCGGGCGATTCAACTCGAGCGAGATGCCATACAGGCGCTAGTCGAGTTGATAAAATAACGGATTACATTACGAGCGCGCCTGGGGCGAGCAGGTGTCGCGTGTGTGCCGCTGATAAAAATAGAAAACGCGCGCGCGCTCGCCACTTGCCAGAATTTAGAATTTCGTGAAAATAGATTTCGATAAATATTTTTTCCAACGCTACTCATCTCCGTGCGTGAAAGCATTACAAAGTTGGCCCAAATTCGTCAACGCATCAATTGTTTTGGCATGTACCTTATGACGTGGCGACTCTTTCACTGGGTTGGCATTGTGGAACCAGTTGACCACCGGTTTCGGATCCGCCTGAATCCGGCATTCGAAGAGCAGGCGCTTGCCGTCCTCCTCCTGCCTGATTGCGGGTTTCTTGGAGAACGTTGGTGCGAGCCCATCGATTTGTCTGAGTGAATAATCCATATTGCAGAATTCGTCATAATTTTACAAGTGGAATGACAGCAGCGTGACATAATTTTTGAAAATTTTCTAAGAATGACTCATGTAACGTGTTTGGGATAAAAAATAATTCAGAGAGAATGCGAAACATGACCCGTGACGCAGGCGTGTTACGTGCATCAACGGATGCCAAAATTTGGCCGTCGGCGTAGGCCGAATTTCGTTTTCCCGCGGGTCACCAGCTTAGCACGCCGCTGTCATTCGCCACCTGTGTGACTAATGCCACTTACTTTTCTCTTGGTTCATCCATTGCTAAAGAAAAACAACAAGAAATCAGAAATTTTACAAAAAAAACGTTGAAAACTTGGATCACAGAATTCAACTTCTAAATGCATATGGAGATATAAATAGGAGACCTACTTTTACAGATTGCAAAACTACGATTTCTGTGACACAAATTTTTGGTGGATGCGCCTGGTTGTAGATACTCACGGCTGAAATTAAGATTGATGGAGGCGGACACCTCGCCCATCTTGTTCTTCGCTTTGACCTTGTACAGGCCAGCATCGCTCTCGATGACGTCGTCCAGCTCGAGCACGACCAGAAACTTGTTCGTGCCCACGGACTGAATCTTGAACGTGGTGCGCGCATCCTCGGCGAGCAGCGTATCGCTGCGGTACCATTGTATCTCGGGTTTGGGGGCGCTGTCCAGCTGACACTCAAAGATCAGCCGGTTGCCATCGTCCTCCTGCCGCAGTTGCGGCTTTTGCGTGAAGCTGGGAGCGAAATCGTCGGCCACTCCCATGCTTTGTGTGCGCGCCTCGTTATACCGCTAACATGGACGTTCCAAACGTCACCTACAGAATCACCATTGTATTATAAATCAGTCCCCAATGGACTGCTCGAAGGATAAAGCCAAGAGAGAAAAAAATCAAAACCACCAGATCACTTGGATTTTAAATATTAGAGATATTAAGCTTAAACCGATTCCAAATTTGGACACATGGCAATTTTAAAAATCACATAGGTATAGAACCTGACGCGATTTGGATGGATTATCCTTCGAGCAGTAGCCAGTAGCACCTCGCGGAGAAAAAGCACTTCGCGCACTTCTTAGATTTACGGCAACTTACTTCGTGTTACACTCGGTGTCGCACAGCACTCACTTCCCGGTTCGCGTTTAGTTTAGCGCTGGATAATTTGCGTGTGTCCCGTTTGCGTGTCGCACAGACGCGTCGTCGAGTCGTTCGTCGTATCCTAGAGATTGCTTTGTAGCCTCCCAAAGCACTGACTAGCGCGGAGCCCGGCGCGGCACCCCGAATCTAAACCAGAGCGTGACGACGCCGCCGACGACGCCGGTCCGTTTCCCCCCACCAATTCCTACTTAGCTTGGGAAAAGGCGCCGCGACGCGACGCGTACTTTCGCTATACTCATATCTACATTCACACATACGCCTCCACAAATTCACGAAATCATTAGAAATCAACAAGCTCATTCAATTCAATGACTAATTGTTTTTATAGAAACTCAAAAGTCATAACCTCAATTATAAATGTCTAATTTTAGGTTAGATGTTGATATTTTTTAGTGTTTTCGTAAATTGCGAAGCAAATTACATATTGCTCAATGTGTAAGCGCTTGAAAAACAAATGGATCGAGTTTCCACTCGAAGAAAAACGTTGTGAATCCCGCATTCCAACATGACCTCAGGCGCTGCGCTAAATTTGGCTGCGCCATTAAACTACCTGAGTTTGCGTTTGCGCGTTTTCTCACGTGTGTGCATGGTGATTACTCATCGCGAGCGCGCAAATATTAATGAAAACATCAATGTCGTCGGCGGTGCGCCACGTGACGAACGTACGTTCGAAGACAAGATGGCGGCGGGCCGGAATGAACTAGTGGAAGTCGATTTCGTGGGAATACGGCGCGCGGCGCGGTTTCCGCTCGAAATAACCGGCGTGCGGGCGCCCAAGGTATTTTTAGAAGAGGGACCAGAGAAAAAGAGATGTAATCTTATACACGCCGGGCCATATAGGGCGGCGCGATGCGCCTGCGGGCGATAGTAAGCATAGCGTCTGTGCTGCCAGTGCGCATGCGCAGCTTACTCAGCCTGCCGCAACACGACTGAGCGCCGGCGATGCGTCTCTCCTACTGACGAGCGAAAACTCCACTCATTTCAGGATGCACACACATCCCCACCAATTTTACTTGGATCGCCTTTTGTTTACTTAAGATTATCATCAAAGCTTTCAAATCTCTGGAAATTGGAACAAAAGCGTACAAAATACTTAAGACACTAATGTGACTTAGCGGATTTGAGGCGAGAAATTAAAACTTCTAAGTTGGACTAAAAATAAAACTTAACTATTTTTTGTTTTTTAGATTTTCAGAGAGAATTCTAAGCGTAATAAAAATTTTACACACGTTTGATGAGTGAAACGAGGATTTGAATATGTCAGTCGTCATGAATGCAACCGCGTGCATTTTATGAGGCCACTGTGTTCCAAATCTGCGCAAAAAAGTGCGAAACTGTGTCTAGATCTCTCCGCCAGGAACGAAGTCGGGTTTGAGTAATATCGAGGAAAGTGGAGCAGAATGCAACTAGGGCAGCACGGAACGGCGCAGGTTCATCGCGGTATTTTCGTTCTTCGCGGCGCCGTCGCAGTCCGAATTGCAAAATGCCCGCTCATTAAATATACGTTTTGAGGACTTGAACTATTCTACGCTGTACAAAAATATCGCTACATTTTTATTAAACACAAGTATTATTATTTTGCGCTTGATGCGCTTGATTTAAGTGAGATTTGTATACTTTAATGATACGCGAGAATTTTGTTTTTCACTTTTCGGTTATTTTTAGCCGGCCGCTAAATTCGATCGATTGCGGTCTTTCATATGATATTATGATAGATTTACTGCGATACTGCGAATGTGTGTAAATAAAGTTGGGTAAAACTTGGATAAATAATTTCGCGGAGAATCCTTAGATGAGAGTTTTTGATGTGTGCAAATAAATTGCAATCAAACGTGCATATTGACATCAATAAATTTATTGGTAATTAATCAAAACATAAATTTGGACAGGAAAATGTAGAAATTTGGGAAAAATCATTAAAATTATATATTTTTGGCAATTGTAGAGTTGTTTTATCTATAATCGTGTCTAAAAGTATCATTTTACACACTTAACACCCAAATATCTACTAGGAAAGTAAAATTTTTGTAAAATTCTGTTTTTCGCAATTTTAATGTTTGATTTGACGTGATGATAAGCCACCCGATGGTGTCCGATATCCCGCAGGAAGTCGTGCCAAGAAAAGCGTCCGAACGACTCCGAAATACGCGAGAATCGTGCAAATTGTGAAAATCACGCGCGATAAATATTTATAATTTACACGCGCGTTTTCACACGAGCGCAACGCGTAAAAATTTGTTGCGGCTTTTAATTGAGCGCTGACAATGCGAAAATCAATGTCCAAACTCCGCATTTTTATTATGCCTAGACCAATATACTGCGAATCGTTTATTTTCTATCGGAAAACAATTTTAATTCCTAATAAATACTCGCTTGACTGAAACCGATGCCAATAAAAGTCACATTTTATTGTGACAAACAAGCCATCTGCAAACATTCAACTAGAATTCGCATGATTTTCGGAAATTCGGGCCGGAATTGAGAAATCAGCTGCTATTTTCAAAACAAGAACGTTTTACATTTGCGACGACACTTGATGTGCATTATCGTAAATTATATGCAACATTTACGAGTGCAGTTTGCTCAGAAATTAGTGAATATAAAGTAGATTTTGTAGTTGTGACCTGTTGAACCGTAAAAAGATTTCAAATTTTACAATTTTACGAAGCGTACATCTGAGAAAAACGCCCGATTGACGTTGAATGGGCGCATTAAAATCGACGTAAAGTTTTATTGTTGCATTCGAGCGTCTCGAAAATAGCTCATAATATCCGTGGATTTCCAAGGCTATTTTTTCATTTCTTCCAGTCGTTCTCGCCTGTTTCTTGCAGGTCCGAGCTAGACGATTAGACGATGCATGGATGGACGCGCGACGTGCATCGCTGCAACGGATTATTATTAGAATCGTGGGGAGATTCGTGTTCGGATAATTATAGGAAGTGTTTCATACATCAGTGTCGGATGAAAACGCCTCGGAGAATAATACAACCCAATTGTGCATATAAATAACCTCAAACAAATCTTTTTTGTCATTTTAGTAGTGATTATTTAAGGTTATGTATGTTTTACTATAATTAACGCCATCTACGTGATAAAAACTTAAATATTTCTTGATTTCATGATATTATTTGATGAGAGATTGATATCAATGAATCACAGCGTGTAATTAATTTGAAATGAGTTGTCAGGCATTGCACGCATTGTAAATTGATGCTGGCATTGTGTGGCGGCCAACAAAAGCCTAATTACTCAACATTCTCGACGATTTTCGAAGCATAGTCGGTGTTGGCTTCTTATCAAACTAAACACAGATGTATCATCATGATCACATCATGACTTAATTAGTTTTAATTAATTGCGCACTAAAATAATTAAATTTCAGTGTTACTCAGCGTAAATCACTATAATTATAGTCATAAAATTAATTTTAAACTAAAACTAATTAGAAATCTAGATTTCAGTAAAGATTTGTTTATTTTTTCTGGTTTCAAGGATGAAATACATTTTTACCTGTGTTACCTTGCACTCATTTTAAGCTTTTTATTTTATGTTTGAGTTATATAATCGTGGGATTAGCGAATTGTCGAAAAAATCGCGAATAATGTGTCGTGGCGGTTGTTTGGAAAGTAAAACGGTAACAATGTTTTGGCATTCGATGCGTTGTGCCGTTTGTGCGCGGCGTATTTTTAAAAGAATCTTTCTAGACGATGCCATTCGTGTTGGCGGTTTTTGTTTTAAAAATACCGCCGACAAACGTATCATAACGCACGCATTATTTTCGTCTTAATTATAGACGGCGGATTACGGCACGTATGCGAAAAGAAAAACTCAAAGAAAACAAAAGCTATTTTATTTTATTTTTAGCTGAGGTGATTTTTCACCCAACGCGCAAAGCGTGGATTTATTTGACTTCTAATAATTTGCAAATTACTCAAACGGAAAAAATACGGTTCGAATGATTATCTTTGATGTTTAAATTGTCATTTTGTAATGGGTTATAAATGAGGTTATGTTGTAGTTTGACAGTGATGTCATCTATCATCGAGGAACTTAATTTAAGAAAATGTTTTAAGTTTTTTGCATGAAATTGCTTTATTTAATGGAATTATCAATAAAATGTTGATATCTGATCGTAATTGGCAATATTTTAATAATTTTTATATAAAACTAGCTTCGCTCGCGAATATCTAAAATAATGAAGCTGTTTCCGTACGCGTCTGTAATCACAGAAGAAGTAACAATGAAGTAGAATGGCGGGAAGTTTAAAATGGCTGAAAGTATAGTCTATGGAAGTATAGTGTACAGTCTCCATAGTGTAGTCAATTGGATTTGATGTTGACGTGGCTGTCGGTAATACAGTGTGATAATACAGTGTGATGGTACTATAGTACTTAGGTTTGAGCTTCATTGCTGGAATGCTAGAAGGCGTTAAAGTAGTCAAATAGCCAGATGCAGAGGTATTATTGGCTAAACAATTTCTTTATTTTATTTTAAAAATAATTTTTTATTAAATAAAAAGTAGCCTATAACCATTCGGAGACCACTAAGAACATGTGTACAAATTTTCATGATGATCAGTTAAGTAGTTTTTGCGTGAAAGTGTAACAAACATCACGACTTTCGCATTTATAATATTAGTAGGGATATGGAAGAATGAGTGTATTTAATAAAAATGTAGTATGGTTATGTTGTAGATGTACAGTGCTACCACCTACAATAATTTTTCTGAGGTTTCTAACCGTTTTTATTCACATAACCACAAAATACAAGAAAATAAATCAAAAAAACTAATTTTAAAGTTAATTTTGAACTCATTTGACTCAAAATACTTCTACACGTAGGTAAATCATTAAAATGATGTAAAATCTTTCAAGTTTTTGCAGATATTTCGAAATTCCTCGACGTTTTGATATGAAACGCGATGGAATTTAATGTATTCTCGGATCGGTGCCACAGTCACAGCGTGTTACTTAATTTTTTGACTTGACGCGCGTTTTATTCGTGCAATTTTTATATTTAAACGACATGCACGTTGGGACTTTCGAGATTTTGAAACCTATTTACTCTGGCAACATACGTTCTTTCGCTTCTCTCTAAAAAATAATGCGCAGAACAACACGCCACTCATAAACATTCCGCTAATTAAATTATAAAATTCCAATCAACTTTGGCATCGTTATTTTGCCAACAATTTTATTTCAAGTCAATTATGGCTGCTTAAGTGAATTAGAATACTTTTATTTCATGAGATAAATATCCGAAAAGTTTTTCTCGAGTATTTATTTGAGTTTGTAACGAACTGTGGTGATTTTAAAAGCGTGCTCGTTTGATTGATACATTTGAAATAAATAAAAACCCAGCCGGTTGCTTTCAATGCGTTCGTGAGGCGGATTTCGGCCGCCACCCACATCTATATTCGATATTCTATAAAATAAATTGTTTATTTAATGGCTCGCGGTTTTCGCCGGCGAATTCCGAACGGACATCATGTGTTCGCGTCGTGCTCGCCTAAATACTTCGTCCGCACGGCTGGGAAAACTGAGAAAATTCGCAACAAAAATATATTTCTTCTAGAATCTCGCATCTCCGCAAAGCAACTTGTGTTTCCAAACGCTAGTTGAACGAAAAAACAAGAAAAACAAATTGCTTCAACAACCCACGATCTAGTCTCGAGACTGGTTGTTTTTCTCGCGTTGCTTCAATCGTAAAGGTGGTATTTAACGCTCGTCAGATGTTTTCGCCTAAACTAAAGAAGCGATCGGATAAACAAACACGTCGCGCAAGGATTTTACGCGTTAACAACACGCGAATTATTGAGCAATCCGCTTGCGATATTCACGACTCCTGATGACGTTGAATTAATTAAAAACGCGAGCATTGCGCAAGCCTCGCTGATTTATAGCGGATCGCGCCGGGGCGCAGCTTGTGTGATTCAGTCGGAAAATATGATTATTTACAATTGCCGGTGCGGCCGCCGCCACAGCCACTGCCAAACGTCTTTTGCAAACTGCTAACATACTGGCGGATGGTTAAATATAGTGCCTGCGCTAATTCGAGTACCACGTCGACCCACTGAAATAGCCGGACGCACGCCCCCTTAAATCTACTGTTACCGCGAGCGAAGACGCGCTCGTAATTTATAACTTGGATGGATAATCGTGGATCGTGTTACGGTGTAAGCCCAGAGTAAGCTCGTTGATAAGAATAATCATGCGATGTGCACGCCCGGCCGCTTTCGGAGCCAGCGCGTTGCAAACCAGGGTGTGATTAATGTCCGACTGCATGAATTCGTTGCAATATTTCGTAATTTCATTGAGTAATACGTAATTTCAATAGTTTGCTAACTTTTGAAACATTGAGCGACATCTAGTGGCAATTTTTTATTACTACAAAATTTAGTATTTACATTAAAATTATATATTAGAGCTTGAATTGAAGTAAAATATTTAATAAAATAATATTTTCTATATAAATAAGTTTAGAACTTTGTTTATAATGGGAAATTTAACGATTTATGATTATTCTTATTCCGTTTTGATACTGGTCGCGCCATCTATATACCACATAGGGTACTATGCATTAAAATAATTTCAGTCAAATTATTACTTTTCAAATTTCTCAAAATCTACAATTTGGATAAAATTGAAACTTTCAGAATTTTATCATTATTAAATTATCTATTATCAAATATCATGATATTCACAGCTAAATTAAAGCGCATAGTTGCAAAAGTACGAACAGAAACAGCTTTAAATGAAATTAATTATAATTTCTTTTGTTCTGGCTGTTTACTTGTAATAGTTTCTCTAAATTATTATGGAATTTACATCCTGGTTCATTGGCCCAGTTTATTTTTACCTGTGATTCAGTCTGTTGTGTAATTCACTGATCCTATTGATGTCTGCAATGCCTACAGATAAATTCTTAGCATTGCTTGGTGCTAAACAGAATCAAGCATCAAATATATCAACACTTGGCAGCTCATTCCCCTCATACCAATGCCCCACCGTCCTCGCATCAATAACACAGCTAAATATTGGTCTCTAAAACATTTTATTCATATTTATTTATATAATAAATGCAATGCGTCGTCTGCACTCACAAACGCACATTTGTATAATATTTCTGTACCAGAAAACTTATAATGTAAACAAAACAGTCGTAATAATGTTTGACATAATATGGTTGAAAGGTACAATAATCAGTTTTGATGTGTTATGATTAAAAGGCAAAAGAGAGGAAAAAACAGATAAAACAGCAAACCAAGTTAATCATAAGTGTGATAGTTCTAGTTTAAATAAATAAATATCAATTATTTGCCGAACCATCATTTCCTGGTGCTCCGGGAGCAGGTGCACCACCAGGCGGGATATTATCATCGCCTAGGTTGTCTGCTGGTGGTGCATCTCCACCTGCATGTTGACGAACTCTTCCTATTGACTGGCGGATGTTTTCCAGCACTGCTGGATTACTCTGTTGCATATGTTCAGCTAATTGTTGTCCTCTAAACAAAAATCATTGAAATTTTTACTTCATTTTCAGATGTTTAACTTACACTTCAACAAAAGACTCCATTGGATCACCACCGCCTTCACCTGTATTGGAAATGATACCAGAAACCCTACAACAAGTCATTTACGCAATAAATATAAACAACCGGCACACAGACATTTAATGTTGAATGTTTTTATAGTAAATTTACATGTTGCGAAAAGATGGGTCGTTTAACATCTGCGAGGCCATGTTCAGAAGCGCTGGATTGTTCATTAGACCACCGAAATCAAAGTTTCCTAGAACAGGAGCAGCGCCTGTGGGAGCGATTTTATCCTCGGCAAGTCGAAGATTCGACTCGTAGGAAGCATTGTTAGGATCTAACTCCAAAGCTTTTCGGTAGGCATTGGCTGCATCTCTATACATATTCATATTTGCATAAGCAATACTGAAAAAGACAAGATTTAAAGTTTAATTCATGAAATTTCCCATAAAACTTATGTTTAAACAAATATTCATTGCTTTTTTATGTAGAAACCCGAAATACTGACCCTAAACGTCCATAAGCCTTGCCATAACTCGGATCTAGTTTGATTGCTTCCTTACAATCAGCAACAGCATCTCTATGACGTTCCATGCGACTGAAAGCCGCCGCCCGATTGCAATAATAAATCGCCTTCTTATTAAACAACTTAATTGCCCTGAGATAAAAGATTACAGATAAATTAAAGCACCCAGATTAATGAAGAGTGTGAAAATGTATACTTTGAGTAATGCTCAATTGCAGCAGTGTAATTATTTTCCTTCATTGCATCATTTCCCTTAACTTTGTATTCTTCAGCTTCTGCTTCCAATTCAGAAGCATTTGCATCAGGCAAAGGAAGATTATTACTATAAAATAAATCTATTAAATCGCTGGCATTGTCCGCCGACGTCTCCTCGATCTCATAAGTTGTTTCCAGGCATTGTTTAGCGACCAAAAGTGATTCTTTCTGATCTGAGTCAAGTCCATCTGAATTCAGCTCATTGGAGCAGAATTTAATCACACTACTCAAGACAGCCTTGCGAATCTCTTCATATCGATCCGGTGTAATATCTACAGACATAATTTAGAGTAAAAATTGGGTTTTTAGCATAATTTGTTTAAAATTATAAGATTTTCTGATTGTGACGTGCGCCTGTTAGGTTAGGATACGCAAATAAAAACGGCAATAATTTGTTAAATTGAATTATTTTAATGAATATAGCTACAGGATTTTATCTATGAATATTCAACGATTACTTACTTGGATAATTTGACATTGTTATTAAATGTTTATTGTGATTTGCAGTCGGAAATTTAATTTAAACGTTGCACTGTGAACATAACCAGTAGTTATCAAAATGTTCCAGTCATTCCGTACAGCAGCGAGTGGGAAATTAAACAGTCATCATTCATATTTAATCAGAGATTGAACAAAGTAGGTAATTATTTCATTTCTGACAATGTCTCAAGCAAATATTATCAGCAACAATCCTTGCAATTTCGCTTTGCAAATAATTTTACGTACAGAAGTGACAACAGGACGAAAACAGACTTTTATAACAAAGAAATTATTTATTTATTAATTTTTATTCAGCTATTTTTTTATAGTTTATGTACAAATATAAATAATAATTGATTTGTCGTAAAATTGCATTTGTAATTATAGTATTTTAAATCAGACACAGAGGGCGCATCAAACTTTTATTTTACGTTCTGTTAAGTTGGTACCACGTGAGTGCTTTACCGGCATTCCGCAAAAGTATAATGTGCGCGTCGTGAACGTGTAGTGCTCCGGGCGATTTCGAAATTTGGAGAGAAATCCGATAGAACAGCAGGTAGGACATTCATTAATTGGTAGATCTTATCATTAACTACCTATTGCAAGTTCAATCAAACTTGTAGCTTACTTATTTCGTTTGTAATCTTGTATGAAAGATTGGATGCCCATAAGCATCGATTATCGGTACGGGTACATAAAATAAATTTGTGTTTGAATGGGCAAACAGTTACATAGAACAGTTCAAATAGGATTGTTTCATTGGCATAGAACAAGAGAAGGATAATTCAAAGGCCATAAGCAGGGATTTCTTTCTTTTAATTAGTTTTTTTTAGTAAATTTTTATGCGTTATTAGTGATTGAGGGTTAGACACCTACCGACGCGCGAAAGTATTGCCAACTTAATCTTTGCTTTTTGGCGTCAATAATGAAGTCAAACAATGTCATTCTTATCAAGCACCCCACAAAATATCTGCGCAATTGATAGCATCATAAGTTGTCCTTCATCTAATTGGGTTTTAAAGAAATAACACATTTCAGAGATTTAAATCGTGGTTTACTGTATAAATCATCAAATAAACTAACAACTTAAGTAATTAGTGGCTGTTTTTAGTCATTTTACAATCATTACCGTATAAATTATTAGAATAATGTTTATCGGCTAGAATTCGTAAATGCAATTACGTCTTTCATAAGTCTCATCATTTTCGCCATCTACCTGCACATCTCATCTCTCCACAAATCAAATGGATTAGATAATTAATAAATAAAAAGATAAACAAAAAAGAACATCATAAGATGATTAACAAAACGGTTAGGGTGAAAAACAAAAATAATACTATACAAGTAATCAACAGTTCCGCATAGGTGACAATCACTTCGCTACTATAGACGAACTTCGGCTTGCATCTTTGCGAACGCACCTTGAATCTTTGTCTAATCTGCAAACCTGCCTGAAATCAGAATCACACATTATCATTACTTCGTCACGCAGGACGAACACAGCTCGTACGATACACGGGACAAAACGACCAATAGAGTACATAAAACGCAACTTTTAGGTTATATTAACCTTACATAACCTCAAAAGTCGCATTTTGTGCACTTTACATACATTTATAAAACATCGGAAGCGATTCTAGACACATTTTCTAGCATGTAGTAGATTAGACTCTAGAATAAACAGATAATGAAAGCACAACTCAAAAATTCAACAAAAAAAAACTCAATTGAATGTAAGTGAATAACAAAATAACAAAGAAAAAGTAAAATATTTTAAGATTAATAAGCAATTAATCGTCCCGGTGTATAATAGTCAGCTTATTCGAAGTATTGTCATGTTTCCAATGAATTTTAAAACGAAAATTGTTAAACAAAGTGAGATTTCTGCGTGGTTGATATCTGTATGTGGTTGTAAATTATTCGGTGGTGTTGTTGGTCGCGACTCCGAACAAAAGCTCGTCCGGTTTCGCCGTGCGGCGCCGAATCTTTGCCGCTTTGTTATTGTTATTGTTGTTATTGAGCACTTCCAGAGAGTTTGATCTAAAAATGACACTTGCGTTACTCATCATCGACAACCTGCTGTTATTCTGCGTTAATGCGTACTGCGAATCGATCGGTGATCCAGACCGGCTTGAATACGTCGAGGAAGTATCATTCGCATTACTGGACACACTCGTGACCAAATCCTTCGGGAATATTGAGTGTTCCAGATGCAAAACATGGTCTAACAGTTGTGCTTTGACCGTATTTTCATGTTGCAGCTGAAATTTTCGTTAAAACATGAATTTACATTTAAAAAGTAAATTTTTAAATTTTTTGCTTACTTGTGTTACAATTGTATCACTTTCCTTTAACTTAGCATCTCTTTGTGCAACAGCATGACTCTGACTCAAAGTCATACTGAATAACTTCTGTAGAAGATACTTGGCTTCATCAATATCGTAAACAGAATCAACGATTTGTTGAATATCCGCGGCTTCGTTGTTATCCTGGGTTTCTTCGATCTCAATCACATTGCGCTGCGTCTCATTGATGGCATCTTGAACATAATTAATGTTCTCCTGAATGTCCTCGACATAGTTATCTAGTTGTGCCGTTTCGTGCCCGCGTGCAATAGACATACGTCGCCGCTCCTGCAGCATTTCGAGTTCCTTACCTAAGCTTTCCCTTTTCGCTAAAAAGTGCTCCATGCGCACCTCCTGCTGAACAATGCCTCGCTTACTGATTGTGATATTATTAATGGACTTCTCCACTTTTAACCACTTTTGTTTCGCATGGCGTTCGGTAAACGCTTTATTAATCATTCTACCTGAAGCTTTGACACTTAATCTACTCCGTTGACTTTTACGAAGATTAGAAACCTCTTCCTGTTTTCTTTTTAGCACTTGATCTTTGATTTTACGCTCGGATTCCATCGCTCTGATAACATTTGCGTTTTTTCGTGTTTCTTTACGTAACTGTGCGATTTCTCTAAGTCTACGTAATTCTGATTCTTTATGCCGTGCTGATTCATCTTTCATTTTATTGATTAACTTCACCTTTGCGCGTTTCATCTCGCTTAATTCATTTTTATACGACTTGAGTTGATTCTCTTGATTACTCTGGTTACGCATCAACCGCGCATGTTCTTTTTGTGTCGCTTGCAAACGTTTTAATTCACGCTGCATGTCATTCAACTTCTTCGTGTATTCTTCTTTAATCTTCTTTGCTTTATCTGAAGAAGGTTCTGTATTACCTGAATACGAATGCAAAACCTTTATCACGTTCTTCCTGTGTGTTTTTAATTCGAGCTTGCAGTTGCATTAGTTTATCTTCGTAGTGTTTGCGCATTGTCTGCATACGCATTTGTGATTGTTCCAACTCATCAATGAGTTTCTGCTTCATATCAATATCATTAGTCAATGAAAACAGTTCATCTTTAAGGTCTAGTGATTCTTTTTCTTCGGAATCTGAATCGTAGTCAGTGGAATCTGTCATTCCCTCCTCCATTTCGGAGTTTTTCCTCGTGCGTTCTAAAATTGCTCGATCACGTTCCAAAACTCTCTTTGCTTCTTCTATAAACGATGGTGTTTCATCCATGGACATATCCATCTGACTTCCGAGGCTATTCAAAATGGCCGCTGCACCATATGTATTGTTATTGTTCCTTGTCATTTGTTTCCGGAGCTGTTCACATGTGTTATTCGCTTCGAGAAGTTTCGCGCGTAATTCTTCGATTTGTTTTATATAATCCTGGACCATATCAGTGACGTGGTTATCACCACCGGCTGAAATCCATCCCCCCACAGCTTGTTCAGCTAATAATCTTGTATTTTTTGAGTTAATGCATCAATTGTGTCCTGCATAGCTTTGACTCTTGTTCTGAGATTGTTCACTTCTCCTTGTAACATGTTATTCTCATAAAACATGTCGTTCACTGTCTCGGTACCATCGTTAGCTACAATTCTCTTCCCTTGTTTGTACTCTACTAATTCCAGCTGTAACTGTGCGATTTGTGCACGTAATTGTCCAATTGTTCTCGAGCTCTTATCTTGATTAATAGTCAGTTTATTCTTGATATTCCGCGCTCTATTCGCGTATTTTAACGTATTTAAAGTCTCCATGAAGTCACTATCACTTGGACTTACACAAGCGATCATGACAGTTTGACTGTTACCACCTAAACTGTCCTGTAACAGTCTGGTGAGCTTTGAATCTCGATAGGGAATGTGCATGGCTTTCTTGCTCTTGTCTCCCAAAGCGGATATCACATTCCCGAGGGCTAGTAAGCCACAATTGATGGATATACCTTCCTTGGCACGGTCACCGGTCGCACCAGTGCGCTTCAGTCTTTCGGAACCGGCTAAATCCACAAAGTGGAATTTCGCGGTGAGTGTTTCGAATTCACTGTCGTTTTCACCACCGTCTGCTTCATCAGCCGGTACAACACGTTGTTGTTTTATATGTAGCGTGAAAATAGCATGTGATCTACTGGATTGCGTGTTCATTTGAGTCGAGGCTGTTGTCCGCGAGAGGGCGCCTTCACGCAAACACCGCAGGGCTTCTTTTGTTGAGGTTACGGTTTTTAGTGTTACACCTTTCACTTGTATACCACCATAGGGATCTTCGTGAATTTTATAAGATTTTTCCTAGAATGATTAACATAATAAATTTATACAAGGTGTTGCGTAGGTGATTGTTGATGATTCTAGAACGTTTTCTTTTTGACACCAACGCAATATGATTTATTAATCATGCACACATTCCAATGGACAAATTTGGTTATGATGATCGATATTTATGTGAATGAACATAACCTCACTGTGATTTTACAATTGTTACGCTTTGGCAATTGTCTGCACCGGCGTCACGAGCAATTACTCACTTTATTATAGGCCGGATTGAATAGATCTATCACTTCCTCATTGTACAGCTCCATGAACTGCGCCATTACTTTGAACTTTGGCGGTTCTGCACCTGTCACGCGCGCATCATCCATGCGTGATTGAATACCTCGGAAAAGGTGCTCGATTGCGCGCGGGATTATACCCATTTGTTCTTCGGACACTTCCACGTCGAATCCAGAGCCCATTGTGTAGGTTTTGCCGGAGCCTGTTTGGCCGTAAGCCAGAATAGTTGCATTGTAACTAAAAGTTTCAAAACATTCATAAAATTGGTAAGATTAGATTTAAGATTAATAAATTTTTACCCGTCTAAAGATGAATCTATCAGAGGTGCAACACAATTATTGTACACATTCAGTTGATCTTCCTCAGTATCGAATACATAGTCGTACGTGAAGGATTTATCTGTGCCCAGGACAACTTGAGGTTCACCCGGTGTGACCGTCGTGCAAATTTGGCACATGTCGATGATTTCGCGTGGAATTTGCGGTCGAATCCTAGAAATAAATGTAGAGAATACAATTTTTAGGTGTTTACAGAAGTATTGGAGTGGAAAATGCATCAATATTTTATTTGTAGAAATGTTAGTATGTCACGAGTTTGGGTACTATACGCGTAATCTATATTTATTAGAGCGTGAACACCACGAAAGTAAATCACGTGCAAGTGGCTCAAAGAGCCGAATAATCGATTCGGGCCATCGGTGAGCTAAAAAATGCAATAGAATAATAATAGATAAATTTCCAACGGTTTTATAAAGAAATATTCAAACAGATATAATAATTATTGGTCTTATGACGTTGAATAAATTATAGAGATTTAATTACAAGGTGTAATTTATGAATGAATAATTTTTTACATGTAAATATGTCCAGATGTTTCTTAATTTGTTGATTTCTCTCACCTAGAATGCGATTTTTAAATTTTTATTTTGTTTCTATTGTTTTTCTTTTTTACTAAACCCACGTCCGAAAAGGTTCGCTGATTACGTGATCGCCAAGTGGAAATCAAGTTAGTCGCGGTCTTGCGGTGCTAAATGGAACGCACGAGGTGTCGTAATGTTTATTTTTAAACGGGACAGAAAGAAGCCTTCGGCGCATTTGCATCCGTATTATCTTCGCGTTGTGATTATTTCGTTTTACGATCACTTTAATTTTCGCTCAATTGCTTATTTACTTTTCTATGCAAAGTAAAGTTTCATACTCGTACAAATTCATGGTTGTTTTAATAATATTTCAAGGTAAACTCAAAGAGTTAATTTTAGTGCTAAATGGTTTGAAAAGTGGAAGGAAATCCTGTCTAGTCGACTATTTGTGGATAGATTAATAGATCAAAGATGTTTCAACTAGAAACTTTTCTCTCTGCTTTTCTTCTTTTTATGTGTTTGTTTTTGACTTTAGATTCGACGAATCTAATATTTTAGTTGGTAACGTAGGGTTTAAGTTTATATATATTTCAAATTCTGATGTATTTACGTCTCTCGCGCGTGTTTTGCCCTTGTCTCTTGCTCGGACGTGCCTTGCATCATTTTATTTTCCATATATTTTCGTAACGCGCCTCCAGCGCACTGATTTTAGACTGCGAGGTGCTAGGTTATTAGTCTGTCGTAACGCAGACGCAACGCAAGGTAAATTTTTGTGTTTCTTCTTCTTCTTCTTCTTCTTCTTTTGTAGGCATATTGCCTGTTCCTACTTCAGACAGGGTTTAGGTGGTCGCTCCATCTCTTTCGGGGTCTTCCCAGGGATCGCTTTCCCCTTGGCGATTTGTCCCTGGCTATTCGGACTATTCTGGTTTCGTCCATCCGTTCTATGTGTTCGTTCCACTCGATTTTGCGTCTTTTGCACCATTGTGTTATGTCTTCTATGTTGTTGCACGCTCTTCTGATGTCTTCGTTCTTTATCCGGTCGAGCAGTGTTTTGCCATCTATGTTTCTTAGTGTCCTCATTTCCGCGGTGGTGAGCAATCTCTGTGTGGTTGTCGTCTCTGCACGCGTTTCTGCCGAGTATGTAAATATGGGCCTGACTACTGCCTTGTAGATGGAAACTTTCGTCTCTGTTCTTAGATGTTTGTTGTCCCAAATCGTGTTCCTTAGGCATCCTGCTATTCTCAGGCCCTTTTCAACTTGCTCTGCTACTTCTTTTTCCACTCCTCCACTGCTGGATATGTTTATACCAAGATATCGGAACTCGCTCACTTGTTGTACGATTTGTCCATCGACTTCAAGTTTGCATCTTATTGGATGTGGTGCGATGACCATGCATTTGGTTTTTTCTGTTGCTATCTCCATGTTGAGGGCTTTGCTGGCAATGTTAAACTGGTGAATCATGCGTTGTAGGTTGTCTTCGCTATCGGAAATTAGCACGGCATCGTCCGCGTAGCACACAACTTTCAGCTCTTTCCCCCCCATCTGGTATCCTTTACAGCGTCGGACTCTTGCAATTATCTCTTCCATGATGAAGTTGAATAGCAGGGGGCTTAGGAATCGCCTTGTCTTACCCCTGTTCCTACTTTTATGGGGTCTGTGCGTTGTTCGGCTATTGCTAGTTGCAGTTCGTTGTTGTTGTAGATGTCCCTTATAGTATTGATGATATCAGATGCGATGTTTCTTTTCGGAGTATGCTGGTTATGTCTTGGAGCTGCACTCTGTCAAACGCTTTCCTTAGGTCCACGAAGGAAAGAAAAGCCGGTTTGTTCCACTCCACGGCTTTTTCCTTCACCTGTCTTATTATGAATATTGCGTCGTTACAGGACCTTCCTTTCCTGAAGCCCTGTTGTTCGTCTGATAGTGTGGTGTGTGCTAATATCTTGTTCGCTAGTAATCGAGTTGTTAGTTTCAGGGTGGTGTTTAGCAGAGCTATTCCTCGATAGTTGGATGGTTCTTGCTTATCTCCTTTCTTAAACATCATTATTAGTGTGCTCAATTTCCATTCAGTTGGTACTCTCTGATGCTTCAGGATGATGTTGATAAGTTTCGTAATTTCGGCCGCGAGCACTTCTTCGCCGTATTTCAGGAGGTCATTGGGTATTCCGTCCGGGCCACTGGCTTTTCTGTTTCTGAGTTTAGCGAGTTCTGTTTCCACCTCAGATATGCTTACTATGGTTGGTTCATCAGGTTGTATGTTGACTGAGATATTAGGTTTCTCCTGGTTTGTGTCCCGGTATAGATGTTTGATGTAGTTTATCCAGGTCTCTTTGTCTATTCCCTTTGCTTGTACCAGTTCTGTGAGCTCTTTTCTCTGGTTTCTTATGGTCTTCCATACTGTCTTTTGGGTTCCATAGAAGTCATGTTCTAGTTGTTTTGAGAAGATCCTCCAGTGTTCGGATTTCGTCTTCCGTACTAACTCGTGCGTTTCTCTGCGGATTTGTTTGTAACTTTCGTATGATTCTTGCGTTCTTTGCGTGAGGTGTTGAATGTGTGCCTGCTTTTTTTCCTTGCATTTCATTTTGATTTCCTCGGTGAACCATGGAGTTCTCTTAGCAAAAGGATTCGGTTTCTTGATGATCTTCCTGCCTAGCGCTTCTTCGGCAGCCTGTTGTATGTTGCTTTTCAGCCTTTCCCATGCCGTATCAACGTTATCTCCTTCTTGTATGTTGTTGTTTGTAACTTTCTCCTTCAGTCTGTTAGCATATAGTTCTCTGGTTGTTTGGTCAGCTAGTCCTTCTGTTTTTATTTTTGTGCGCTCTTCGCATGTTTTTGCTTGTTTCTTTTGGAGGGATATTAGTCTCAGCTTCCCAATCACGAGGGCATGATCGCTTCCTATGTCTGCCGAGGTTAAGCTTCTTACATCTAATATGCTGGTTGGTGGAATTACTCGGTTTGTCACAATGAAGTCGATTGTTGATGTGTGTCCCCTTGAGTTACAATACGTGTGTTTGTGTTGTTGTTTGTGTTCGTAATATGTGTTATTTATTCGTAGTTCGTTGATTGTGCATAGGTTAGTCATCAGCGTTCCATTTTCGTTTTCTGTTTCCTCGTTGAATCTCTGCTTAACTCCGGGTATGATTCTGTTGCCAATCCTTGAGTTAAAGTCTCCTAGGATGATAGTCGCTTCGTTCTTATGGCTGTCTAAAACATGTTGCAGTGAGTTAAAGAATTCTTCTCTTACGTCTTGGGGTCTGCAGTTTTCTGGAGCGTAAATACTTATAATGTTGGTGCGTTTCCTGTCTAGCAGCAGTTTTGCGTGTATTATTCTGGCTGAAACGTACGTGATGTCTATAATCTCTTTTTTGTGTTTTAGCTATTTTATTTGAGCTTCTAAAGTCTTTGAGTAGTTTGTTGTGTTGTTGAAGTAGCGGATCTATAACCTTGAAACATGTACCGCGTCGTTAGAGATATAAAAAAGAAAGTAATTTTCGATGCGTGTAACGTGATATAATGTAATCTGAGATTTAATGTGGCGGAACCGACTTAAGAGAAGATAATATGGGGCATAACATCGCAAGTCAATTAATATAGTTCTTTATCTACGAGAACATTCCTCGTGGATTGGGCAAGTAGGTACATTTTAAATAGTTTATTTAAGACTGGATTAGGAACACATTGTGCTTATGACGTACAACACACGCGTGCACATCTCCCCCCACCACTTTTTGCGGGTAGTCCGCAGATACAAGAGTAGCGAGCAGTGCGCTACACGCTCAGTAGTGGAGATCTCTAGATTCTAACCCCCACTCCCTTCGGGTCAGAGGTTTCACTTGGGTCGCCCTCTGGTGTCACAAATATCTTCAATTTCGTTTTATAATTGATTGGTTATCATTTATCACTCTGAATACATTTTCTTAGAATTTAAATGTTTATAAAACACCAATGTCGCTTAACACAAACTATTTTAAAATTAAAATGTGGGTGGGTGCGGAATTTGCGAGCATTTTCGGCGAAACTCCCACGCTGTTTGCGTATGTCCCGAATTTATTTACATTATCCATTCATAAAACAAAGCTCAGTCTTGAATATTTCCGAAACGCATAAAAAACGTAGTAAACAAACTCAAAAAAAAACCTATAAACATTGCCATAAACTTCCTCTGCGATGAATAATATTCAAATCCAACCTTCATCTTAAAATTTCAAGCGAAAAAAAATGAGTAGAAGGTGGAAGGTGTCAAGGCCAAATCGGTTTGTCTCTTGTCTCTTTTACGCAATGCAATGTAATGCAATCAGACACCTGGTCACAACTGATTCACATCAATGAACAGATCACAACATAAAGAAACTCGATTCGATTCAACTCGCCGACATCGATATAATTCAAGCCACGATACAAACTCAAACTCGAAAACTAAATTGCATTTGCTTGGAGTATTCTTAAGGCCGAGCAATTTGTGTAAAATTGGTTCAATTTACGAGTAATTTTATCGCCGCTGTTAAAATTCCACCATTCCACATCAGGCCACGCGTCAAACACGTCTTCTTTTATTATTATTCGTTTTGATTCATGTTTGGAGCGAAGAATTTTTCAATTATTTTTATGTCTCAAGCAAACATTTGGCATCGGCCATATTTAACTAGGTACTCAGAGGTGAACATTGAACAGCTAAATAGGTTTAGAGATTGAGCATTCATTAGTGTGAGCTCACCGAGAGTTATTAACTCGTTTTACTGCGAAATTGCAAATATAGTATAATTGTTTGCGGTGAAACGCAGTAATATTTAATTACTGCTTGTGCTAAGCTTAAAGTTTAAGTTAACATCTGCTGTCATTTTTTTAGAAATTCAGTAATTCCATCAACGTATTGTATTTTGTACTGTAATTGAATTACCTGATCGGTACAGGTGTGTTCTAAAAGTGTTCATGAACAGCATGGCAAACAATCGAACACGCAATGTTTATTTTTCATTAGGTCATGTTATTTTAACGAGTTATGAATTTATTTTCATCAAAAAAACTACGAAAAAATATAAAATACTTAATTTCTCGGTTGTCAGCGTGGGCGGAACGAAAATCAATCATTTTGAAGCATTCTACACGTCAATTAAAGCATTCCTTCGATTTATTTCATTTTTAACGTCTAAATTTATATCCTGCGAGTAGTAATTACGACAATTTGTGACTGCAAGACGTTTAGCACTCATTTTAGAAATTTTTCTTCTTGATAGATTAGATCTTCTTTTACTCTATGCTACTTTGTGTATGTGTGTGTATTTTTAAGCCGAAATTATCCACGAAGTGCAAGTTCAAAGACGCATCGCGAGTGTAATGCGAGAGTTGGAAAAAGACGCAACAGGAAAGAGTTAAGACTCGCCGGCGAGTTTCCGACGAATTAAAAATACTTAAATAATGCACGGTGCAATTAGTGTCTACCTCAACTTACATTTGCTACATTTGTAAAATATGAAGAGGGGAAAATACATAAAAAGTGTGTTTATTTTCGTTTTGCTTTGATATTTATTCCGAAAATAAAAAATTTTAATTTATGAACACATGTTCAATTAGTTACATGTTACAACACCGAAAAATCTACGTGCGTAATAAGTAAAAATTAATTCAATATTTACTTTGGTGTGATTTCACCGCTGCTTTTATTCGTTTGTTTGTTGGCAATAATAGAAACTATTACGCAAAGCGTGTGTAAATTGGCTTTCGACCGTCCGATGCACACAAATTGCACAATTCGCATGCGGCTTTGAGCAGAACAAACAAATTGCTGATCGTTGAATACACAGAGAAAGAAACGTGACAGGTTGGCGGCACGGCGCGACACACAGAGAGGACGTCGCTAATTAGCGACAAGCTACACCAGTCCAGGACTTAATTTGATGATAATCAGTTGGAAAATAAAATAAAATATGTTTTTACACGCGCGGCAGATAAATCCAATCAAAGAAATACAAACAAAGAAACAGTAGTGATTTGTCCTCTAAAATTTAAAAGCAATGCAAATGTCGTCATTTTAGTTTAATTTATTCCCGATGCATTTGTGGGTGGCCTTTAGTAACCTTGAAGGTAAATTTTGCAACACTTTGTAGATATTTATTATACATGTGTAAATTTTACCTGAGAATATGGAAAATCGAAAATTTTATTCTCATGCTAAATGTTGGCGCAAACAATGATCGCATGCCATCACGTGGCGTCTGTCTATCTATGAGAAGAAAAAAGCGTTTTCTCTACGGTTGCTTCCACTATCCCAACATCTCTCAGCGTGTGACGTCTTTAAGGCATTAAGGCATTTTACAGTTTGTACCTGTGAGAAACAACCTGCTTTCAACCTGCCTGCGCTTCTATTCTTACTACTTTTGTACTTCTTTGTTTGATTTGCTCACAAAAGCTCGAACTTAACCTTAGTTTAAAGTTTAAACGGGAAACAGTCAATAAAACGATGTATTTAACTGTTAAAGGTCAATATTCTAACAGAAATTATGTAGAAACATAATTTTTACTTCCGTTATACGATGCAGAACTTTTTGTTTTGTTTAAAAAATGCTAAACAGTCAAGTTTAAAACTTTATGAGCATTTATTTTTGTTTTCTTAATTTTTTTCTGTCTTCTTTTTGATTTTTGTATAACTTTTTAAATACTTATAAATTTTGATAATTTTTCGATTAAATTGATAGTGGATTTTATTCTGAATTAATTTAAGAAGAAATTATTGTAATTTCTTGTTATAAATTAATCAATCATTAACTATGAGAAAACATGTTGTTTTTTGAATTAGTCACCAGATAGTTATCTAGTTATTGATGGATTATTCCTGAGCACAACATGTTGCAACAATTATTCTCATATCATTTCGTTCAGCATAAAATCAGTTTTTGCCATAAATGTACAGTTTTAACCAAACCGCGAAACTAACCAATAAAATATATCAATAAAACGCTGTATTTAACTGTAAAGGGTTAATATTCAAACAAAAATTATGTTTGTACATAATTTTTACTTCCGTTGTATGATGCAGAACATATTTTTTGCTATAAATTGAAGTTTAAAAATTGATGAGCAGGTTTTTTTCTTGTTTTATCTACACAGCCAGCATTTTTGCATATAAATATAAATTAATATGAACCGGTGCGCGTGTAATAATTTTATGTAACCAAAATCGCCGACGTTAACAATAATTTATGCTTGAATTTGCGCAACACGTGGACTTTTTGTCGCCCATATTGAATTATCAATAATAACTATAATTTTACGGTTGGATATTCACGAAAATTTCGAAACAAGTTTTTACACTCCAAAAAACTTATTAAATAATAAAGATTTATGTTAAACACCGAAAAATTTAATAGTTTCTCAAAATTACAGGAAATAATTAATGTTTATGTATTTTTAAACATTAAACACTTAAAATTTTATTAATTAGAACCTAATTTTAACGTTTTCACTTCACACTTGCTAATTAATTCATTATTTAACGCGCTGTTTATAATTTATGATTCACAAACGCTTTGTATATATTTAACATAAATTCAGACGCAGACAGCAGACGTAAGCACTGATAACCTGAAACCAAATCTGTTTGTACGAATAATATAATTATCAACACGCCTAGGTAATGAATGACCTGCAAAGTATAGCATTTTCTCTTATCTTTTATCATTTGCATTTGCGAATTATGTTCCATGCTTATGTTCTTTCATTCTTATCTAAATTGCTTTGTTGAATGTGTGCCGAAACCCATTACCACATTACCAGCATAGCGACGTTAAATTTTCTTTTGATACCAACATGTTTATAAGTCATGAACAATGAACAATGTTAAATTTTTATCAACAAAAAATAGTTGTTGAATCTAACTTTAGACATAACCTAATATAATCTATGTAAAAATGCGTATTGTGTTGCATAACTTTACTAAACATCTGTGATTGACTTCATATTAATATTTAACCTTTAAAAATACCAATATGGCTGCTGGTCTTTGTTTTATTTGGTCGTAAACTATAAGATTTAATTGCACAATGCGTGTTTTCTATATTTAGCTAAAAACATGAAACAAACGGCTTTGTTAAGCTCATAAAAGTTAATCTTTTCTTTGTTTGGACAATTTTGGAAATAAAAACGTGTGTTTTTGTGCTTTTTGGTCATGTTTTTGTACTTTTTGTATGAATTAACAACAAAGTGCTGCTTATTTATATCAGATTCGGATGCGACACGCGTGTATAAATAAATTCCACGCGCAATGCGCGTCGCAGGGCCTCGACAAGTCGTTCGGAAATAGGATTAGAAATAAGATTTATAAATAAATTAATAGGCGCACGAAAAGGACGCGTCTCAAGACGCATTCATTGTTTTCTATATACAAAACTCAATATAAAAACATTTTACGATAAGTTTTCATACATTTTTCGCAATAAAATGAAAATATTTTGATTTTATTTGAAGTTAAATTAAGTTTTTATTTTTAATTGTTTCTGATTTTACTTGAGAACACTTTGTGTTACCTAACGACACCTACGTTCCCCCACAAAACGTATGTCATCTGTTAGCCATTCTTGTTTTATTTTCCGTCGTCGTGTTCGGTTTGTTTGTCTCATCGGTGGCCCGCGTTCTTGTTTTGTTTGACGTTATATTTATTCCGAGCGTCATCGGCATCTCTTTGTAGTCCAATTTAATTCATTATGTCATCGAGTGATCGATTTATAATTAGATATAAAAAGATGTCTTACCTGACCGCAACACGCACTGTCACATCATCGTCGTCCATTTTGGAGTTGATCAGCTTGTAATTTTGGTTTCTTCTTTGTTATCACCTGAAAAATTAATGTTTTTAATGTTTTATTATGACAGGTGTTGCTTGTGCATTGGAATTTAGTATTTTTTGTGAAATTAATTCAATCTTGGTCAACTCGAGTGAATTTCGATGGCGAAATCGACCGCGATTATTACGGGCGTGCAACAATATGTTGTCTTGGATTGCTTGGTTTATTGCGTTATGTTATGTATTAATACACTAACTAAACCCACATGGTACTCTCGACGCGTGCAACCCCCGCAAAAACAGTTTAAATTTCGAGTTGAGGCTGAATTTGCTTTTAAATCAGGTTAAAAATTCTGACAATGTAGTAGTTTTTATTAATTACACTAAAACTCGAAATAGTTGAATAATCATTCACAATGCATTCAATTCTACATTAAATTTCCCTTTTATTTTGGTAAATAGGTTGGTGAAATTTTTCTTATTTATATCGTTATTTTCGAAAATAAATGCATTTTCTATGAAATTGTTGCAAATTTTGACTTTATATGCGTGTAACTTTTTAACTAATTATAAATTTTGATCATCTTTTGATTAAATAGATAAAGAATTTCACTGCGAATCAATATTAGAAGGAATTATCATGGTAACACTTTCTGGTATTAATTAATTAATCAATAACTGCGGAAAACATGTTATTTTCTGAATTACTCGCCAAATTGTTATCTAGTTATTGATTGATTATTCCTGAACGCAACATGTTGCAACAATTATTTCTATAACATTTCATTCAGCATAAAATTTCACAACTAACTACACTTAAAAATATCTCAAAAGATTTCTATAATTACTTTTGCACTCAAAAATATACTATATCTTAATTTTTTTTGTTTATTTTACTCTAGCCATTTCTAAAATCATTTTATCTTCCAAATATTACCATTTTTACATGTAGAATTTATTACAGAATCAACATTAAAAAGAATTATCACTGTATGTTTACGCGTTTTAAAACCACATAAGTCAACAAAAACACATTTTAAGGTTAAGATAGGTTATGTTCGGGAATAATTTACCTGAAATGCTTCTTTCTCATCCAAAAATCACACATTAGCTCATTCTCGTCCACCTGCATCGAATAACACATCTCATCAGGTGTGAATCCTCACTATCGCTGGCTAACGTTGAGAATCGCGCACATGTGCACCACACTTTGCGAATTGCGACGAGCGTCGCTTCGTCTGCATTGGATTATTACGTCGCGCGACGATTACGCGCACGCAGTTGAAGTGAAGTGGTGGTAGATATTATGTGTTGCACAGTATATTCTGCAACTGACGACGAGTGAAAGTGAATGAAAACGGCCCACACTCGATTCACAAGCCACAAGCTACACGGTTGTTGGATAACAATAGTTCTACACTTGAGACACTTGATGTTTAAGTATATGTTAGTAAAAAGTAAATATTGCAAAAATTTCGCTAAAAATGTTTGGTAAATATGTTTTACTAGTAATTCTAGTTTGTTATTTACGTGAATATTATTTTTAATGTTCTACTACGTATTTTAACGTGTTTTTAACGCGTTTATTTTTATGCTATAATTTCCGTTGTACGTTGAATATTATATTATGTTTGTCCTCGTGTAAGTTGTAATTAAGGATGCGCCGGTAGGTTGAACGTGCGTTCGACTTTGATCGCGACTCCTCGCCTCTCGGTAGCGTAGTAGCTTTCTGATGTTTTTCGGTTTTGTGCGGCGCAGCGCACTTCGGCCGCCCTCGACGAACACTCAAACACAAACTAAAACTAAACTCGCGGCTGTGCGCACGCTGTGCACAACTTCGACGACTTCGACTCCTGACTTCAACCGCACTCACTCACGGCGCAGCATGTTGTGCTGGTAGCTGTGCTCCTGCGCTATTCTCTTCGCTGGTTGGTTGTCCGCTCGTGCAGCAGCCACAGGTCGTGCTTTTCCTCACTCACTCATACACATATTAAGTTTAGTGATGAAAAAAGGTGGAATCGCCGGTAGAATGGGTAGAATTCACGACTAGAGTAGAGACACTGGTCATCACATCTCAGCGTTGCACAGAAAACAATACACGAGGTTTAAAGTCGTTTTGAAACTATTACTCAATCAACTCAAACAATAGAATTTAAAATTACATATCTCTAAATATTAGAAGAGATATGATACACTTTTTTGATTTACAATGTGAAGTTTAGAATTTAATACTTATTGTGTAACTATTTTTTTTGTTTATTTATCAAGTACCGTTAGTGGAGTTAGGATTTCGTAGGTTGTTTCTATTTCGTTGTTTCAGTTCAGTGTTCGGAGATACAATAGTTTAGATAAAGCGTGATTTGCGAAGTTGTTTCGTATTCCCTCATGGCATCTAAAAAATTTAATCATAGATGCATTTTTTAATCATTGTGTTATCTTGTTACATTGTTTACTTAGGGTTCATGTTTTGATTAGATTAGTTTCTATCTGATATGATACATTTCGTAGCTATTTGCTGTTTTTTTCAAATTTTTATATATATTTATCGGTGACTAAAGTTTATTGGCCGCCTGAAATGAAACAAAGAGTTGTTCGTCACGGTTCGATAAGTCTGCAACCTGTCGTGCGTGTATGGGTATAACCTGTTGGGAAAAACGAAAAAATAGGGCCGGATGAACAATATATATATTATAAATTTTATACTTTTATAACTTTAGTACAAAATATGGCAGAGATTTCAATAATTTTCATGAACTTTCTCATTTAAACGTCTAAAAATGCGATATTTTAGTAATATAACCTTAAATATTAATGATATGCGCCACCTAGCGGAGGTTTATAATACTAACAGTGCTCTTTCTGCCATTATAGCTTGTTTTTCGATTGTAACTACATAAATTCCATAAAAGTTCTCTAAACAACGACTTAAATGACTAATTTTGCACTGATATCAACAATAATATACGCTTTTGTTATTTAAAGCTTTTGAGTTAAAATCTAATCTATATTCGGGTTCAAAATTGTTTTTAGATAATTTTATACTCATTTATTTCTTAAAAGCTGTGATAACATGCACACGTGGTGAAATCTTCGGTTCAAATCTCTGTGTCACGTGACAATATGAAGAATCTAAAAATATAATCAAAAAGCATTTATTTATAATATAAATTATTAATAACTCGATATTACCTTCTTTTAAATATAAAAGTCTGTCCAATAAAACAATACTCTCCAATAATGGAGCAAACATATGCCTTAGAGCAGTAAACGCGAGGATTTTTTGAAAATCTTCTTCTTCTTTCACATTCTCCAAAGCTTTTACAACTTTTTCATCCATTTCATCAATTAGTATCTCTGGAATAGACTGTTTAATATACTCCCTGAAGTTTTGCACACCTCCAGGTCCTATGGTCTTCACATTTTTTCTTCTTTTGTCTTTGAATTCAGGTGCTACGTCCTCAATGAACTTCTCAACTAACGCACGATAAAAATCAGCTTTAAAGCTTTCTATGTCTGTCCTATAACGTTCTTGGTAGTTTTCAAGAGCATGAAGGGCAAGACCAAGTTGATTTTTGCCCATGTGGTCGCCATTTTGATTATTTTCATTGTGATTTAGTGGAAAGCCGATGAATTTTGGGTTTGGATAGTATGGATCATTATTTATTGACATTTTATTATAGCAACATGATGCTATGTTAATAAACTGACAATTTTGACAGTTTTAAAGAGATTTAACATGGTTGGTGCTAAATTTCCACAGGGATGCAGACCAACAAGTCCAAATTTAAATTTTGTGGTTTTAATTCGCTAAAATCTTCGTTTTGTGCTAGTTGTGCGTCAATTATCAACTTTTCAAATTGATTTGAGGTTATGTTAGGTGTGATCTCTGTGGTAATGCGTAAAATAGTAGATTTTATATTGAAAGTATATTTTGGGTCTCTTCTAGCGAGAGATTTTAATAATTTTAGGAATTTTTCATCTAAACGCCTGAAAATACAATGATTTTATTAATTTAACCTTAAATTTTAAGGAAGTACGCCACCTAACGTTTGTTTATATGTACTTACAGTGCTTCTTCAGTCATTTTTGCTTCCTTTTCGATTGTAACAACATTAATTCCATAAAAATACGCTAGACAACGACTTAAATGTCCTAATCCTGCGCCGATATCAACAATAAAATCAACTTTTCGCTGTAAATACGCTTTGAAACACAAGTCGCCCATTACGACAATCTCCGCAAGCTTTTTATCCTTACATTTGTACTTTAAAAAACTCAGCGGCGGTTTCCTGCGATCGTAATTTATTAAATTCTCATAAAACGGAAACTGATCGGTTTCTTTCACATAAATCTGCCTATAATCCTCTAATTCTTCTTTATTTCCAGGATGAATCACTGTCAATCGATGATATTTCTCGCGCTTTCGACTCAAGGATAACGTTTTTATATCCTCGCGGATCTTCGACAGCGAATCGGGTAAGTTATGATTCAGATTTACGTTATCAGCGTCCATGAGATCGGCAAGTTCATTGGCACTCATTTGGATTAAACACTCACGCCAATCGAGTGGCACTAGATGCCAATAATTGCAATTAAAAAATTGCACAATTTCACAGTCTAGAAGCGAGGAAAATGGTCTTATCACATCCAACGCGTGATTCATACGCGTTGTGATTTGTTCCGGTGTGAAATTTGTTGTGTCATCTTCCAGGTAATTGTATTTTTGGGGATTACATTCGATTGGAGAAGTATCCATTGTTTTATTATTGGTTTTTCAAAGCAAATACTTGGAAGTTGTTTTGCGGTTTTTAAAAATGGCGCCGTTGTTATACGCATGTGCGAAGAAATACTGTTCAGAGTCGTAGTAGTATTTTTTAATGGACGCAAACATGTGGCGGCTGTTTAACAAGTAAGCACGTTTTAATTATCACTGCATTTGCATGCAATACCGGCAATTATTTGATTAGCGCAGTGTATGCTGATCGCCTGACGATACTGGAATAATCCACCAATTCACGCCCGTTATAAATACACGACTTGTACGGTTTCTCGCGCCAGTCGTCCACCCACTGCCTCGAATTTCGTGGCGCGCACACGACTACTACACCAGCGGTGGTACAATTTCACATTCATTCGTTGCCAAGCTGCGCGCCAGTATTATTCGTGTCAGCTGTACAACTCATTCGGCTTGGTTGGTATTATTCAGTGAGTAGTGTAACGAACCCACGATGACGAAGTGCAAACGTGCACTTCACTCCGCCGGCCAGTGGTTGGATCTCGGTCAGTGAAACAATAGAAAAACGACGAGAAACAACGCGCGATGAATTCGATCATGTCGCTGTCGAATACGAGCGAACGCACGAACATCTTCGCTTCGTTGAATATGTTCGGCGGTGTGCCTTCAACGACAGCGAGTAATAATCGTCTGGAAGAGGCTGATGCGAATGCCGAGGGTGAAGGCAAAGTGAAGAATAGACTGCTCTCAATGTGGAACAATGTCAAATATGGTTTGTTTTCTTACTGCTTGGCTGTAGAATAGCGAGTAATTCAGTTTACTTAACAGTTGTCATTCCAGGCATGAAACTGAAAACGAATTTCTCCAAAGAATCTCCAGTGTGGCTGCTTGGCAAGTGCTATCATCGCAAAGAGAGTCCTGATGTTACAGAAATGGGCACAGATGTTGCTGCATTTACAAGTCAAGCAAATGTAATTATATTATGTGTTATTATTGTTGTTTGTTGCAAAAAGGTGAATAGGTGTGAACAGACTGTCAGCAAACATTCTGTTTGTTGAAATTAAAAGTGTTAACATCACTTTGAATGACCACAAGATGCGCGTAATTAGTATTTTTAGCATTCTAGCCTTCAGATATAAATTTAGATGGAAATTTTTGTCATATTATTGACTCATGTCGAAAATTTTGTAATCTAAGTTTTATTTGATTTAAACTTAGATACTTGCAACAAACAAACACTGTTTATAATTAGAACATAAACTTGGCACGCGCACTGATTGCATCACGTTTGCAGTTATCAGCTGATGAAGACGAAGGTCTCGAGGGCTTCAAAGCGGACTTTGTCAGCCGGGTGTGGATGACGTATCGGCGTGAATTTCCGTTTTTGAACGGATCGAATTTCACCAGCGATTGCGGATGGGGATGTATGATTCGCAGTGGGCAAATGCTCCTGGCACAAGCATTAGTCAATCACTTTTTAGGCAGAGGTAAAAATAACATATCTACTCTATAAAAATGCGGAATTTTAAAAAATATATAAATTTTTAAGGCTGGCGATGGAACTCTGATGGATTATTTGAATCCAGTGAAGAAGCAGGCAAAGAACTGACACATCGCAAAATCATTAAATGGTTTGGCGATAAACAAAGCCGCGTGAGCCCGTTTTCACTGCATTCCTTAGTGGGACTCGGTGAGAGTTCCGGAAAAAAAGCTGGAGATTGGTATGGGCCTGGAGCTGTCGCTCATATTCTGAAACAAGCTGTCAAAGTCGCCACCGAACTCAATCAAGAGTTTGAAAGTTTTACCGTTTGTGTGGCGCAGGATTGCGCGGTGTATACACAGGATATTTTCGATGAGTGCGACTTGCCTGATAAATGGAAGGCGTTGATATTATTAGTGCCTATGCGGCTGGGCGCTGAAAAGTTTAATCCGATCTACGCGCCTGCATTGACAGCACTTTTGACTCTGGAGCAGTGTATTGGTATTATTGGCGGGCGACCAAAACATTCGCTGTATTTCGTCGGTTATCAGGACGATAAACTGATACATCTCGATCCACATTATTGCCAGGAAGTGGTGCCCGTCTGGAGCGACAATTTCTCTCTGAATAGTTTCCATTGTCGATCACCACGCAAGTTACACATTAGCAAATTGGACCCGTCGTGTTGTGTGGGGTTTTATTGTGCGACAAAAGCAGACTTTTTATCTCTCATTGAACTCGTGAAGACTACAATTAATGCCGCCACGCGGTCGACTGCAAATGGCATGGAGTATCCAATGTTTGTGTTTTGTGACGGGCATTCGAAGGATTCAAGGATGTCGCCGCGAAGGTATTCGATACCGCCGGATATGGAGTATAGCACTGATAGTCTTGACAATGACTATGTCGAAACGGAAGAGTTTGAGGTGTTATAACCTTCAATCTCGTGCACGTGCACATTTGTGTGGGGTTTGTTAGCTCTAGAAAGACACTTGGCCATTGTTATTTATTTATTGTCCTTTATTGACACATTTCGATGGTTGCGAACAACCATCTCTTCTCATTGTGATCATCTGCATCAAAATTGATTTCGGGCATGTTTCATACGTGCTGCTGCTCATCAAATGGGCTGTTTCCTAGTAAAAACTCTCTTATTTATTCAACGTTGTACAATGTAATTAAAAAAGACTTTAAAATATTAATGTGCGCTTAAGTGATGTGAGGTTGTCAGTCTTTGACCTATTTTCATTGATATTTGGAGAATTACACGTTTTGTTGACTTGTCAACTGGATCGGTATGTGTCTAATGAGGCATTCTAGAACTTTCGGCCAGATTTCGTCAGAGGTGCGACCTTCGAAATCTTCTAGAATGCCTTTCTCACGGAAGAAATCAATAACAGGTTGGGTTTTCATTTGGTAGTCTTCTAGGCGTCTTTGGACCACTTCCGGCTTATCATCTTCACGTTGCGTTAAGGCTTCGCCTGTCACATCGTCTTTGCCCTTCGAAAATATTAATTTTTAGTGATACGTTTCATCAAAATGTTATTTTTTACTTACTGCAACTTTTGGTGCGTTAAAATCAATATTATAGACTCTGCCGCTTGGTAAATGCACCCAACGGTTCTTCACGCGGTCAATGATGACCTCGAAGGGTACCACAAGGTTGATAGCAAGGTCTAAGGGTTGCTGCGTCCATAAGGCTTCGCATTGTGATCGTGTGCGTGGGAAACCGTCGAGTAACCATGGACCACGCGCGTTGTTTATCTCGTTCATGATGAATTTAATCATAATATCATCTGGTACGAATTTTCCGGTTGATGTGTATTTACTTACTTCGTTACCGATAGCTATAAAACAAATCAAAAAACACGAAACAATTACACTTGACGATGCAATTTATTGTTGAAAGTGTAGTCAAGTACCTGTTTTGTTTTTTATTTGTAATCGTAACTTATCTCCGCTAGAAATATGATCCAATTGGAATTTATTCACAATTCTAGACGAAATTGTACCTTTCCCGGAGGCGGGAGCACCTAATATCACAGATCGGAACATGTTCATCGCCATTTTAAGTTTGTGCAATACGCGCGATGTACACTACTGTAGTAATTAAACAGAAATGTGGAGAACTAGTCGGCGCACGCGATGTTTATACACTAGTATTTGTTGAAGTGAACATTGCATCGAGTGTATGAACTTTGGATGTCGCGCGCGCATCGATTCGAAACCAATCGATGAGCGCAAATCGCAAAACAACTCGTTTATCGACTCACAAATTGAAATGCGTGTGTCGATTTGTTTCTATTTATTCTATTTCCGCAAATGTTAAATGTTAAACCACGTGGCAAGCAGAGAGAAACCAGGAGAACTTGCAACAGTTGGTCGCGTCTAGACCACTCGCGCACCAAAATCAATAAACGGTACCGAAGTCAACAGCCGAGCGCAACGCACTTTCTCGTTTTGTATGTTTCGCAAGTCCAAAACGTTTTGGCTATTGTAAAGTAATCCGCGCGTGCCGCTTTGTAAGTGTATTAAGTACGAATAACGATTGAGCATGAGCTATTGTTAAAATAGAACATGGATAAAATATAGGACTTAGTTTTATATTTCGTACTGCAAATTTCACACAGATGGCGCTAGCGGTACTAAAATGATGGAAATAAAAGTTGCCTGACGTCATACCCCCACGACGAGTTGAGTAGCCTACGAGGACACATGCTAACCATTTTGAAACTCGTTTATTTACATTCACATGTGATAAAAAAGCAACTTGGTAATAAGAGACAGCAATATCTGACTTATCAGCTCGATGTTACTATGTTCCGAGTCGAAATTCAAATCGCGCAGAGTTAAGTAACATAAGCATGCGTAAGCGAAAACTTGTTTGATTGATAATAGGAGCGTATTAAAGTGGAGAGGTAGCAGAGTAGGAGAAGTTATTATGCGACAGATTGGCGTTGATTAAATATTACTCTAGTGCTCCAACTCGTACTTGAATCAAATCAGCGCAAAAGTTTGTTTCGTGTGCTGGTTGCGAAGCGGTAAAACTCGTACGATACGTTGTCGGTCAGTCGGTGCGCAACCGCCGTGAAATCTACAACTTTCAGTGCCATACACACACGCACACACTGCCATAGTTTATAGTTAAGTGCGCTTAAGTTAAGTTAAGCACAGAAAATGTCGCGATGCGGCCGATTGCTCGGTGGTTTACTGCACAATAAAATCGTAAGTCGTGAAATGTTTCTGCGCACACACACACGGAGAGATCGCTAACGAAAGTCATTTCAGCAGCCCAAGTCGGCTTTACGTAAAAATAACTACGTCGGCGGCGTCACGGCGGTCGAAAACAAGTTTCAATTCTCAAGGACACGTGGGTTGTATACGTCGCCGGCGCTCGCCGGCAATGTGGCGTTCAAATTGTCGGATATCGGTGAGGGTATTCGAGAGGTAGCTGTGAAGGAATGGTTCGTTAAGGTTGGCGATAAAGTCAAGCAGTTTGATAACATCTGCGAGGTGCAAAGTGACAAGGCCTCGGTGACGATTACGAGCCGGTATGATGGTGTTGTCACTAAGTTGCACTATAAAGTTGATGATACCGCGTTGGTTGGGCAACCGCTATTAGATATTGATGCTGAGGGTGAAGAGGGAGATGTCCCTGAAGTGGCAAAGACTCCTGAAGAACCTGTTAAACCTAAAATTATTGAGGAGGCTATCAAATCACCACAGGTACCTTCAGGTCCAGCGTCTTATAAAAGGGATATATGCATACCTTCGGTTCGACGGCTTGCAAAAGAACATAATATTGATTTGACTCAGGTGGAAGGTACCGGAAAGATGGTAGAATATTAAAGGAGGATGTTTTGAGCTTATATGAAAGATCCCAGTACCTCACGGGTACCAATTATACAAGCCCCAATCTTAGCCCTTCATGATAAAACTGAAGCCATCAAAGGCTTCCGTAAAGCCATGGTCAAAACAATGACAGAAGCGAATAAAATTCCTACTTTTGTTTATTCCGACGAAATGGCAGTCACAAAACTCTCAAAATTACGTCTGGAAGTAAAGGAGGAGTTTCTTGCCCAAGGAATTAAAATTTCCTACATGCCATTCTTCATTAAAGCCATTAGTAATGCTCTGGTCAAGTATCCTATCCTCAACGCCACCGTAGACGCCAATTGTGAGAATGTCACTTACAAAGCATCACATAATATTGGTATAGCCATGGATACCAAGGTGGGACTAGCTGTGCCAGTTATCAGCAACTGCCAATCTTTAACCATTGTCGAAATAGCAAAAGAATTAAACCGTTTAATGACCGCTGGTAAAACAGGAAGCTTTGATCCCAAAGATTTAGCTGGAGGTACCTTCACCCTTTCGAATATTGGAGCAATTGGTGGTACCTACACCAAACCGGTGATTTTACCACCACAGGTTGCTTTACTCGCTCTGGGAGCTGCTAAATTACTGCCTAGATTTGATAAGGATATGAATGTCATCCCAGAGGAGATTGTTAGCCTTAGCGGGGCTGCTGATCATCGGGTGGTTGATGGTGCGACGATGGCGAACTTCTCGAATGCGTTCAAGCGACAAATTGAAAATCCTAGTTTATTGTTTTTGAATTTGTAGAGGTTTATTAAAGACTTGGTTTATTTTGGACATTAGTTGATAAATGATAACATAATAACAAACGCATGTAAATTGATAACAAAATATCCCTCGCTACCATGTAAGACTTAAAGTTAAAAAAAAAATAGTACGACACTTTTAGATCTATAAGACCAGTGATGTTCATTCACTTAAAATGAAAACAACCGTGATGATTATGATAGCACACTGCTCCGCTTTGACTTAAGTCACTTCTCGTAAGGCAAACTTGTTTCTTTCTCATTTTACTACTTCTCACGACCGTGTAAATACTCCTAATCTAATTTTAAGGCCTCTCACTCTTCTCCTTTCACGTTTTTCTAAGAAAATCTTATTCTGAATGACTGGGAAGACCAGAACAAAACAAAACGTCGTAAATCAGCCGCTTCGTCAACCGTCAACGTGTAAATATTTCGTTAAAAGTTAAAAATCTATGCATTAATATAAATAATATAAAGTATTATCTCTTCAATCTGTAGCGCGATAAATCTCGCTTGTGATATATTTTTTTTCGATCATCGTTATCGTTGATATACTCCATAGATATTTGTTGGATCACAGAAACGTTTACGATGATGCGTCACTCGTCGTTAAAATAATAAACAAAACATCCAAATATTCCACGATAGCATAGCGCAAAGCACATCTTCTTGATTCTTCGTTTACGTAAACATTATATGTTAGTCACTAACCATCGTTGCTTTCTAGCCACTGGAATAAAACGAATGGCTTTCGATTAATATGACGTGGTGTCGCTTGTGCTTACGTTACTTTTTTATGCGCCAGCTTGCAATTTACGTAGGGATTTTGGAGGATCTTCGGCTGTGTCTCCATCACTCGCAGGAGGAGTTCGTCAAGATAGTCTTCTAGGTCTTTGAGCTTCTTTTTATTGTGTTCCAGGTCAGAATGGGTGTCGTTTAGTAATAATATCAGATCCTATAAAGGAAAAATTTAATTATTATTGGGTTATGTGTGTGTGTGAGTTGTTTTTTGTTTACCTCGCGTGTTTTTCCTTCGTATTTCAATAAAAGTTCATTAGAAATGCGATTGTTCGAGCTGGTCGAGTTGATAAGTTCGCTTTCGCCGCCGATGATGACTCTTTCGTGCTTATCGTGCTTGTCCTCGTGCTTATCTACGGTTGAAAATCGTTAATTAGTCATTTCGTACGATGAGTGTGTTTGTGAATTTTATATGCCTCGCACCTTTACGCAAATTCCGCAGTTTTGTAAACATGCTCTCCTTTAACTTCTCCTTTTCTTTCTCCTTGTGTGGAAGCTCTGGAGTTTTGTTCGGAGTTTTACTCGTTAGAATATTCTCCTCGATTGGAATCTCTTGTAGACTTTGTGATAGGTCATGCGGGTCTTCTTCCTCCTCGATTCTGTCAGATAATTTTGGTGACTCCCATGATCTTCGATTTATGTTTTCAGCGGCTGCGCTGGGTTTTAATGAGTTTTTGTTCTTGTTTAGCTTCATTTCCCACTCGTCTTGTTTGGGTTCCATGCGTGGGGGTTTGCTGGGAGGTAAGGTTGGTTTGTCCATAAACTCTTCGGTGATTTTTGGGACTTGGGAAGTGTTCAGGGAACTGCCAGATGATTTATGTGAGAGGTCATCGAACAAGAAATCTTCGTCTTCGTCACTAACTACTCCTGGGTCTGCATCTTCATAGGTCTGTCTACTGTGGCTTGTATTATCTAATAGCACGCCATGTCGTCGAAGGTTTGAAAGACTACCGCTGCCTATAGAGTTGGCATCTTCGTCTTTGTGGCCCTTTTTTCCTCTGAGATGCATTTTAGACCCGATTGATTTGGCGATCTTTTTGATACCTTTGCGTTTATCTGCGCTTCCAATACTCAGGAGACTTCCACCAACTGTCTGGGCCATATGGGAGAGTGACCCAATTGAAGATTTATGTTTTTCTTTCTTTGAAAGGTCAGTGAGACTTCCGGATTTTACTGTGAATGCTATTTTAGCCTCCAGGCGACCTCGGGGTTTTTCCGATTTACCTACAATCATATTTTAAACTCACCTGGAAGACTGTTATTGCAATATTTCATACCTGGTTTACCCTGCAATGGAAACCATTTGTTTTTAGGCCTTTCATAGGTGTCCAAACCATTCAGGGGGATGATGGCCCTGCCTAGAAACTCATCCACATTCATAAAGTTTTGATGGAGTACCGTGAGTACTATCTCGGCGGTGTTGCCTTGCTCCGGGATCGGACTGTTAATGAAAATAAAGAAATAAAAAAGTGTAAATTTAAATTAGCATACAATATATTTCTCGAGAGTCTAATTAGACTGTTAATATATTCGTGCACGCAATGGTATTGTTCATGAAGTTATTATTAAATGAATTCCATTTCGTGTACATACCTGTACCTACATGCATGAATAATATTTATTAATGTGTACTCACAGTTCGCATTCTTCGTGCCATTCTACACTCGGTTCGGACTTCTTCTTCACCGATGTCTGATACTTGGTTTTGCCGAGCGCGATCGTCACAAAGCAATCGTTGGTGTTGTTTTTGCCTTTCGTGATGAGATCGACGGCCTTTTGAACTGCGAAACGAATTTAAATTGGATATAATCTAATCGTTTAAAAGAGGTCAGCTGTCGTCTCTATGTACCTGTGACCTGCACATGAGTGGGCATCCACATATTGGCCAACACAAAATTTCACTTTGTTAAAATTTTCAACTTGTTTCTCTAGTAGAGAAAATTTCGCACTTATCACGTATTGTGATGATGATTGTGATGTTTGATGACGTCGATTGTTGGCTTCTTTCGGCGAGATTTGTTTTCGTTTTGCGCTTTTTTTGTTTTCAGCGACGAGCACGAATCGCGCCAACACGTCACGGCGTCCGCGGCCTGTGGCCTGTAACTACCGACTAATTACCAATGCACGTATGCGATGAGAACGCACACCCAACGATACCCAAAGAATGCGCGATGCGTGTGTTGCGCCAGCGACGGAACGCACGTTTCACTGCCAATATATTTTTGCAATCGCGAGATCGCCGCGCTATAAATACGCACTGCACATTGTGTTTCACTTGACGTCTGTCACCACACTCGCGGGAGCTGTAATGTTTTAACAGCTTTAAACATGCGGATGTCTATCGCGTATGCTAATAATCCACCTTTACCGTTTTGGTCTAACGTCACTCTCTGCGAAAGTCTTCTTTTGACTTGTGTTGGTAGCACCTATAAAGTCCAAACTAGTGCACAGGTGGAGGAGCACGGCTTTAAACACGCAGAAGGTACAGGTAAAACTGATGTTTAGTGTTCACTCACTCGGCAGTGTTCCGAGCCGTGGTGCCGTTACGCGATAATGATGAGAAGTGTTTTCGCTGGGATCTGCGTTTCTCTCCTACCTGGGCCGACCACTAGACCAACTCGCGCTAGATTTACTCTGTGGGTGCTTATTAGTACCTGGCACATGCGACGACTACTAGAATTTGATAGGAAATTAAAACCAGAAATGCCACCGCAAAGGTTACGCACGCAATAGCTATTTACGACGAGATAAGGACATTCTAAAACTTAAACAAATCCAACAAGTCACACAATAGTCATATTTGATTCATATCGAGAAACTAGTTGAAAAAAATGACGAATCAGCTGTAATCTAATCACGTGGGTTCTAATCCTCGCCACTGTGATGAGATAACCGATAAAAGTCCTTGAAAATTGGTTCTATTGTAAAATAAATGATATTTTTCCTTAGCGTGTATTTATGCGGTTTTGTTCGCTTGGTTGCATACAGTTGAACTATGTTTTCGAAAATATATATTAACAAAACTTTTGTGGGATGTTTTCAAAGAAAAAAAAATATTTTGAGGTCAATGTTTTATTGATTTTTGCAGACAATATAAAGTCTGAGTCTTTTTCACTGCCCTAGTAATGAGTCAATCAGCGATTGCATCATTTCTATTGATCTGCGTGAATAATCATTGTATACATGCAAAATTACTTCATTCTCAGAGTTGGGCGAGTCATAGCCAACTAGTCACCGAAGGTAAAAACTCCTGAAAGTAGTGTAAGCACTAAAAATTTAATAGAAAAGACTTTCTCTGTTTATGAAATTTTTTGATTTTATTATTCATGATTTTTTTCATACAAGTTCATGACTTGCTCAAATACTAATCAGATCATTCGTCAACATCAACATTACAAATCTTTGCTTGTCACATATACAAAATAAAAATATAATAAATAGAACACACACGTTTCACGAACGATTTGCTTTTACACTATTCGTTTCAGTACAATTTCTTTTTTCCGCATCGCCAACAAAAGAACAACTTAACCGTTTTCTTTGACAGATAATTAGTTAGAAAATATTTACAAGTACGTACATCGATGATGAATAGTAAAGTTTTGTTTATATCTCTCGTGCGTTTATAAAAAATGCATCAGTGCTGTGGTCGCTACGTCGATTTTGAGTCGCTTTCAAAATGTGTCTTTAATCGCGGCTTTCAAAAAAGAATTAAATAATTACAAATTAATGACTATATTCTCTTGAAAATTTGCGTCTAGCTAAATAAATAACAACTAATACTAAGCCATATTTGCGGCTTTGTCGCTAACAATATAAAGATAATATCACAGAAATGTTCGAGTATCTATAATACAAAATTGCATTGTGTGTTTATTCGCAAAACATGAGAACGTGAGAACTGAATTTCTAAAACTTAAAAAAAAGTGCATTTCCTATTATTTCTTTTCTATAGTTAATTTTTTTAGTTTGTAATATTTATAGACTTTATAATGTCATGATATGCAGTCAGTTCTCTTTGTTTTTCGACCTATGAAAGTCTTGTCATGATTAGACCCGTCCAGAGGGTCTGATTCTTAAATTTTTCATCTTTGGCAATGACAGGCTAGGAACACGCGCATTCGACAACAATCATGTTGTCCCACCGATGCACCGTCAGCTTGCTGGCGTCGTTCGGATCAACCATGAGCATCTCCAGCGGTTTTAACTTGGAAGGTGCACAACACGTCCGCGGCGTCGATCGCTTATCCAACCGATGGACCATATTCTGTATTCGTGAATGATTCGTCGCATAGTTGAAGTTGTGCGGACACCGACCCTTGCAGTATCCCGCCTCGTACTCTTTGGGTTGTACAATTGAGTTCCAGTTGAGCTTTTCGAACTTTACAGTCATCTGATGCCGACAGCACTTTGGCTTGCGTTCAGTGCCAGATGATTCTGGATTGACTACATCGCAATCGGTGTTACCATCTTTATCGGTGTCGGAATAACTGCGTTTTACTCGTCCGGGAAGTATGGGTTTTGCAAGGATGTTGAGAGATGCGTGGAGGGGTCGCAGTGCTTCGATTTTACAATGGTCGCACTCGAGGAAGAGGCCCAGATTGCGAGTGGTGCCTGATAGCCAGTCTTCAGCCGCGCTGGTCACGTCGAAATCGGACCATTTCGGTTGCGTATGCGAGAGATATACTGTTTTCTTTGTGAGCAGGCGGCGGCGGCGCGCCCCCAATACTTGATAAACACGCACATGTGTGGTGTTTCTTCGCGGGTGCGCTGGGAAGAGTAGGCGGACTTCAGCGCTCTGGACTTCGACGTCCGGTGTCGGCTTCACGTGGAAGTGAAGTCTGATGGACTCGTCTCGTCTTCGTCTCCAGGATTTATTTTCTGTAACAAAACAAAAATGATTGGTTTAAAATGTATTTTTACCGCATGATTCACAAATATGGCGTGGGTTTGAACGGCGCCATTTTGTGCTAACCGCAAATTGTGTTCCATTACAAGCAGCATCACCAGCGCACGTGATGCGTATTTATTTGTATTCCGGTTTTGTTTGAAAGAATGTTGTGCGTCGAATTTGTTGAAAAGTCATAATTTTCCTTCGCGGCCGGCCGTTTGGCCTACTCTTTGAAAACCCACTCGAGTTTCGGGTGCGAAACGTGCGCAAAACTCATATACGCAAAGCAAACGCACGTAAATACTACAAACAATAACATGGCCGACATTGCGACTAGAAAATTCTCTACACTGTTACAACACAATCGAAACATGATATTTTTTAAAATGCAGTTTGACATGACATATAATAACTTATTAAAGTTTATTATTATTATCTTCGTGCGGTTGGAGTATCTCTTGATAATTAACGTAAAGGTGCACGGCTTTTAAAGCGGTTTTATGAGTTATTGTTCGGTTTTTTACCGATACGAACCCTGGTGGACTAATTTCACGTCTCTCGAATGGAAAATAAATTTTGTGCGTATGTGTAGGTGCACTGTAAATCTTAATTTAATGAGTTGTTACATTTTCATGAATTATTTGACTTTCTCTCCCAGCGAAATCGACGCATAAATCTTGATTGATTTCGATTCGACGTTTTATTGATTTGCGAATTAATTTGATCGCGACCGGAAATTCCAGTGTAAGTAAAAATCTCAATAAATATCGCAATCAAAGTGATTTTTTTTATGATGCAAGAAAAACAAAACAATTGATTATTACGTTTGTTTGGTCTGCGTCTTGATGTCGTTGAGATTAAAATTAATATTACTTAACCGATTTGAATAAATTACCAATCTGGCGAAATAATAGTGTATGACTTGGGAAAATTTATTGAAAACAGCATTTTACGACGCATAAAAGTTGCACAAACAAAGATAAATTGTAAAAGCACCTTTAAGGTTTAAGATTTGCGTAGAAAGTGATTAAAATTGTGATTTGTTTGTGAGTTGTTGTGTTTGTCCCCTTTGCTGCGATCGTAAAAAGATGAGAAAAAGTGCGCGGTATTTGAAATATTTGCATTTTATTTGGATGTTAGCGCGTGTGTGACTTGTAAGTCGGTGATTTGCGCAATTTGCGATCGCAAGGTGCAACGACCACAATGTTTACATAACCCGCTGCAGTTTGCGAACGCGATTAAATCGTGATTTGCGTTACGTATAAAATCACTAATTAATTCTTCATTAAATGCCATCAGAAAATTTAAAATTATAGTGTATGACTGGGTTTTTGTGAATGTAATGTAAGAAAAATGATATGTGATGCTGTAATTTTCGTTGGAGGGGTATTTTTAGGCGTCTATAAAATAATTGAGACAAATGTGTTGACTGTTAGGATAATTCGCGCGCGCGTCGCGCGAAAAACTATGCGAAAAATGCGACGCGTCATATTTTTAGGCGCCATGTAGCGCCGCGCGTCGCGACACACGACAAACGCTCACCATTGCCATTTCGAGACGCAAGAATCTCTCTCGCGCAGACTTTGTACATGCTCAAGTTTATCCCCTAAAGAATGTCGACGCGCAAAAAATTATTAGATATCGTAAACTGGCGGCGGCGCAACATTTGCGAACAGATTGCAGCGAGATGACGGCGGCCAAGAGCCACGACATGCATCCGGCAATAGTGCCAAATGTTTCGTTCTTTTGCAACATATGCACACGCAAAAAAAAAACTGGCATGCCGACTAAGTATCATGCTTGTTTTTCGTATTTAATGTGATACATTATGAAAATATTTTAATTCTCCTCGCATTAAGCGCGTGCGGCGCGCACACATCATGGATGCGATTCAGGAATTTCGTATTTTTGTAATGCGCTGCGCGACTGGCATTGAGCTCTCGGCGCGCGCGCGCGCGTCTGAATTTCTCGGCCGATTATGCGCCGCCGCCGATCGCTTAATGACACGGCACGCACACGAACCGCACTTAATTAGCTCGTTATGCATCGCAAAAGAAACGGCGAGGCTTTGACTTAAGTCAAGTCAACTCATATGCAGAGAACTTAAGTCAAAACCGCACCTCAACTTGACTTAAGCTGGAAAACAATAAGTCAAAAAAGGTTAAAAAGGCTTTAAGCAAATTAGTTCAACGTGAGTGCTGTTTTGGTTTTTGCTCGTAAAAATTTATTATTTTTTGATTCTAGTGACTTAAAGATGAGTCTACCTGACAGGTGCGATTTAAGTGACTTAATAGCGTGTAACCCACCGCAGGGAATGAGACATTACGTGTGTTACACATTGCGTGGGCTAATTTTAAACGGCGGCTATTAAAAAATTTCGAGATATTTATGTGAAAATAGTTTTAGTCGGTTTTGTCTGGCCCCAGAGTAGACCGAAGCTAATAAATACGTTAAAAATGAGTATTGTGCAACAAAAAATGTGACAAGCTCTCAAAAATTAGCCGGAATTGAGACTCCACCGCTTTTTTCTTACCCAATTTGATAATTTATTGCTACTTTTATTCAATGAGTTATTTTCAGTCGGAATCGTGCTATTTTCACGTGTTCACAAGGAAAACGTGTGCAAAGTGCTAATTTTATAGTCTAGAGTTAATTTAATTTGAGATTAGGCAATCTTTTTTTAATTTGATTTAAATTTAAATTTAGAACAAAATCAATTGTTGTTTGTTTTTCCCGTAAATTACATAGGTGATTCCAATTATCATAATAATGATGCAATGTCGTTTTTATGACGAATTCCGCCGTCCAAAGTTTATCTATCTCTCTGGAAACATGTCATTTTCGCACACGTGAGCGATAAACACCAGAATCGCGGGCACGCAATGCCTCAATGATACGAAAAATTATGCAATACTTGTGCAAGATTGCTCGTAGGAGCAACATCCTCAACTTGACAACAACCGAAATCTCGTACCGTTGAATGAACGCCGAACGTAAACATTCTATAAAATTCAACAAAAACGCGTATTGTAAACGGCGCACGTTTCATTCATGCGTGTATAACTCGACCGCAAATCCTGATCAATAATATTCTAATAATGTTATTACGAACGCACGCGTTGTTTAACACTTAAATTTGTTTGCGATCTGAATCATCGATGAAAAATCTTTGCACACGACGAGTGATGGTGTAGAGCTACGAGAGTAAGATTAGGACAAGGACGTGTTTGTATGACTTAACACGAGACCAAGCCTGATGAGAATTCGACAGTGCGTGTTTCTTCCGGCCGTTCCACGCCGTTTGCTTCCAAGGTGTATTTTTAGTCGTAGCGAGCTTTACTTTCATTCATTTTCGGAACGTTGAAAATGTTGCTGTGTTTAACGTGATACTTGTCGTCACCGATAGGACACGCACGGATTAATTGCTAATTAAACGTAATTGCCTACGTGATGCACCGAAAATATCATCAGAAGGACTATAAAGTGACGCAATGATTTTTTTGCTCAATTTTCAGTTAAGTAAGTGACTTGAAGTTTGATTTAATTTAATGCAAACCAGAAACAGATGTTTCCAAAACTCAACATGAGAATAAAACGACAAACGACTTATTTTAGTTTCAACTGGCTTTAGTTTTATGTCTTAACTTAAGACAACTTCATTTATTTTCTTTCTAATGATGTTTCTTTTAATTTCTTTCTTCTGCACGCGATGTTTATTTAAGTTTAAGGCTTAAGACTGCGCGCTTGTAGCAATGAAAAATAATCAGGGAATATTTAAATAGACAAGATTATTAGTACTAACCTGAATTGTACGTTAAAAGCTGTGGAATATCTTGTGGCTGATGCGGCGCATCGCGCAGTGCGGTGAGATACAGGCTCATCTTGGCCGTGTATTCTTCTTGACTAATGTTCGCCTGTAAAGAAAACAAAACAACGCGTTGATTAATACAAACATTCACACATCATTTTTCACTTGCTGTCGCATCATTTATTTATAGATTGGTAAAATTCTTTCCGGAAAATCATTAATCATTATGTATTTTTATTTTAATATGAGAAAAAAAGTGTTTAGTAGATATATCGGAACTCAAAGCATTGGCATTGAGGGTTAGTTTGAGTAGAATGTTTCTTTGGAGGTTAAGTAATTTAAAGATTATTTAAAGAATTTAAAAAGAAATTAAAAGATTTATTAAACATTGTGTTCAGTACTTGTACCGCTAATCAAAGCATTGGCAATTATTTTAGAGGTTAAGATTTATGAGTGTCAATATTAAGTATTTTTAAAGATTATTCGAACATTTTAAAGTGAATCATTTTAATCAATCACTATTTTTATTCTGAATTCTAAAAAAATTAAGTTCGATAGTTATACCGCAACTCAAAGCATTGGCATTTTTTGAGGGAAAGATTTATGAGTGACCATCTTTGGCAAAAATGTACGATTTGATGTTGAAATGTGCGCGGTGATGAGTGCGAATGTTATGCGAAAAATGTTGGCAGCCGGATGAATGGGAAATTCGTGTGGGTTAGAGTCGCTTTTCGCATTCTTGGGCCGATGTACACGCCATAAAATCCCCCAATGTTACCATGTTACCATGTTTTGTTTTGACTGTAACACAGACTCGTCTTCAGTATTTTTAAAAATCAGGAATTTGCGCGCGCGCGCGAGTGCTGCCGGCGGCCGTAAAATCAAATATGCACTCGCACTCGGTTACACAAATAATTTAATTGACTCTGCCAGCATTTTATGGCATTCCGATTGGTGGTAAACTTCTAGAATCTTCAATCTTATTATATATCTTGTTTTCATAGATTACTCACTCGTGAAAATCACTTGTAACACTTCAAAATAGTAAAAATAACTTTTTTTTAACTTTATTTTATTGGTGATAAACTATTTTTAGAACGCGGAAGAAGCGTGGAATTTAAATTGTTGCTTCCGAATAATTTATTATGCTGCAGTAGTGCGTTTGTAAGATGACAGACCGTGACTTGGGTGGTTAACGACATGAGCACTTGTCGCAAATGTGTAAATTGTTGGAAATCCGCGTCGAGCGCGCTTGACAATGCGATATATCAACAGGTTGAATGTTGAATTTTTCAACTTTATTTGTATGCGTTTTGCAAGCTAGAAACAAGCTTTGGAACATGTTGGGAGAGCTTGAGCGCAGCTTAAAGTTCGATCCGATTCAACAAACATCGTTGGCCAATTGGCCTAATTTCTATTTCCATCTGATGCACTGCTACCACATCAGATACACTCCTGAATATTATACTTTCTTATTCAATATCCACCAACCAGTAAGTAATTTTTTTTCATTTTTTTTATTTTTTACTGCATGTCGTAATTATATGAGCGTGAGAGTCGCGAATAAATAAAAAAAACTCTTCGTGTCCGCTACGCGAGCGCTAGAGCGGGTCTTAATTAGCAAAAGTAACCAATTTGGGAATCCCCAGTTGGAATTACCTTATTCTTGGTTCCGGCATGATCTCTCAGTGACTCAACTTAAGTCAAGTGAGACTTGTCCGCCGAACAACTTTCGTGCATTTACAACTTTCCATTGAGATTACTGGCAGAAATTTTTGCAACTTACCTTAACTAAATTTGGTGCGGGTAAACCTAGTTCGTCTAGGAACTGTTGCGCTTCGTCCTGCGCCGCCGCCATGCTGGTGGTGGTGCAGACAACGAGCGTGAACACGAAAAACGTCTTTTGCGTGCGTGTTGTTTTCGCCGCCGTCCAGAAACCGCCCATAGCCGGCTGATTACCACCGATACGTGGACATTCAGGATGACACTTTTTGTTTCCGGTTTCGGTCCACAGCAAACAAAATTTGCGCACTTTTTTTTAATAAATCAACAAAACTTGACGCGAAAGTTTCGGCAAATTATTTTGTTGGTTTTTAAACACTGTTGGTAATAAAATAATAATCCATTATTTGGTATTGTTACTTGTGTTTAGTTAGTTTATTAACTTGGTAACATGCGCGTATAATGTTTGGGAGTTCTCGTCGGGTGAGAGGAGAACTCGTCGCGTGCGCTCGAATGGTGAACTCGCGAGTCGCGCACACAGCGCGCTACTTTTATACACCGCGACTCATTCATGCCGACGGCCGCCAGCGTATACTATCCGCCGGCGGGTGGGGGCGTGTGTGCGACGTTTTTCCGGAAGCGCGGGCGTCGAGACGCTTATCCACCCCCGCGATACCACTGCGTGCGCCTCCACCAATTCAACGGAATGGTATCTAGCGCAAAACTATCAAATTTCTAGTATTTCTCTTCTGGAAAAAATTACTTGCACAATTTTTATTGTTTAAAGTAGAGCGCAAAAGGCAACGACCTTGCCTGAGACAAAATCCGGTTAAGAATCGATCGCAGCGTTTGATTCCTCTTATGTTCTAGGATGTGGTTGAGTTGAGGTTGTGTAATTACTAATTTTGAAGCAATCGAAAGCGATCAAAATCGATTTTGAACGCTACAATGCGTAACCTAAACTTCAACTTCAACTTGGGTTAAACCAAGTTACGCTTTGGCTGTGAATTTTTTGTTTTCGCCTTGAGTGAGGTTATGATTCACTCCGCCATCAAGATAACGGCAACCATCAGCAGCCCCCTTGCGCGTCGATGTGCTGTTTGCCCTCAATCAATATCTTAGTAGTCATTTCGCGGAACAAGGCTTGGTTCACTCTGTTATTCGTCTACCGCAGGCGACGAGTCCATTGCTGCGCTCTTCCGATCCTTTTCTCTTTTTTTGTGTGTTTTACTTCATATTATCATGATATAGCCGAGGGCGTGTGTGCACATTTTACACCCCCGCATTCATAAACCAACTCGTAATGCATCGCGGGTGTCATCCCAGCGAGATGAAGTCCTCGAAAGTTTCGCAATGCGAAAACAAACTGGTTCATTACTTGATTCATTCACTCATCTGTCAGATGGTAGCGGTTGAGGTTGGTTGTGTATACCGGGGTAAATATTATTCTCTCGCACATGTCCAGGGTGCTGTTTACGCCCACGCACGCTGGCAAATCATCATCAAATTTATTTGCCTACCTGCCCGCCGTGAGCAACTTGATCCGCTTGTTTTCTACGCTTCATCTCCCCGCTGAAAACATTCATTCATAAAGCGCTTTATTATGAAATTAGTGCACTTTTTTTGCTGTGTGTCTGTGTGTACCTAAAAAGTTTTTCTAGAAAAATCGTGAATGATAATCACGTTCCGATGAAAACGGGTCACGAGTGATTTGCCTCCAACCACCCCTCGTGGGACATTACTCATTTATTAGCCACTCCTGGTATGTAGTCGCTAGCAACATTTTGTTATACCGGTGTTTTGTGGTTTCTACTGGCGAAAAGTGGTGGAACATTCCATAATTCATTGAAATCCACCCTTGACATGGCGGGTAACCTGTTGCTTCACATGGATTGCAATAGAATTACCCTACAGGGTGAAATTTATAATAAAAAAATCAATTTTGTGAGAAAAACAGTTTAAAAAAGTTTTTATGCTGCAATTTTTTTTAGCATTTTTAATTTTTTTAATTGATTATATTAATCCACCCCTGGTTTTGCTTGACAAACGAATCGATCGGTCGATTCACGGAAACGCTCCGCATTCTGAATTCAATTATACTTTCAAATATTGTTGCATGACATAATGAGGGCGGCAGGTAGTAGGCATACCTCAACTCAATCAACTCGAAATGAACCACAAACTCATGAGCCTCTCTCCCATACTTGACGTATCGTAGGAGTTAATGTAATTTAGATGAGCGTCAGGAGTCTAGAACGCATTGTCTAGCTATATTCACAGGCATACATCAAGGTTTTTTCTATGTGGTACAAAACGTTTGCGTGCAGGAGGCTAGCAACGGCATATTTTCCACTTTTCGAGCGCATTAGTGCCGCGAAAAACGTTCTAGACGATTCGTGATTCATTCACAATTATTCCTCGTGTATAGTGCAATGATTTTGTCGGTGTTAACGGAAAGGAAAGTGTTAAATGATGGCAGAAATCGACGTGAAACGAAAAAGAATCAAAGAGTTGAAAGGGAAAGTTCATTTGTTTGGATGTTTCTTTTTTTCTTTTCTGGGTTACTTTGAATGTCAGGGTGTTGACTCTTATGAGTCACTTTGAAACTTGTCGAAGTTAATATTACACAATGTGATATAAAGTTCAATTAGTGTTTTTTTTGTTTTAGAAGTCTAGAAGTTTGATGAAGAAGTTTTTTAACTTTGGTTGCAACGATGCAAATTTTCTGTGTAAGTAACCTTTTTATTGATTTTTCCTTAAATTTTCTGCTATTTCATGCGCTAAATTTTATTTATAATTATCAAGAAGTTTGTTTTCTAATGGGATTAAATGCATGAGAATCAATATACACGAGGATTACTCATTGCTCAACATCCCGCGCGAAAAACATGGGCAATTGCGAACTTGTAAGCCAATGATCCCCAATTTTTTTAAAGTTTTCACTTTAATGTTTTCTCACGTTCACACTAACCAAGCAAATTTATCAGCGCATAAACAGATGAGTATAGCAGCTTGTGGGATGTTTATATCAAAACCACAATTTAAGTGCCCCAATCTACCTACTGCGCATTTTAAAACAAGAGTTTTGAGTGGCAGCACTGCCACTGCGCGACAATCTTTTCAATTGTCGCTTAATACCAGCTTGTTGGTGCTGAAACCGCAACTTAATTTTTTCGGTCTGAATTTCATGCCTCTGTGTATAATAAAATGTATTTAAAAAAATATTTACCATTTACAGCTAGTAGATTCGTAATTGTAATAATATGCAAACGCCGAAATACATTTTCGGAGTCATGTCTCGACTGAAATACTAGTGCATCAGAAGTAAGGTGTGAATCATCATATTGAATATCTGAAATTAAATTGTCACAATTTTTGCTTCAGCGAACTCATAAAATACTCATGAATCAAACAAATTGCATTACGTTTTAAACATGTGCAAATAAACGTTATTTTATTGATGTTATGATAATGTAATTTACAAATTTCTAAATATTCTGTAATTATACCTTAATTTCGTCAATTGCCGGAATAAAACACTCCAAATTTCAAGTCAGAAGCGATAATTAAATTGAAATTATGATATTATTTCTTATCGTAAATAAACGTGCGTTTTATTATCATTTTAGTACACATTGTGCAGGTATAAATCATTCCGCGTGCTCAGCTCGCGCGAATTGTTGTTAAAATACCAATTGTTCGGTTGAGTCATGCTCAATTGGTACTGCTTGTCGTACACTCTCATTAAATGCGTTTCGCTATAAATACTTATTTTAAAATTGTAATTAATTAAATTTACGTGATGTTACGAAGTCTATTTGCGAGTTTTTCGAAATATATTAGTTGCATTTTAATATAATATAATTATAGTATGCTATTTTTGTACGCCAGTTGCTGTTAATCATAATTAAAACTTATTTGTTTGTTTGTGAGCGCCGCGCGCGCCTTGGTGGATTAATAGTTTTTGCCCAGCGCGCGCTGTAAAAGTGGAGTAGGGCAATTCTCGGGAGGGCACCCGCGACGCGCTTCTCGGTACGGGGGTGTAACTCGTCGTTTATGTTATTTGCTTACGTTTGCGCGATAACACACGCATGCGTTGTATGCGACATGTGCGGTTTTTCAGGGGTGGAATACGGCGAAACAATAAACGCAAAGATAAACTGCGAAAATGAGTTTGTCGCGCGCGATTTCTCCGAAATTCGCCTCGGGCGTAATCAATTTGCACCCGCACCCACGTTTGCGCGCCGAGTCAAGTTCTGGTCCTGTCGTCCTGCTGAGCTAACAAGCAAGACAACACCGGTGTACCGCAAGACAACTGCGTCGCTTTTTGAGACCGTCTTGGAAAACAAAACATGAGCGCGCTAAATGCGGACGATGTGGGCGCCTCCGCCATCGCAGCCCTCTGCGATACGTAGGTGTGAACATAAAACAGCGAAACGCTCGTATATCATACTGATCGCGCGTTAATTATAATTCATTGCGTTTCATAAAAGCTGAAAACTATAGCCACTATCAGATATCACTAGTTCTTAGAAAATTGAATTGAGTGCTAATTCGCAGAATTTAATTTCATTTGAAATCAACTATTCTTAGTTTATTTCGAATTCTTTTAAGTAATAGACAAAAAATTACTATTGTATTGTTTTTTGTTGTGGCCAAATAGTTTTTTGATCACGTCATGTCTAAAAAATCTTCTTACTAAAGTGTCTACGGCGCAAATACGAAGATTTCACCTGATGGCGAGTGAAAGATGCGCGCACGCTTCGTGTCTCATTGAAAAATTATCATCGTTACGCTTGTAATTAACGTGCAGTTTTTTCGGTATTTTTAAACCGCGGCTAAGTGAGTGGTGCCATTAGCACTTTGCGCACGCAACCAAAATAATTCTATTAGACCCAGAACGACGCGTGTTGAAATAAACGATGGATTATTAAAATATGATCTTGTTAATTTTTTACGCTAGGTTTTTATAAACATTTCAAGCAGTTATTTTAATTTTCTGTAGTTGCAAGGAGCCATTTTGATATTCAGCTGGTTTTTCAGCTTACAGCGCCCCCATTGGCAGTTTTTGGAATTTAATTTTACTTTTGAAAGTTTTTTTATGTTATAACACGTTTGTGAGATTAGAAACACAATAGATTATATAATTTTCAAGTGATAATTACAAACACTTTATATAGTAATTAATTGTGTTCGGTGCGGTTATGCATAACGGCTAGGACACTAGAAAACGTATTGTTCCTCGGCCTTACTCATTCGATTGTAAAAAGTATCGCATTAAATGCAATTTATTTTCTATGTTTGAGAAATAAAAAAATTGATCGAAACAATCGACGTAACGCTTGTGTATTCCTGTACTTGGGGATTTTCATTTACCTCACTCAGAATGTCATAATTATCAACAATTACATTTATCGCACAAAAGTATGTTACTATCCTACGATAGTTTGCTATTATTGTAAATACCGAAAAATCCAGGACAAAATTCGAAAATTGTCGCGACGGTGACGTCTGTAGTGAAATTTTTTCCGCGTGCGTAAAATGTAGGCTTATTTGCAGTTCTAGTTATGATTATGTCGTCATGTCATCTCTTCGCGCGTCCACGCACGGTGACGGTAAATCCCCGGCATGCGATAAACAACAAATCAAGTGTCGTGACGAAGGGACTGCGACAGCGACAGCCGACAATAAAATATCTACTCGGTATCCAAACAGCACACATTCAAGCACTTTGTATGTTAATAATGTTGATGTACTGATGTGATATAATAATGTATTTGTACTCTGGTTGAGTCACCGCGACGGGGGCCACCATTTCACGCCGTACGCGGAATCAATCAGGCACTGAGCGCTGAATTAATGAATTAATTCGCTTGACGTGTACGAGCTGCATGCAAGGCGATTTGGGAAAATCTCCCTTGATTTTCAGAAGCGGTTGGAAACATGAATTATATCCTTCCTTTCATTTTATTTCATTCAGAAAAACACGCATTACTCACTACAGTATACTGATATATAAGTATTAATATTCATTATATTATCATTATTTATTTAAATTATGATTAGTTTTGAATAATTTTTCGATAAAAATTGAGATTTGCATTGTTTTACGCAAGTAAGCGGATTAACACTGGGCGCCGGTTTGGAGCGGATTGAATTAAACGCTGGTTTTTCCAAATTTAGCAAAAACTATATAGCAATTTTGCAATAATATTGTCGTGTTGAACGTTGTGAGCATTCGTCTTACTTAGTTTCACTTAATTTCGCTGCTTTAGACCGGATTTTGTCGTTGAATGTTTAAAGGTATCTGTGTAAAGTGTCAAACGATCAAGAACATAATCGTTAATGTTGGTTATTTCCAAAATATTTAGCATTGACAACGTAAAAATGAGTTTTAAATTTAAAAAATTGCGACAAAAATGTTAAATCCCGTTATATTTTTGGAAATTCCGAGTGTTTTTGTTATAATTATTTTGACACTGATTTTTTTTAAATTTTACGCATCTTTTTTCAGCATGCACGGTACAATACCACCGTGCTTGACCAATGAGCGCTTTCTATTTTGAATTAGCGCATGTGCAGACACGTGTCACGTGTTTGCAGCGCGCGAAATTCAAAAGTTTTAAAGTTGTTTTTATTTATCTCTGGTTTCACAACATCAATGAAGTGTAAAATGTATAAATCTTAATTGTTATGTAAATAATTAATTATTATTGTTAATTTTCGTGTGATTTTTCGTATCGTGCGCATTGAAAACATATGCGCGAAATTAATCATCCGACACAACACACACACTCGATCAAAATTCTCGGTGCGAATGTTTATAAACACTACACTGTGATCGGCTGGCTTATTTGCAATTAAACGTGTATTTGCACGACGCGAGAGGTGTGTGTGCCAAATTTTTTTCATTCCACCGCGCTCGAATCACGTTTTTCTATATAAAGCGGAATTTCCAAAACACGTAAATTTACAAAAAAACTAACTATTTACGATTTATTTATGCTAAAAACATGCAAATATAAACAGAAGACAATAAAATAAATAATAACAAACACAAATCAAAACAAAAACACAAAAGTTTAATAAAATATTATTAAAATTAAGACACAACATTTTTAGCATCTAAATTCTATAATTAACATGGGAATTAACTGTGATTTTATTAAACGGTGACACTTTTAAGTTTCCCATTCGTTTTCATATGTAATATTTCAAACGCGTAATTTAAAATGATGATGTGTCAAACATAATAATTCTATTTAAAGATAATTTTTGATTCTTTGTTTATTTTATTTGTTTTGTAATGCAAATTAACTATTAAATCACAAATATTTCAATCTTATGACTTCACAATGTGCTCATCATCAATTTATAAGGATTATTTAAACTTGTCGTATTTATTTACTTTTATATATTGAAGATTTAACTTTAATTTTCTTACATTTCTCGTCGATTGTGATTCGGACGATAGATTGACCACAATCAAACGCCTTATGTAGTATTCAAAACCTCGGTACACCAGGCAGGAGATTGCAATCAAGCCATCATTATAATAATCAATATACATTGTATTACATTGACTCCTGGCGTGCTTGAAGGCTTCGCGGTCCATCGATGACTTTCAGAATACTTGAAAAGCCAGATGTAAGCCATTAAACGATCTGCATTCACGCATCAAGAGTGCGAACACGTTTAATAATCTTACGTCCAACTATTTCACATATTCTGATATTTATTCAATAAAAATGGAAGTTGTTTTGAAGAAAAATCATTCTGAAACTATATAGTTTTAAAGATATTTTAAAATCATGTGACTCTGAAAGCTATCCGACATGCAAATTGTAAATTTCAACAATTAACATTAACGTAGAGTTATTACCAGATGTATCCCGGGCGTAACTAGACTTATTACGTCTTGATTGGCTGATTCACACCTGAAACACATAAATAAAATACAAAATACACCGAACAAAAGAAGATCCAATCATAAACAAATCATTGCAATCTGTTTATGGAATTTTGTTTATCATATTTGCATTCTTTGCAACGTTATACCAGTGACCGGTGACATCCACGAATGCAATTCGAGTCCTGAATAAACATCATGACCGATTGTCGCCGGGCTCCTCGTGTTTTGTTTACTGAAACTCGATTGCCTGCTGTAATTTAACTTCTTGTTTAGATTTGAATTCCGGTGAAGGTGTATTTAAAAATAGCATCAACTTAACTCTACGCGACGTTTTGTTGAATGTTTTGAGCTCCTTTTAGGATGAAATTTTAATTGTTTTAACGCAGGAAATAGTAATTCGCTTCAACTAATGAATATCTGTATGACAAACATTGCAAAACATCTTCGTAATACAGAATATGCATTGGTCGAGCACGAATAATTGCAATTATTGATATTTTTTACTTTACTTGTACTTGTAGCGGTTTCCTAGTTGGGTCATTCGACAAAAACCGGTATGACAAATTCTTCAATCATATTGTTATACCTGGCTGTCGTCGAACAAAACAACTAACAATTTATTGCTGCTTACATTGGCGAAATGCAGTTTTTCTCCTTTTTTTACTTTTAACGGGAGTATTGAATGATTGAAGAGGTTGTTTCAGAGTACAAGCTGTGGATGTTTAGTATGTACAAAGAAACCACCTTATCAAACACCCAAATATTAAAAGTAGACAATTGCACTTTCTTTTCACTATTTAATTGAACTATTCTTTTCTTTTGGACACGCACGATTAAACTGTGCAAGCGATTAGGTGCGAATTAAATCGTTAACTACGCATGATAATTAATTAGAGCGGGAGTCAAGTCGGTAGAAGGAGTTTTGTTTATAAATATTTTCATTGGAGACATTATATCAACAATAAATACATGTACAGTAGAAATTCTTCATACTTTTATTGGTATATTGATGAATTGGTGATTTTTTTATTGAATAATCGAGTAAGAAGTACAAACAACGTAAATTTTAATTAAAAACATGTTATATGCTCATGTGTGACGGGTACGAGTTTTTGAATTTTTAAATTCACCCTCGTTGTTTCCGCTTTGCATATTTTTACTTAAGTGATTGGTCAACGTGTTATTTGAATAAAACTCGCCGTTGTCATGGTTACAACCCATGTATTCTTATGGAGGTCGGCCATCATGAAAATCTCCGGATATAAAGCTCGCGACCAATCAGAGCAAGCTGTCAAACTGTCAAATTATTCGACCTATTATATATTATGTTATTGTTTCGCAATAAATCGATTTCTATTGATTGTAAATGATTTGAGGTGGTTGTGATCAATAAGATTTTTATTAAATAACGTCGTCGAATGTTTCGAATGCGGGTTTAATTGGTGTGAATGGAAGTGCAGCGCTGGCGTCGATCGAATTTTATCGAATTGTGATGCATTGTGATGTTTGTCGCTAGACAACCCAGAGCGCATTCACGTGCGGCTCGGCCGGAGCGTGTCGCAGGTTTCGCACGTCGCCGCGACGGGCTGTCGGGCATTCGGCAATCCGTTTTAAGCGTTATTTGATGAGGTAATCAGTCAGATAATAGCGCGCTGACTGGCGACTCCGCACAGTCTGCACCCGCTTGTTTGGTTATGTAGCGCGCCCGCTGCCAGCCCTCAGAACGCAGAAGGTGTCGCGCCGTCAGCTGAGCAGCGAGAGCGTCGTCTGTGTCGCTCTTCTTCCTGCTCCTTGTTCGTTGTGCTGCCCCACCGATTGGGGGTGGTCGTCGCGGTCGGTCGCCTTTGTGTGCATGTGCGCCGCGCGCACGGCATTCGTCCATGTTGAATTTTTGATTGTGTTTCCACCAGCGACCAGCCGCACTTGCGTTTTTCAATGCGAGCGTCCGCTACGTGGGTTACGAGCGCGTAGACATGCTTTGTCTGCGCGCCACCGATCGTGTACAATGACTATTTGTGAATTGCGGGCATGACGCAGGAGGTCGACTGCATGCTCATTGAGATGGAGATGGCCCCAGCTGATGAGGAGCCTGATCCACCATTGCTTACTGACAGTGGCACTGAAAGCTTCAATGACAGCCCTACTGCTGATGACTCCTCTACCAGTGCAACTTCCACTGGCCATTGGGAACTCAGTGAGTATCAGCACTTGATTCACATCTATTGCTTTATAACACTGTGTTTATCATTGAAGACTCCCAACAACAAATACACATCAGTGTGAAAAACATCTTGGACAAGTCAATATCTATTGATGAAGAGATCCTCATACATCCTCTGGTGCCAGAGGTCATCAGTTTGCACAGTCTGAGTATGGGTGCACCCAATGGCAAGCAGCACCCGCCTCCTTTGATATCAATATTGAGAAGGACTTCATTCTATGACACATTAGGCATGGATGAATTAATGCAGAACAGGCATTTGCGGCGTGTGTCCTTTCCAGAAAACGCGCACGTTCTGGCTACTTACAGAGAGTCTGATCTGCAGTCTCCTACTTTGCCTGATCAACCTTGGGATGCTGAACAACTTCTGCAAGAGTATCAGGCTTCTTGCACTAGGCACAAAACTATTCAACTTGATGCCATCAAAAATCAACTTGCTGTAAGCTCAATAAACACAATACTCGTTTGTAATATTCTTTAATTCTTATAACAAATTTGTAGACATTCAAAAATAATATTAACTCTTCTGAGACGTTGAGTTTGGCGACGATCACAGTCACAATGGAAGTGTGTGAGACTTTGGAAGACATCTTCAAAGTAGCAAATTTCCACAAGCTTATCATCAAAGATTGCACGTTTACAAATCACAGCGTACGCGAGTTTATAGATCTTTTGGATTATTACAACTGTACGACCGAAATTGTGACCACCGATTACTACACGCAGGAAAATGAGATATGGGCGGCGTTCTCTTCGATGCTTTCGAAGTGTAATCACTTAGAGGCACTCACTTTTGAGACGTTTACATTCTCCGACAGCCATTTTCGCACGCTTTTGAACAATTTAAGAAACCATCACGATATTAGAGTGCTCAAGTTTCAAGGGTGCATGCTAGGTCATCATGCCATCACGCAATTAGGTAAAATATTTTGATCAAATTTTTTTCGATTCTTTTGCAATCTGACTTTTATAAATGCTTCAGTAAATGCTTTGGAGACAAACATGGTGCTGCAGGAGTTATACCTGCCTCAAACAGGTTTGTACACCAAGGAGACTGAGGTATTGTCTCGTCTCTTGACGAAGAATCATAACATCAGAGTATTGGACATTAGCAATAATCCGATCGGTGATCGTGGTTTGGAAGCGCTAGCGCGTGGTCTTTGCACGCATACTGACGCCAATAATGGGCTGTCGGTGCTTGTCATCTACAACACGCAGATCTCGGAAAAGAGTGGTCAAGCTTTATCTAATATTATCGTAAGTACAGAGGTGTTTCATTTCGATTCTTGGAAATAAATTGAAGTTGTTTACTATGGGATATTTTTAGTTTTTTTTTTTCAATCTTTTGCATCGTAAAAGTTTCGAATTGTTAGCTATTTGCTCGTAAAGTCATAAAATGGAATTTATTGATGGTTTTATGTTATATTTTGCAGTCCGGTTGTAAAAGCCTACATACTCTGAACGTCGGTTGTAATAACCTGACGGATGAGGTGATAAGCAAACTCATCGAAAGTCTTGCCGTCACCGCGACCGTTGAAGGGCTGGGTTTGCAAACTACGTTGTTGACGGATCGGGGAGCATCACAACTCGCTGATGCAGTGAGAAACAATCGCTCGCTGCAGAAAATCAACATCAAGGGCAACAAAGGCATTCAGAGTCAAGGGCTTGAGAGTTTGTGCAAGGCTTTGACTAATTCGAAGATTATCAAAGTAGAAATTGATGAAACAAACCGCAATTGCGACGTGAGTAAAATGTTTTTAGTAAAGTAGGAGATTTTAACTTTAATATCCTTTAGAATCCTGAAGAATATTCGGCGATGGTTGCACAGATCAATGCAATCTGTACAGTGAACAAATCCCGGCTGGAAACGACAAATGGCGACGAAGAGGAGATGAACAATTTGTCAATGTACTTCCTTCGTAAGATTTCGCTTAATTGCGAGCCAACTTATCATCTGCCAGCGGTGGAACTCCCTGAGCACAAAGCAAAGTCCTCGCGAAAAAAGTCGCCTGCTTTGTCGCCGATGCAATCGCCCGGCTGCAGTCCTACGCCGCATAGTCGTTTTTCGGTTTCTCGAGTGCCGGATCCTCTTACACGCAGTCGTTTTACGGTAATGCCAGTTAAACTACCGCGAGATTTCGGTTCTGGCGATACGCTTGCAAACTCGCCACCGCCTGACGACGACCTCTGTGTGCATAATCAATTTAGCAATATCCGCAGCAGTGTTTCGTCCATCGAAAGTGTCGATTCGATCTCAACTAAGGACAGCGTTTACGATTCTACCACGCCCAGTGGCGAAAGCGATTAATTTTGGGACATTGCGTGCGTTTTCTTTTTCTGTTACTTAACGTGTTTTCGTATGTTATCATTTTATTTGTTCTGTGATACAGATTTGTTTTAGGCGCGGGCGCATCGGGCTTGCGAATTCCTTTTCTTTGCGAGCTTTCTGCTAAACGTCCGGTTCCAAAGATGTTTTACGGGTGCTCACAGAAAGCTAAGCGAAGTTTGTGGCGAGTTGATTCGAAATGTGCGGTTAATATTCATTTTCAACATTGAATCGGGCCTAATTTATAAAATTTTAAGCTACTGCCACAATGATTACCCACATTCAAACATAGATTTTGTTTTGCACCTTGTTAATTACATATCAAAGTACATATTTCAAAACGAAACGAATTGCTTGGAGCAAACGGCAGACGAAGGGAAGAAAGGAATCACTTGTATATCAATCGGTGTGTATATTGTTTTTATCTGTGATTATCTGTGAGAATTGAATGCAATCAAATTGCATTCACGTCCGGCGTGAGGATGCGATCGGGAAGGGATATATTTTTTTATGATTTCAAGCGCGTTCAGGGCGTTGTTTTATCCGCACGAGATGAATCAAGTTTCGAATTGTACCTTACGTGTAAACGAGTATCAGGGATTTGCAAAAAGTTTATTTTATATTATCGTCGTCCACGTATTGGCACGTGGAAAATCGCCACCTTCATTAATTTTATTGCATTATACTTTACACAGTTTTGTTATGTTGTATACGTATCGTTAGGAAGACCGAACAAAGGTGCTGAATGTACATGAAACTAATCCACAAGTTACAAAACTGTATCACATTGATACACCGGCAGCAGCACTTTGCTTTAAATTGTACATAGAAATTACCTAGAGACGGTGTCTAAAGCATAACATCAATATCCACATGACTTAGGCGTTAATCTTGATTAGAAACTAGGGTTTAAGGCTAGAATATGAACACTTTGGGCACACGCGTGCAACAACAAACATTGAATTGTGAAGTTATATTTTTATATTGATGTTAATTCATAAATACTATATTTGAGTTGATCAGTTGCGACAACATGGTTTTGTAAATATCAATATTCTAAATGTATCTAACTAGACACGGTGGGAAATAATCGCCGAGCGTCGGCAAAGCGGTCGCTTGTTTAGATATATATTTGTGCATAATTTACAAAATAAGGTGCATTTTTATACTTTTATATATTGTATATCGATAACAATGATGTTACAGACAAATTGTGAGTTTTATATTGATGTAATGAAATTGATAAGAATTCGACGCTTTGCCGACGCCCTGGTGGTTTTTGCACATTGTTCTTCGCCGGCAACTTAAATATAAGCGCATTATAAACAAATAGGTAGTTATCGAGAAAATCGAGCATTCTTAAGCGAACCGGAGCGCAGATGTTAACATCGTTACGTTACTTTTAACCGATTATGATTATATATCTATTACAGCGTAGGATGGACAGAGTAAAGGGACGCGTTCGCTTTTAAAAGACGACGAGCGCCGCAAATGATTACCATTTAACTGTTTTGTACAGATTTGTAATATATATTCTTACATGCACTAATATAACATTAGCATTTTGTTAAAATTGTCTAAATACTAAAGATATATAAGATATACATATATTATATTAATACTCTATAGTTCAAAATATTTAATATATTTTATTATTACGTGTATGTGATACAATGCATGTGATATGTAATTGTAAATAATCTCGTAGTATTACAAAAACAACAATAAATTAAGAGATACAAAGAGGAAAGCAAATTAATAGCTTAAAAAGTAGTGTAGTATCGTAGTAAAATAGAGTACAAACAATATTTAAGTGGTGCCAGTTTCATTTTATCTAATAAACGTGAAATTGGGAAAATATTCACTAACAATATGATGAGATATTTTTTCTATGAACTATAACATACTTATGCTATCCAGGATGATTTTATGATTGAAAATTGCACGATAATAATTTTTGTTACCATTTATACGTCAATTAATGTTTCTTTTTTTATCGAATAACTGCACCAATTCGGTAAAAACTTAGTAATGCTATACTATAAATCAAATTTATAAGCGCCATCTTGAAAGTAATGTTAAAGTTGTGTTTAAAAATACTATTCATTTAGTTTGAGTGATGCGCGCATGTGATTGCCGTTTGATTTGGCAGGCACACACCGGCATGGACTTTCCAGCATTTAAATAAGTGTTTACTCGCTGATGCAAGTACTCGCTTTACAGACACAAATACAATGTATATTTTGCACTCAAACAATTTTATTGGAACACTCTTTTTCGGCATTTCAAATCGCTATAAGATGTCGCTTGGATACACTTTCCAACGAAGTATATTTTAATCTCGCGATAAGATATTATTACAACAAGATTCCGTCGCTACATACAATAAATTGTTGATGATTTGTAACATTGAATATGCATTTCAGCGCGCGTAGCATTTTTATTACTCACATGTAATAGCCACTTAAAGATTAAAAAAATCAAAATGATTAAAAATTGAGATATGTTTATTCAGTATAAATAAGATTTGGTGTATGAATTTTATAAAAATCAAGATATATAGTAATATATGTTTCCTGTAGGATTATTGGCTCGTCACAACAAAAGGTTCATCGTCATTAGTCGTTAAAAAGAAGTCTCCATTTGCTACTTTGTCTACTTTAAAGCAACCCAGCAATGAAGCCGGGTTGTTATCGCACATGCCGTCTTCAAAGTCATGATAACTTGAGCAAGCAACAGCCTTGAAGGCGCAGTGTCGCAAAGATTCTGCGTAGTATTTATACGAACGACTGTGCGCGCACGTCCCAATGATATCTAAGCCGCATCCGGGCTGTCGGGAACCACCATTCGGGAAGAAGTCACTGTGACCCAGTGACGATTTGAAAGACAAGAATCCGCCACATGTATGAATAACATGAACGTGTTCTGCGTCGGTTTCATCCAGACGTAGTTCAGGCTTCTTCAAACTGAACAATGGTCCTGCAGGGTCTAAACCAACGATAAGATGTGGTTTGTGCATCATGGCGGCACCAGCAGCGCCTGCCACGTGAGCACCAAGACTGTGACCGATGAGCATCACGTCTTTGGGAGACAATTTGAAGTGGTTCATCATGTCGTCGATGTAGAAACCGAGGTCCATTCCAATTCCGGGAATAGCTGCTTTGGCAGTGGTATAGAATTTGTTGGCGATTTCACCCCAGTGGACTACGAAGACGTTGACGTCCTGCGTTTCCAACATGGCGGTGAGTATAATTTGATTTATCGGGCTAGACCATTCGTTGTTCCAACCGTGGATGATAAATACGCTAGGGCGGCTGCTTTTGAAATATTTTGATGAGACTATGTCGTTGAGATTGATAGGGTCCAATAATTCGTATTCATCTGGGTTGGATCGGGTGTAAAGAAGTAGTTTCACGTCAGTGATATCGCCTTTGCGGATCGGGGCACGTGGATTCATAAGAGTTTCGTTATGAATGACGCCATTTTTGTCTTCGTAGAGGAACCATTTTACTCGCATAGGATCATTTTCACTGGGGTCAATTATTCTTGCTGAGGCTAAACAAATGAAAAAAATAGTAAATAATTTAACTCATTTTTCGAGAAAAAGTAAAGTTATAACTTACTTGTTTGAATCGTTATTAAACCCAAGAGGGTGACGAATAATACAAATTGGTATTTCATTTTGTGCGGATGAGTACTGCTGATGAGAAAATAGCAAGACTCGTTCAAATTACAACTTGTAAAGACCTTTATATACCGTTTGATCACTATGTGATAAAAGTGATAAAACTAAGTAAGGATTACTACTGATTTTAACAATACAATTAGTTTTGATAAAAATAAAATGCCATTTGTTTCCGATAACACTTGAAGTGAATGTATTTTTATCAGATAATCAAAGTCGACAGATAATTTTAAACGCAATTTCCTTTAATTTTGCTTAAATAAATACTACGTACAGGATGCACGTGTGAATCAAAAAACTAATGACTTGGTTATCAGTTAATCGTTCATAATAGGATGTATTGTTTCTAATTTATAAGCTAGGCGTTTAAATTGTAGAAAACATAAACAGTTAGCAACAAAATACTGCACACAAATATTTATTCAATCAATTATGTGGAATTAAGCTTTGACAAGTTTAAGCTTGCCATCAGTTTTTTCTAAGCATGGCAGTTTAGTCTTTCCATACTCGCGTTGCGTTATCATTGATTTGATATACACTGTTCCGCAGAATCTGCCGTTTTTCTTTGAGACAGTGATTTCATCAGCGACGAAACATATTCCATAGGGTGCAGGACCTACTGGTACACAAATTGGCTGGCCCTCCGGAGCTTAAATTATTTTTATTAATATAATTGCCACGAATACATTGAAAAACTTACTTAATACTTTGTCTACGATTTTTTTATCATTCCATATGAATTGAGTCTTGACTGCAAACTTGTTTGGCACGGCTTTCATTATTAAACATGCTTAAACATGAATTTAAAAAATAATAATTTATTTTATTTAGAATCTCATTTGGGTATTATTGAGTTACCCGATTGACTTTTCAATTCTTGAAGATCAATTCCCAAGCAACATTTTGCTTCGTCCTCCTCAACATTGCAAATTCTTCCTGCTGCAAATGTATTTGTAACAGTCGCGACAATAATACAAACAATGTACAAACTACGAATCATGTTTTGTTTATTTATTGATTTGATATCTGCAAAAGTCACCTAACGTGGTGATAAAATATGTTCGCACCACAGCAAACATTTTTATACTCGACTGAGTAATTATTTGCAATTAGTGTTAAGCATATGTCATTTATAATAAAAGAAGAGCTAAACATGATTAATTATATCTGATTAAATTAAAAATAAAATTTTCTATGATGTGATAATCCCAATGATTCCAAAATCAGGAAGTGAGCAATTATTATTTAGTGTTTCATTGACAGCATAATAAATAAACATGATTTTTACTCTATTGGCAAGGCATTCCAACAAATACACGAGTCGGAAATTATTTTTTTAGCACAAACTTTGATTAAAAACAGGAAATGTTCAAATATATTGATTTTTTGGTGGGAATTATTTATTTTTACATAGCATTCTCTAAAGAAAACGAATTGTTATTGTGCTTTTCATAGGTTTGTAAATAATTTAATCTTTATCGAAGTTTTTAACGTGTAGTGATGGTTACATACGTTGAACACCATCAATCCATAAAATATCGCGAGTAGAATGAAACCAACCTACAAAACTTGTTATCGCTGACAAATTGTCCAAGTCATCTGTTTGTAAAATAAATTTTTGTTTACGTCGTTCTTTCATGCCTTCAGCTAATTGAAGATGGTGCATACGATTCAAATTACTACAATATCATGAAATCCTAAACTGAAAAATGATTAGAATAATACAGAAGGTAAAATATTTATTTGAGAATCTCTGAACTTTCACTTTATTAATGTTTATTTACTTACTTCAGATGATATCAAATGATAACAACTACAGCTAATTCAACAATATGTCTATGAAAACCCTGGTTGGTTTCACTTCCATTTTTGTTACCATATAAGTATTCATATATACATTTAAATTAAGAAATACAAGCCAAAAATTGATTATACAAGATGGAAAATTCTTCAAAATCAAGTGCCACCTCAAATGGGGATCAGGCATACAATGAGTATTTTACACAACTCAAAGCCTGGGTTACACAGTTCAAAGAACAGGAGAAACAAGCATTTATCTTTGCTCAATCAATGAACAACTTTGGAATGCCCACAGTACAAAATGCTTCAAATGTCACATCATTGGAGGTGTATGAGTGCAAACTGGCACCACTATGGAAAAGATTCTGTGCTGAAGTTATTGATCAAGTTATTCTTACCATTATTCAATTCTATATCATTAATATCTTACATTATGGATTTGACATGTAAGTTAAAGCATAATTTTTGCATTTATTTATATGTTCTAATTATATTTATTTGCATTTTTAGATCATTTGTAGATTATCAGAATTTCCTGCTCTTGACCAGTTTCAGTGCTGAGTTAGCTATAGTAGAATTCGCCTCGCGCATTATGCTGTTCTTTTATGAATCGTATTTCCTGAGCGTGGATTACGCCACGCCGGGTAAAAAGATTCTCGGATTGAAAGTCGTGCGAATTGAGGTGATATTGGAAGTTCCCGGCCGAGAAACGATTTATGCAATGCCATGTCACAGGCTGGGGTGGTGGCACGCATTCTTTCGTAGCATATTGAAAAACGTGGGTGTGTTGATGTTCCCAATATGCTATGGGTTTATGTTGACTCGTTATGGCCGGTCTGGATATGATTATATCACGAAAACTCTCGTAATTGATACTGCGAGACAACCTATGAGATTGGTTACGCCTGAGGAGCGTGCTGCTACATTTTTGGGCGGCGTGCGATTTTAGATCATTTAAGTATTTATTCTATCTATGTTTATGATATAGGTATCTATACATATTGCTAAAATTAGAGATAATATTTTAATTGTTTAAAAGTTCTATATTATATCACTGTTGAAAGATTTTGTTAACAATGTGTAACATAATATTTTCGGTTGTTTTTAAATCCTAGAATGTTACCAGGTTTTATTATGAATAAATGAGTCGAAGGTATCTTCATCGTTATCAATCAATCCCTTGAGTAAAGTCCACGTTTAGCCACTTGATACTTAACACTATTGTTATCGTGTTTGATCGCCGCTCAGAACGCGTACTGATGCGTTCAGAGATTGCACGTTTGGTGATTAGGTCGTTTTGAAACAACATTTATATATTCATGTTAGAATTACGAAATGTTGTTTCGGTTTTACTACTTTTATTCAATAATACAGAGCGATCGGATTCTGAACAGTTTACAACGAATGATAGAACACGAGTCCGTGTTATTTCTTAGAAAGCGCATGCCCAGCGACGCAAGTCGCTGACATAAACAGAAAAACCCCCATCGGTGATGTGACTCCATGTCCACAGGGTGTTCTGCATGTTGTTGGTGCATGGTCATATACGCAACCTTACATTCATAATTTTATTTTTTTAAATAATTTTCAATGTGTTTTCCTCCACAATATTTAATTGAACCGGCAAAGTGCTTGCATATCTCGAATTATTTCAGAGAGTTGAATGATTTTTAAAATTAAATTTGCGCGAGACTTCATTTATATCAGTGGTTTTCAATCTGTGAGTCGCAACCCCCCTAGAGACCCAGGGGTCTTGGGCTGAAATTCAGAGGCAAAGTTTTAACACTACAATAAACTATTTCTTTGTCTTCGTATGACACAAGAGGTCGGCAACATTTTTCGACTGACCTATGTGATACAATTTTGACAACTTCGGGTGACTCGAATTCCGGAGCACATTACGAAGGAAGAGTGGCTCTTATTTAAGGCACCGTACAAGGGTGACTGCATAGCTGACTCTCATTTGCACGGGTAACTCTTTTAATATTTTCATAAACTTACTGCGAAAATTGTGCGTCATCTTGGATATCATTTGTGTTATTTCGATGCTGTTTGTTTATTTAGATAGCACGAGAGCTGTTCTAAAAGATGGGCACCTGTCGGCCCCGGAATTCACTCGCGAACTGCTTTAAAATCGCCCCCGGAAGTTGGTAATTTATAATTTTCCGGAGAAATTGCTCATTATCTCGGCAAACGTTTGAGTTAGCTCAGTGGTGTTTGCGTATTTAGATAGCGCGAGAGTTGGTCAAGAAATCGCAGAAACCGAATCGGGTTAAAACTACCTCCAAAATCAGACATTATTAACATTTTCGTAAACTTACTTACTTTGTTTAAATTTTTATTTCTTTTTGCATTAGGTAATTTTGGATACACTACTCGGGTCTGCCAAAAGTTAGTTTTATAAGTTTCCCCTTCGATGGACCCTGAAGAAACCTGCAATGTCTCCAGGCGTACGAAGAAATAACTACTGATTCCTTTACAACATGTTCTCGGAAATTTATCGGAGTTGCTCCAAACATAATTGGTTTAATTATTTTCCTGAGATATTAATACTACAAATTTGCACATTGCTTTTTAACAATCGTTTTTTTTAGATATAAATTGTCATCATCTCTCAAAAAATGAACTGACAGACGAATGAAGACGAAAATGATAAATGAAAAAATTGTACAAATAAGAACTTCTTGACGGGACCTCTAAAGATGTAGAATCAGCCCTAAAAGACGGACAGATTGAATATGCATTGAAGAATTCCTACGCGCGCAATTTAATAATAATTATTGTCATTAATTGTGTTAAATGTCAGAGCAACACTTGCATTTAAAATTAGGAATATGGTCGTAGAATGAAAAGATATACTAAGGGTTTCACAAAAACTTTTAACACTCTGCGACATGTTTCGCCACACTGTGGCCAACTTCTTTCTTCTTTTCTTTCTGAAATTAATTTTGTGCATAACTGCATTAAATTCATCCTCGAAATTGAAATCAACAACTCAATTAACTTCCTCGACTTTACTATTACAACACGAGTTCAAAATTTATCACAAACCTACCTACAATACAGATACAACCATTAATTTTTCTTCTTTTCATCCTATAGGCCATAAATTAGCAGCATTTAGATCAATGATTCATAGGTTATTACACACTCCTCTCTCAATTAATCTAACTAAAAGCCGTCACCAAGCTTGTATTTAATTGAATCTCGAACTGACAATGTATTGTATTTAAGTGTACCTAAATGAATCAATGCAAGTGCAGGCAGAAACCAAAACAATGGAAAAACCTCCTGCAATGTCGAAAATTTTCAAATTTATTTTTTTATATCTATTTGAAGTTATAATAATATTTATTATTGTTTGAATCTGTATTACCGCGGTGCAGTTAATATTAAATGATACTTGTTATGTATGAAGGCCCGTTCATTGCAGTGCATAACGACCAGATAAATTTATTAATCAAGTGTAAATGTTATTTTGCATTCATTCTACATTGTTAAGTACAGTGTCAAAGAATTGCAATATAAATAGTTAATGCAAAATAATATTTTACATTTTGAAATTGAATTGAATCTATGCTATTTACGACCATAAAGATCATATCAGAATAATAGCATACCAATCTGTCCATTTCTAAGGATCTTATTTTTAAGTCAAATTAATTTTAAAATACATATTGCCACATTACACGACTTGTGCAGAATTGTAACTCGATTTAACGGAAATCAAATATATTTTCAAGTATTTAATACAAATAAACAATAATGAAAGGTTTGAGCAAAAATTTCAACAGTTAAAATGTAAGCGATTGACAAGTTTTTGACACAATTAACAATAAATACAAGACACACTGCTTTATTTTCCAAATAAAATTAGCAATTATCAAGTTAATTGTTAAAAATGCAACTTTAAATACTACAAAGTATGCGTTTAATTGTAACCTAATTTCTTTATCTCTCAATTTTTTTCCATTGCCTATCGATTCATCTTCTATGGTCCATCCTATCCCTCCATCTTTCTTGGGCTAAACCTCAAAATATAAATTGTTAAATTTGTAAATTTCCGATCATTTCGTGTAAAAATCATCAGAAAATAATGGAAACCAAATATTAAATTATTTATTTACCGTTTGATGGAGTTTCGAACTGAAATAGACTTTTACGAATCCGTGAATATGACGAACCACATCTACAGCATAGGTAGTTATCTAAAAAAATTAAAGAAATACAATACAAGTAAAATTAATAATGCACATTTGCATCTTGTAAATCCTTGTATCCTTGCGCAAACCTAAATAAACTAAACATAATTGATGTACCTATAACCGTTCGTGAGCTGGAAGCCCAATTTCCTCAGTGAGTTTTTGAAAAACGAGAAAAATGTCAATTTTCAAGACAGGATTTAAGGCACTTCCCGTGCGATTTTTGGGGGCAGCCAATGTGCATAATATAAAATAACTCTTGCGCTAACGAAATAATAAACAGCAATCGTCTAACTATAACCGTTTGTAAGCTAGAACCCAATTTCCACACCATGAATTTAAAAAAAAACGGGACAAATAATTTTCAAGGTCGGTTTTAAGGCACTTCCCGCGCGATTTTCGGAGGCGGCAAACTTGTATCATATAAAATAACTCTTGCGCTAACGAGGTGAAACAAGCAACATTCATGCATCTATAACCGGTTGTGAACTACAGGTCAATTTCAACAGCATTTTTTTGAAAAACGTAAAAAATGGTAATTTAAACGACCGGTTTTAAGACACTTCTAAACTATGAAAAAATGATTTCAAAAATGTGAAATTCGAGCGATATAGGCCACGTTTCCACGTCCAATGCATACATTTTTGAGTGAAAACAAAGTGAAAACTACTTTAAAATAATAAATGTCATTTGAAAATACGCACAACAAACGCAGAAACAAGTCTCAACGAGAACGTGATAAAAAAATTGTTTTCCTACTTCCACCTTTAAAGGGCCAAATTTTCCACGGGTTTGAGACATAAAAAGTGGTACTTTATACCCAGACAGGCAAGGCCGTGACTAAAGTAAAGGCGGAGCTTGACTCTGCGCATTAGCCTACAACGCAGCACAAGACAATATGAAATGCCATGCGCCGCCAGTCAAACAAATCGAAGCAGGCGCTGGTGCTGCTCGTGTGAGGGCGGCACGGAATTTATAACCTTCCACTTTCTAGTAGTGTGTTGTGAAGATATTAAGAATATTTTACGAGAAATTAAGCAGTAACGAGACACATCTGATTATCATCACAACGTGCAATAGATACGTGCAGACTAGCACCGACCATTGCCGAGAACGCACTACTTAGCTATATTGAATGCGCTGAAATCGCGACTCGTCGAGAGATAAATATATAGACCAAAAGATCAAAAGCATGTAACGTTGTTACAAATTAAAATATTTCCTTTGAATCAAAACATCTACAATAAAACGCAAAAAGTCAATCTAGAAAATGGAAAAATAATACATACTACTGCCTTGAATATTATTTTACCTAAACACATAAATATTATTTATGAACATTTAACGTTTTCATGTTTTCTACTCATTTGTCCTTATTAGAGGCGTAAAACAAGTACAATGACCTAAAGTTTTCCACTTTCCTTGAATGTTATACTATACGGCACCGTTTTTCATATGCAAATGAAGCGCCAAGAACAATTTTTCACTTTTTTACACGCAAATTGTTTACTGTAACGTACCTACTCCGTTGACGAGTGTGTACCTAGGGCAAACACTGGCATGACTACGTTGACCACTTACTAAATCGATGGCGACGCTGAAAAAACACTGCACGCTAAAATTCAACGCTGATAGATGAAATGTGTGCGCCATAGAGCGTTATAAGAAACATTTTACTGACCTACATTATATTTTACTGCTTTGTCGGACCTCGCCCCTTAGAATTTAATTAAATATAGTGGCGTAAAAGTATAAATCAAGAATTATTCGTGAGTTTATAAACGTCCGAACGAAAAAAAGACTTTCCGAACCAATACGGCAATAAATATAAATTAATATATAATGTGACAATCAGTATTTTCAATTTTCTTTATTACACCTTAATAATAGTTTCTAATATTGGTAAAAGTAGTTTCAGAGTAGTTTAACGTTAAACAATAAAAGGCACACTCCACTATATTGGCTAAATTATTTAGATTGGGGAATATTTAAATTAATAAAACATCCTCGCGATGATCCGGACCATCGGGCAAATTTTGTTTGCGCATTTTCATCGATGACAAACAATAACCCAAACTTTCACAGATCGGCACAATGACGGCTTCACAAAACGCACGGATAAAACCGCGTGTAACACTACAGGTGATTTTGAAACATCTCAGACATGGAGTCCAACACCAAATGTGCTAGAATATAAACATAATTTTGTTTGTTTTAAGTGTGAAATTTAAGTGCATAGTATTACCTTGAATGCAAGGCATGCAAAAGAACACCCCATACATAACGCTGCCAAAGGTGCAATCACAACGCTGAGGAAAATGTAGCAACAATTTTTTGATAAATTGAAGCACTGATTACTGACGCGCCAAGCGCATTCAGGACTCCGGAAGGACTCAGGCTCTCCAACAACATCAGCCCACACAACCTATTCATACAAATTTTAAAATTAAACTGTTTAAATTCACTAAATATATTTTATTTAATAATAATACCTGAAGATGTTGACTTAATGTGTTTGGATCTCGGTCTTCCAGATCCATTATTACCGTACTTGGCTTTTGTGACATTTTTAATATTATTTATTTAGTTTTACTCGAAATAAATTTGAAAAAGAAAACTACTTTTTTATTTAGTCAGTAGTCTATGTTTTCCGCAAACTGACCTTTCTGACCGACTATCACGAAGGGAATAAACGTTTACCTTTAAAAGGGGGTGACCTATGCATGGATATGCAATCAACAAGTCTCGTTTAAACTACGCCGGCGTGTGAAAAGGTGTGGAAATTATTCCTGGCGCGCAAAAACAGAAAATAATCGATTGGAAATAGATTTTCCAAGAATCCACCATTCATATATTAACAACCAAAATAAATAAATTAATAAAAATAATTTACGCAAAATGAAACTATTGAGTTTATAAATATTCAAAGTAAGTAAACAAACTTATCAATCGCCTTTTTATAATAATTTTATAAGAAAATGTGCATGGTAGCCCCATCTATGAGCCAAGTTGTAAACATAGCCAGATAAATCTATGAAGTACTCTGTGTCCACGCAACTGAATTAAACAGTTTTCTATATCAAAACTTTTACACTTTTGTAACTTGGTAATATGCTCGTTAGAAGTAGTTACAAGATATTAGAAATGATAAAGCGCACGATTTTCAATCGGTAAATGATGAAATTTAATTGAAACATATATAACTGATTTGGCACACGGCACGGCACATATGACACTCATTCATCATTCCTCATTAATACATCCGCCATTTCGATCAAAAATAACTCGCGGAACGTATGTGCTAAACGCGCTGAAAATCAGTTTTACATGGCAAATTTGCGTCATGCTGCTGAGTGTCACCCAAATAACACAAATACGGCAGCCGTTACAAGTTACAATCTCATCCCGTTACATCCACAGCATCAAACTGATTCAAATTCTTCCCAACCAAATAACATTCGATTTGCCAAAATCGATTTGACATTAAAAATCGATTAAACCAATCAAAAACAGCAAATTCCGCATGTTTACTTTTTTAAGCGCTTTAAAATGTGTTAATGTTATGTTTAGTGTTATGCTTCGAAACGGTCTGTTTGTGATAGATGATAAAACAACAAATCGCCGCGTTACGTAATGTTTTAACGCGAGTATCTAACGTTTAACAACATTCAAAGTACCGCGCGACGCGCCGCACGTGCTGCATTTCGACTGTGAAAAATCCCAGCGCGGAATCGCCTCCGCATCGGGCAAAGTTTCCGATTCATAATAACAAATTTAAATTTCAACCCAAAGTGTGTTAGTACAACTTTGCGATAAACTAAATTATATTATTCCGCAGCTAATTCATAAACAATAACAGAGTGATGTTTTGCATAACATAAATTTAGCATTTTCGAATGTTAGCAGGTCGCAGAAATCAAAAATGACATGAAAGAAAATGTAGAAACGTGTGGGATTTCTTCAGATTTTATTGCACGAATGTTTGCAAGCGACGAAATCGCCGGCAAAACGCGAAATTATTCGTAATGCGTCGAAATGAATATTATAACATCATGTCATAATTGCGATTCGTCGTATTTCGCATAGTTACATCATCTGCGCACTGCGCTTTTAAAATAAATACGTTCGTAGAAAAATTAAGACGCACTTAAAACTATTGAAATCAATTGGTTTCCAATTAACCGTAATGCGTTTTTTAAATGTCAAAGCAAGCACAATAAAAGTATAAACTTATCACCTAAATTATCTTTTAACTTAATTACAATTTAATGACGTAAATATTGACAAACATTAGTGTTTCACACATTGCAAGTTAGTGCGCGATGTGTTAATTAATTACTTTTATGAGTAATCGCCGGTAATAATGTTTAATTATTCCGCATTTCGATGCATTTCTACACTACAATTGAAAACTGATACGTGTAACCAACGTCTAATGAACTTGTACAGCTCGAATTCCAATTTTCTAGTTGGCTAGACGCTTAGTTAACAAAAGCGCGCCTGTTCGTGCAAGTATGCGTAAGCAACAATGCGCGTAAACAATATCGGCAAATGATTAATTTTCGGTCGTAAAGGTTGCGCAATGATAACGCGATTAACAATGCGAAAATTACAAAAAAAAAACGCGCGCACGTTGATTTTCTAATGGAGCGCACATTTACGCTGACAAATTGTTGATCTTTAGACGCGGTGTGGGCAAACAAAATGCAAACGCATTCTGGGCAAGCCCAGCTTACATATTTTAAAGTGAAACAAATGCATTTAATGCAACAAATGCAAATTAAAGAATACGAAGCGAAGTGAATTAACCGGCGGTTCATGTGTGTTCGTGTGTTTTACAACATGCCTGCCTAAATAAACGCACATTTAAACATTTGTTTAATTATTATTTTCTGTAAATCCGCCCACGATTAAGCTAGCAAAGTGAGTTTGCCCGGTCGGCAATGAAGTAACATTTATCTAGAGCACGTACATAACATGTGATGCAAGCGTATCGGATCGAATTAAAATCGCGCATAATGCACTTGGTACAAGCGACCTCGTTATCATAGCATTTCACTAAGTATGCAGATCGCTGCACTCACACACCAACAGAAATATTCCTCGGAATAAAATGCTAAAACTTATTCTCCCGCATGCTAACCAACCAACTAAATCTAACTAAGATGCTTACAATTTTAATTCGCCAGATATAGCGACGAATATGAATGAATTTACGTCATTCACCCAAATTATACGGGTTAGAAATGCAATAAATTACAAATTATTGCTGCGTCCCCTCGATTATATCATCTTTTATTTGACATTGCGAGATTTTCGCCGTTTCCGTACGATATGTAAATGGTGTAAATCTTAGCAAATATTTGCAAGCCAGCGCGTATGGAACCGGCACGTGCCCAGCGCGAAACCAAAACGCAAAAACAGCAGCCGCTCATATTAGACTTTTTACTCATTCATAAATTTCGACGAGTACTTTATTCAAATCCGGTTAGTTCCCGGTATTTCGTCATCGTAATAAGTATTTTTATTCTCAAGTAGAAAACATGCTTATGCCAGTTAATCATGGAATAACTAAGTAAGAAAGTATATTGATAACAACTTTATATAATTAATAATCAAGCGGAAGTGAATACTACGCAGCAAATCAAAAACTTTTCCCAAATACTGCGCAAAAAGTGCGAATTTTACAACAACAAAAATGAATACCTTGGTACATAAATAACTATTTTCTCCTCACGTGGAAATCATACTTCTTTTTATATATTTAGACTTCGGCTTACCTCTTCACCTTTAGTGATAATGATTCACGTGGCAGCCCGTTTTTTTCTACGACACGTGGTGGATCAGCGTGAGCTACTCACATGAAAGCATATGTGGTTGCATAAGCATCGTCTAGCAGTCATTAGACAGAACTATAAACCTAATCAAAGCAAATAAACGCGCATCAAATGAACAAAAACCGATTGGAAAAACATTTTATGCCCATTTTGGCATTGAATATAACCGTTCATATGTAAACGAAGCATGTATGTTTATGGTATTATATCATCGATGATTAAACGCGTGTTTGATGATGACGTGTGCGATGCTGTAAACCTGTAAACGCAAAGCAAAGATTTGCTCATCTCGATAATTACAGCGTGCAACTCGTGAGATTACGTACTATTAACTTATGGCATTGTTTAATAATTAATACTATAAAACAACTTACCGCATTTGTCATGTTATACGATTAATTTCCGCTTAATTTATCACTGCATTTTGTTATTACTTATTACTTTGAACCCTATTGTAATACACATTGCGCCGCATTGTATTGCACATTGCATTATGCAGTTATTAACTCGTTTTCCATTAGTTGAACTTAATGCCTCGTGTTTACAAATAGTGCACTAGTAAAGTTGAAAAGTTGCCATTATTATGCAACATTGCGCAAAATCACCAATGCAGTGTGCTCGCTTGACTTTTGTTTTTAATCATTGTAAAGACACAATTCGAAAGATCTACCGAGTGTCACCAATTAAAGAAAGAAGAAGCTGATGTGCATTGTTTGTTATAATAAAGCATAAAATCAACAAATAAACGTTACATCATCATAAAATTAGTCATCTGTAGCCAGAGTGTGTACGTTTACAATAATAATGTCGATGTCGAACGAAAATGGCAAAATCGCGCTGAGAAGTATATTGACCTTAACATATCGAGAGAGAATTCGAAGTGTGCTAATGTTAAACGTTAAACAAAAGTTAAATGTTGTAATAGGTTTAATAGTTTTCTAATTATAATCATAAAAGCAATTTATTTTTTTCTTCAGGCGCCTCCACCAAAAAAAAATTTCATAAAAAACTGCTTATTCATGATTTAATTAGTAAAAGCTTATTGTTATTACTTTATAGTTTAAAATATATTTTTTTAAATAAAATTTTCTATTTATATTGAGGTGATTTTCAATGACTTAAGTTAAGTAACTAGATAATACCAATGTGAAGTTAAATATCAATTACGATGCAATGAATAATATTATCGCGATTATGGCATTTTAATTGCGAGCAAACGCTCAGCAGCACTCTGATGTAGCACATTATGCACTACATACCCAACACATGTGCCGCATGAGCTACATGCAAATATGATATCTAAATAAAATCGACAATCGGCTAACTCTGCGCATGCACACCACACGTTGCATTGAAGCTGGCAGTGCGTAACGAGAGCCATGCCGAACCAATCATGCCTGAATGACATTAACCCCATTTCTTTCACTGGTGCAAAAGTCGACGCAAAGCCAACTCATTAAAATGCAGCGGGGATTATGTAACATCGGAATTACATTTTTCATAATACCTATAGAGAATGCAGCAATACAATGCTGCAGAGTTAATCAACTCGAGAAATGCATACAAACTGCAATAAAACTTTTATTCGAGTTTTAAATGTGTTTTACTTGTTTGCGCGCCGAGTGTTAGAAAAATAGGTAAATAATAGCTATACAGATTGAAATCAACCTCCATTGGACTAGTAGTGTGCTGCCTCAAGAGTAGAAATATAGGTTATTGAAATTAATATTGCATAGAAATGCATTCGAAGCGTTTGCCATTTGCGCGCGTATTGTTTACTGACCACAAGAGACAACATTGCAAATTTTGTAATAGAAATGTGTGTTGTAAGAGGTGATTAATTATGATTTAATTAAACGCCTTGCTATGCAATTAATACAATGCGTTAATAAATTCATTCTAAGCTTTATTAGAGTTTTGTAGATCATTTTAGATGCATTTTTAGATTTTCTACTTAAAAAATTCATCTAAAATTATTTAACCTTGATATTTTAATTGCCGATTAATAAGAAATTGTGATCAAAATCACGTGCAGTGTCTGTAGCGTTCGCCGCGTGCTGTTGTTACTTGCCACGATTATCCAATCCGACAATTACGTTGCACGCCGATTTTTACACGCCCTCGCCGCAAATATGCCGACTATTCCAGCGGCGCACACATTTCCACCGTCATAGAAAACGCCGGTCTCGTTGGTGTGCGTAATTCAGTCACGTTTGGCGGCAGCGCGCCGCACATGTCCAAGACGCACGTTAAACCGCCACATGCCACGCGGACGCCCGCGCCCGCTGAATTAGTAATTGATTGCATAACACACGCGGCACTACACTGTACGCCGACCAAGGTTGGCGGTTGTTTCGGTTTCAAGTTCGCGCCCCGCGTATATCATTCTTCTCGTAACAATATACGGGTGGTGGTTAATGCGCACGGCGCACGTGGGTCGTGCCTCGTTGGCGAATTATTGAAACTCGCGCACGATTGCCACGTGACAAACGTAGGGTTGTAGAGTTTGCGTGCATTGGGCCACGTTTTTCATTGGGGTTATTGTGTAACCAATGCAGAACAATATTTTCATAAAAAAATTATTATTTCTCAACTTGTAAGAGTAATTGGTTAAAATTTTATGATAAAATCATAGAAAGAATTGATACGATTAGCAAATGCGATTCGCGGTTGGCAATCGTGCACGCAACCTCGATTCGACAAGGCCGAATTACGCACGTCGATGTAATAAGGAACTGAACAATACACACGCACACAAATGCACATTACACAATTGTGGCTGTGCGTTGTTGTCGACATTGCCACTGTCTTATTGTTTATTCCCTATTTCTTTATTACAATCAATTATTGCATTTCTTTGTTGGCGCATGCGCCTGCAGCACAAGACATTTCATTTTATAAAATCAGCTCTACACTAAAATAAATTTTTGTTCTATTCTCAATCAAACATGAAACAAAATCAAGTAATTGAATTCAACCTCGAGGCGTATGTGTGTTATCGCGTCTCGCTCGCATTAGGTGCATGCATAAATTTACCTTGATCGTTCTGCTTCCTCCATCTTCGCAGTGTTTGCACAATCAAACAAAAGTTGTAACTTTACTACTCTATGAGTAATGTTAGCTAGTAGTAGGTAGTATTAGTTGCAGTCGTAGTGCGGTAATTAATCGTATGCACTTCCTTGCCGTGCTCGTTTTGTTAATATACAGGCGATAAGCGCACTCAGTGCTAACCGGTGCTACGTGAATTCGTTTGAATGTCAGTCGGTCGGTGCAGCGCGTCGCATTTCCTTATTACGTCACACACGCTCATAAACGGAAGGTAATTGCGATTTTTCTTTATAGGCATGCAGCAATTGAATTAACCATTGATAGACCATAATATTATAGCAGAATCGACGTGTACAATAAATATTTCACGTACAAAGGCAAAAATTTGTTCTTTTGAACTGTAAAATTGTTGGTATTATAGTTCAATTTGCGTAAAATCACGTTATTTCCACTTAATCCAAGCCAGAATTCAAGGAAAAGATGAAAATCTGAATTTATTATGTTGGCTAAAATTAAATACAACATTTTTCAGTAATTATGTGACGTTACTACGGCAAAAAAATTTGATTAATTCTTAGAAACTCGAATATATAAATTATTCTCATTTTTCCCTAGAAAATTCTTTCTATTTATACTAAATAATTAATAACTATTGAAATAATTTCCGAACCGCGCCTTGACAAGCCACCACGCTAATTATATTATAACACCTAGTTGTAGCGACTCAAATTAGAAATATTGACTAAGGTTATGAACAATCTAGTTACGGATAATTATCGCCCGGTCTAGGTCTGTCTGGCTGCGTAATTGGCCGAGAAATGCAGCAAGAAAAAGAAAAGCGTACGCACGGCGCCGTGTAGCGTGTAAGCGACACGGAAACGTCAAGAAAAATGCACTTAATCATTGAAATTAAACCGATACCGGCGATTAAACGCGTGTTGAAACTCGCCACTTTTGCGTTTTAACAATTTTGTAATTTACCTGTGATCGGCGATTAGTCCTTGTCGGGCTCGCAAACCTTGATAGTGTTCTTGCATTACGTCAGGCGGGATAACACTGAAACAAAACAAATAAGAAATTGTTAACAAAAAATAATACAACCTCAATTTATAAATATTATAAATTGTTGTACTGTTATGTTGTGACTAATTTTAAATCCGTTATTGATCATCTGTGCAGGCTCCAAACTTTCAAATCGGATTAAATGCATCATCACACCTTTTTTATTTGTGAAGTGTATTTATTTCGTTGCGCATTGTATTAGATAAATTATTACCGCCCGACGAAGATAGATCGGAACGCCGGAATTGTGTTAATAATAATAAATCTACATAATGGCGCGTCGGGGCGTATTGCGCGGGCCTAAAAATATTCGTGACATACTTTTTGCGCGTTTACCGCGTTTACCGTTTTGTTTTCGGCGCGTCGAAAGCGATGCAATACACACAACACCGGCGCGCAACACACATAAAACACATTTTAAAAAACTTCGTTTTTATCGATTAATCACATTATGATGTAACAAGAGAAGCGCTTGAAGGAAACTTAATATTTAAACAAGATGGTGTTGTGATGATAATTTGTATTTTGTGCGCGTTATATTTTTAACGCTATTGATCGGAAAATGAGCGAAATATTTAGTTTAATGTTGAAATATTGTAGTTTATCGGTTGACACACATTTTGTGAGTAACCGTTATGTTGACGTAACATATTTGAACTTGATTCATTGTCTCATGCGACACGTTAGATCATTTCGACGATTGTGTACGCGACAAATATTATTGTGATCAATAACATGATAATGGACTTGTAAAAAACTAGCACAAAGCACAAAACAAAAAAATGTACACGTAAATCACACTAATTTACCTAGAATTAGTTTAAAAATATACGAATTTTAAACGCAAAATAACTTTTAACAAAAAATTTTACAAAAAAAAATCGAAAACGTATTTGTTCAGCTTGCTACCGTCATATTCAACATCAAACACCAATTTTACAATCAAGTATTACATGATTATATACTAGATTTAATTAAAATTAATAATAAGCAATGTCTTTGTCCGATAGCACGAGCTATTTATGCAAGAGGGAGGTAAATATGGAAAATTACAACGCAGTTGGATGATTAATCGTCGCCAGTGTCGCCCGTTTCAAGCCATTAATGCGTTTAATATTAATACGAATACGAATAGTAATAATTCCCTGCTTGAGATGTGTCTGCAGTGTTGTAATTGCGAGCCATAAACACGCAGCAACAGTAGTTAGTGTAACAGCGCAAGTTTATTACAAGTTGACTTGAATAAATATTATAAATGTTGCGCATTTCATGCGGCCTGCTATTGTTACAATCCCAGCACACAAGCACAATGAATCAGAGAAGTATTGAGAAATTTCGAAAATTATTACCTTTTTGCGTTGAAATTAAAGTTGTTAAAGTAATTTGCTCATTGGATAATTGAATGGTGCAATATTGATCTTATAAATCATAAAGATATAGATAAATTTATTAATTTAGCGCATTTCTACTTCCCTTCTGACAAAAGAAACCTGTCATCGTGTAATGTGGGTTGTCTACGCGGCAATTTGAAATTTGTAACAAATGCACGCTCCAAATCAACGAAAAATTGCTAATTTCTCGCGTAAAACACACATATCGCAACAAAGAACCAGATTACCACAATCGCGTACATTACACGCGGCCATAATAAGTTTAATTGAGCAACGCGTCGTACAAACCGGCGACAAAACGCATTGTATTGTACACACATTGTCTGCACCAGCGCAATATCGGCAATCGCGAATAAATTTCTACACAATACGCGATATAATATGCGCACATGCACATAAACAAATATTACCCGCGCTATACAACACACAGCGCAATATACCACGACGTCAATGTTTCAATGATTCAATGATCGAGAGCAAAAAATTATATCACATTTTATTGGGACAAGGTTGGCAATGGTGTGTGCGTTATATGTTAATGTTTATATTTTTGCATGGCGCGCGCGAGCGAGCGCCGCGTTGAGTGGCGTAATCTCGCAGCGGATGCAAAATACACAGATATCAAGAGATCAAGAGACCAAGAGACTGCATACAGGCTCAAATTAGCAACATTAGCGCCATTAGTAGTCGCATCAGATGTCAGACCAACACATTCATCAGCACCTAAATAGTTTTTTTTTTTGGTTGGGTTAATCGTCAATTAAAATGCTATTAATGCTGTGAATCGTGTCACTTGTAAATTTTATTAAGTGTTGAATTCTTCTTATACTCATTAGTAGGTAGTGGCAATTTTTTGAGCCAATTTAGAAAAGTCAAAGATGATTTCAAAAGATTTAAAATTATAACGATGATAAACTAGTTTAGCATCTGTTTAAAGACATTTTAGACAACTTTTCATGCAAAACCTATAATAATATTATAAAAGAATAACTTTATCTTTCAATTGATGAAAAGAATATTAAAATTGATCGATTTTGTCAAAAGTTATTATGATTTTTCTGAAATTGATGTCTAAAATGGTAAAAATAATTATTAGCGATCATTCCAATGCTACTAACTAGACGCCATATTTGTAACATAACCTAAATAACACTTAAATGTTCAATTAAAGCATCTGCACGAAACCAAATGGTCATAAATATAAATCGCAAAATTTGCGTTGTGAGTCTAAAATTCTCATTTTCCGCATTTGAAAAAAGTTATTCTTGGCTCTCATTATCCAACATTTTTAAAACTTGACCCATATTACAAAATAAACATCTTTAGACTTATTTTAGCTTTTATATCTGGTTAGTTTAATATATAATATTTTTAAACTTTGGAAACATAATAAAGAATTGTAATTCAAATCGCTGCTTTCGAAATAAACCAAAAAAGCGCATTTTAAAGTAGTCTCAGGTTTAACGCCGTCGACGGACTTGACCTAGACCTCCGCACGGTCTGGTTCCGCGAGTGATTAAATAACCGAAAGCCGAAAAAGAAACGTGTCGAAATATTGCGCCACATCGGTAACGCAAAAACTATCCGCACGAAACTTTTAACTAAATTACAACAAAACTCACGCACCAAAACCACAAAATACAAACAAAGATCTAAAATTCTAAGCTTGAATGTGATTCATTGTCATTATTATGAAAATAAAATATAATTTCCACGATTGAGTTATTTGAAACTCGAAAGTCAGGCACACGACTTTATTGATGCTCTAAAAATGGTGATTCAAGCAAGTGTTACAACTTGCTCGAATCTTAAATTTAGTCCTCGCACCGATTGTACACTACGTGTGCATCTGGTGGGCCATTGGGCACACGCGAAGTGAAATTTCCTGCGCTGTCCCATTAGCCTAGATTCGCGCGCTCGCGCTCCGCGTCCGGCCCAAGACGAAGACACCAGGAGTGTTTCCTCAACGATTCCTCCGCAGAAGAAACAAAACAGCGCCAAAACTGCTCGTGAAACCAGCGCGTTTTGTTTGCTTTTACATTTTACTTTTTTTTCGCTCCGTAATCGCGTTACACAAATTCGTATACACGGCTGATGTGCAGATGTGTGTGCGGGCCGTAATGAATTCTAAAAATAAATTACACCGACACTTTCTTTGTTAGCTATGCTAAATACAAACAAATTGAAGTTTTCACATGAGAATTACATTTGAATTAGACAAATAAATATATATTTTACAAATAGAAAGTCTTAAAAAAGATTTTTAATTTTAATTTTTCATAACTACAAAACGTTGACCCCAATTATTTAATAATTAATATCGATAAAAAATGTAACACTTAAAAACCCAAATTTAAAATCCACAAACAATAAAATATTGATTTACAACAATCGAAATTTATACAATCAAAGTTCAAAATTCATAAGTACGGTACTCGAGAAGCGTTAAGTAACTTTTCCGCGCATCGTAATAATTGCGTAACGATGTTATATTTATATGTGTCGAAAATCATCCGATAAAAATAAAATTAAGTCAAGGGCGCGACAAAACACTCTCTGCTATCATCGAAACGATTCAAACTTCGTAAATCTTCACACCAGCACAAACTGCGTAAACTTTGAGATCTAAAGTGTACACTTGCGGAAAGTCCACTTCGTAGTAATTCTATAATTAAATTATGAAATCGTGTTTACACCACTCCACACACTCAGCACCAGTGGAGCACAAATGCGACGATAAACATCTTTACACGAGGGAACTAAACCCACAACATTAGAAAACATAAATTTTGTATTTTAAGTTGCCTATGTGTTTAAAACTTAGTAACTGTGTAAAAATTAGCAAAAATATAATAATGTTCAAAGAAAACTAGTTAATATACGTGGTTAAAGGTAAAATGAAGCATAAGGCCTGATTTTCTTAAAATAGAGCGCGTTAATCGGCGTCGCTAGTTTTTGCGCGCTTGTACGAAACAATTAAATTTGGGTTACGCGATTTTGCGCGGCGCGCCGCCTTCGTTACATAACGCGCTAACCTTGGACTATTTCATTTTATTTCGATCGCTAATTTTAGATTAAAATATTTCCAACCTCAATACTA